ATTATAATGATTACAAATGATTCTTTTTCACAGTCAGTTTGCTTTTGAGTGTTCACAGTCAAACTTTGACCAATAGGCTGTGGTTCACAGGACTGGACATGTGACTCTATACATATTTATAAAATCTGTAAATTGACATTTATAATATTGTGGTCAATAGAGCATTGTAGTCTTTTTCAGTAATGCTAAAACTAATTTTATTGTAATCATAAGTCCAACGCTACATTTTTAAATATAAAACATCTAAAGGAAGCTGCTGTAATTTGTCTCTTTGGTAGGCCTACAGAATACAGATTATGCATGTATGCATTAACATTTTAGAGAAAACTGAAAAATGATAAATTGTTTCGCTAAAACAGCATTGATATCTTTACATAAAATAAGGTTTCATGAATTTGAAAGAAAGAAAAATGGTAAGAAATCATTTAAAAAGTGTGTTTGCAGTGATAAGAAATGTGCTGTACCAGTTCACATCCTAATGAACAGCATAAAAGTAGTTCTTAGCATACTGTCAGAACAAGGTGATACATTTTTATTGTAGGTTTTAGAATAAGTATATAAATTTTTGACATATTTAATAAAAAAGGTTAAAATAAAAGCAATAAGGTTTGAGTCCAGCTGGGCTAATCAGCATTTCTGTGTGGAGATCCCCATGTTTGCGTGGGTTTCCCCCACAGGGATATCCCCCACAGTATAGGTGAATTGAATAAACTAAATTTTTAATTTTTTTTACTCATTTTTATTATTTGTTTTTATTTTTATTTTACTTGTTTCTTTTATTCTTGTTTATGTAAAGCACTTTGAATTATAAATAAACTTGCCTTGCCTTAAATTGAGTGTGAATGAGAGTGTATGGGTGTTTCCCAGTGATGGGTTGCAGCTGGAAGAGTATCCACCACATAAAACATATGCTGGATAAGTTGGTGGTTCATTCTGCGGTTGAGAATAAAGGGACTAAGCTGAAGGAAATGAATAAATGAATGAATGAAAACGCTTTGGCAGTAAACCAAAGTGGAATTTCAAATAACTTAAAAAAATTATTACATGAGGATTGTCTTCCGACAAATAATTGCCTTTTGCTGGGATTATTGTAACTGTGTATTGTATGTACAAACTGTCAATACTGTCCTGTGAAAATTAAAAAAAAAGATGACACTGTTGGAATATCAAGCCAATTCCATGCGTGTTCAATAAGTCTGGAGAGTGTTTTCTTCAATGCCAAAAATATTAGCAATTTATTAGATACAAATGAATAATTCGATAACAGAGCTCTGGGTTACATTACCCCAATGCAACACAAAAATTACATTCAAGAATTACAGCTAACTTGCATTTCTTGACTCCAGCATATATACACAACTTATATTAACAGGTGGAGTTTTGGTGTAACGTCACTTATTAGTCATTCTGCAGTCCTTGGGCTCTTGTAACCCCAGACATACTTCCTCTTTCTGCAATTACATGCATCTTTAATATATTTCACAACTTCTACAAGCATCATGACATCTTGTGACATGTCCAGACAGAAGTCTGGAACAAACGCTAAATTTATTCATTAATATATTTCCTCTGGTCAGCAGTTCCTCTAAAAATATGCAGCACAGTAAAAAAAAAAGAAGTGTGTCTAGTCAGCATGTTATACAAAATAAAAAAATTGATTAATCTGTTGTTAGTCTAAACATTTTTCTAATAAAAAACAAAGACACAAAAGTAATAGAAATAAATTCCTTTTTTTCCCACAACACTTTGTGTCCTTTAAAATGACCACTATATCTAGATAGAGAGATAGATGGACACTTAGTTTTTTATTCTAGTTTAGATCTGAAAAATGTATTTTACCAGTTTATTTTAACATCATTCAATAAATATTTTATTAAAAACAGTAAATAAACATGTTCTTTTTATACATTTGTTTATTGGTTTTAAGGAACACAAACAAAAAAGGACAAAGAGAAAGATATCAGTAGACACAAGTACAGCAGCAAAAGTCTGTATAAAAATAAATAAATAATAAAAATACAAACAGAATACAAAAATCATAATAAATAAAGCTCTGCTGTGATTGAGTAAAGTCACACTTATCATGAAAATACATGTGAGGTGTCAGTCAAAGGTTCATTAGAGGCATCCATATGTATGTATATTGTTCTAAAAGAATTGTTTCATTCAAGAGTTGTATGAACAGTTCAAATGTTGGAGGCCTTTGTTGGTTCCAGTTAAGCAAAATGCATTTTTGCTAGATAAGAAATGATACAGAGTCTGTTTATAGGAGTAGCATCAAGTGTCTTGTTCAGTTCTGTACCAAAGAGGTCAAGTGTTGGTGTGTTGTTCAATGAAGTCCTGTACTGCTTTCCAGAAAAATCTTAGCTTTTTGCATTCCAAAAAACGTGCATGATTGATCCTGAATAGGTCTGTGACACCTGGATGATTACACTGGAGTATTTTTTGCTCAGACAAATTGATCAGATACATTCTATGCATAAATTTATAATTTGGTTCAATTAATTTGTGATTGGGAAGGGGAATGAGAGTATTCTTGTATATAGTCTGATCCTTATGATATTCTAAATCTCTTTGCCACACATCTTTAAGTGATTTCAGTGAAGAGTTGTAATAGTCTAATAGTGCAGAATATATCTCAGAGATCTTTCCTTTTAAAGACTTGGAATTCACCAAAATCTCCTCTATATTGGAGAGCTCTAGGGACAGTTGGCCTCTCTTTTCATGACAAACTGTCAAAGGGTGAATTTGAAGATATTTATCAAACTCCCGTCTTGGTATCTTGAACTCTTGCCGTAGGTCAGAGAAGGATTTAAGGGTAAAACTGATAAACAGATCTCGAAACTGACATACACCATATTCCCTCCACTTTGTAAACAAAGTTTTCCTGAGTGAAGTTGGCAAATTTGGATTTAGGGACAGAGGAGATAACATAGATATTTTAGCAAAGGAGCCACAAAACCTTTTTGCATCTTGCCAGGCCCGAAGAATGTTAGGTTCTTGTCACTGTGAGAAACTTTCCCATATTGTTAATGAAAGGAAGAGATGTCAGAGGTATAGGTGAGCATAGATCTTCAATATCTGTCCAGTGAGCAGTTCTTAATGATCATATCCAACCAATCATTCCTTTTATTTGAGCAGCCCAATAAAAATAAACATACAAAAGCAAATGTTATATTGTTAGAAATATCGTTATCTCAATACTCCACAACATTATCACATATTTTTCCAGTATTTTGATTTCTTGTCTTTGTTTTTTTTCCCCAGGAGAATGTCTGAGAGAAATGCTCCCGCCAATAAAGCCCCAGAGTCAAACCCTTCACCCCCAAACCTGGACACAAGGTTTGTGATTGGTGGACTGCGTCTGTGGTCTGGAGCAGGGGCTTGGTTGTTGTTTGCTGTTGTTTTGTTGTTAGTCGGAATCCACCTAACTGCGGCCGGGTATTGGAACATTCAGCCCCGCAGACAAACAGCACATCATGTTTCAACTGGACGCACCTCTTCAGAGAAGCTGAGGCTGATTGGTCCCGTCATCATAGGGGTGGCACTTTTTAACATTAATTGTGCCAATGCACTTCTCCATATTTACCGTGATATGGAACTGGAGAAAACGAAAAGCAAATGGCAGAGGTACAGTCCTTCGAAACAATTCTCACAAGCAAACTCAAACAGGCATAAACTGGACTTGTCTGAAATTTGCAACCGTTGCTTAGAAGAAGGGTCAGGAATTCCTACGCTGAAGTGCTCGTCTCCATCCTCAAGCATATGTAGCTCCAGTCAAGTGAACTTAGAAATCGAATCTCCTGTAGAATGCCGGACAATGGAAACATCGGCCTTGCCTGTTATTAAAGTCAATGATCGGCTCCTCAAACACAGAAGCTCCAGTGAATGGACGCACTGGAAACAAGATCGCAGGGGAAAACATGACGTCTTCTCTGAGGACATTGTGATTTGATACCAATTAAATATCATGATTAGGGGCGCTATCGCGCACGTTGAGAATGTAGAGCGTGTTTTCGATCGCTCCTGGAGAAGGTAACAGATTTAATCATATATTAAACAGCACAGCAACCTTTTTGTTGTTCCATTACTTAAAACTAGCCCCCTAAACACGAAGGTTACTCTTTCATTTGTTAAAAGCTGTAAACATGACATATTGTCTTGATCCAAAACTGACGGTAAAGGAGGCCGCAGTAAAGCCCCGTTCCTCTCAGGCGATGCTAGTGAGCCCTTGGTTAGTGTACACTCTGGAGAAAACTCACCCGGGAATGTCACTTTAGACATTGTTGGACTCATTGTTTTCAAGAATGAGTTTTATCAGAAAATTGACTTGTTACCTACTGGTTTACGCTCGGAGATCACTACAGTGCGAACAGACGTCAAATGTTGGCTGGAGTCAACACTAGCAGAGTAAAGGAATTGAAAAAAGCTTGGTCAGGTAATAGGGGCTGTATAACGGAACTTAAAAAACTGATAACGTCGCTCAGTCATCAAGTAACATATCTGGACGCCAAGTGAGACGATTTGGTGGGGCGCTCTAGGAGAAATAATATTCGTCTGGTGGGTGTACCAGAGGGAAGCGAAGGTTCATGTCCAGCTGAATATGTGGCCCAACTTTTACAGGAGATCTTGCGACTTCAGGATTAACCTTAGGGCACTTCAATCTGCACATCGTACAGTCCGTGAAAAAAGTGAAAAAGGAGAACCTCCTCATCCTCTTGTCATTATAGTGCTTTACTTTCAGGTTCAATATGAGATTCTTCAAAATGCTGCAGAACTCTCTCCTCTTACATACAATGGGAAAGTGCTGTCCATTTTCACGGATTACACTACGACTGGCAAAAAGCGGCTTCATTTATGGATGTTAAACATGTGCTCCATTCATCTCCTGAAGTCAAGTTTGGCTTGCTCTTTCCTCCTATATGGGGCGTCTGCAGCCTTGGATCCAGTATCCACGATACTGGAAAAAATAGAACAGTAATTAAGAACTGGATTGCAATATATTTAATGAAATTGAATACAATGCAAATTTAATTCAAATTCAAAATAAAATTTCAAGTTTTAAATCTTTTAAGATTTGTTGAGATTTATTTCAATATAACGTTATAGTCTGTAATGGAAATTCATATATATTTATTTCTTAGATGTGTATGCATTTTCCATATTGCTTAACTTTCCTGTGTGTGTGACTACTCTGTCCCTTGTCCTTCATCCTATGCTTAACCATGAAAGGCTGTTTGATATACAGTGTAAAAGGGGCATGGGTCAAAAACGGCTGAAACATCTGGTGCCAACATGGTATGGTTTGTAAGGGGCATGGGTCAGAGCAGAAAGACAGCTAACGAAAATGTGGTATGGCCTGATTAGAAGTGGCCTCGTAAGCAGTACAAGAAAGAAACTAGATATAAGAGGGAGCACACTCTGTTTTCAGTGTCTCACTTTGCAGAAACTGTCGTTGCTGTATGATTGTGACCTTCTTTGCAAAGAATAAAACCTTAAAAGACACTTTGGGAGAACTGAGAGAGCCTCTTTAAAGAAAAATTGCCACTACAAGTCAAATTTGTAGGAATAATGTAACGTAGTGGGAGTAGGGCTGGGCGATATTTTGATATCGATAATTATCACGATATAAAATTTTTCGATAAAACGATAATGACAGTTCGATAATTGCTCTATAATATTTACGCACTATGCGTAACGTTGCGCAAGCATTTTGCAGCCTCCCCTTCCGACTGCCGCACGCCGTACAAGTTTACAGTCATACAGTGTTAGTTGCACTGAAAGGAGTAAGAAAGAAATAAGGGAAAAAAGGTCAAAGTCACAGACATTGTTGACAAGAAATGTCACTAGACTTCATGAGCTACTTAGTTTTTCGCTATCCGACACAAAACAGAGCAACGTGCACTGCAAACTGCTTAGATGACTTGTGTCATCACAAGCAGGCAACACCATGACCTGTTTTACCATGTAAAACAAGACCCCTCTTACAAAGATGCTAAGAAATTACAGACGTAAACAAGTGTTGGCAAACCAGCGCAGCTACCCAGCAGAGTCCCTTTATTATTCCGGGGTCGCCACAGCGAAATGAACCGCCAACTTATCCAGCACGTTTTTATGCAGCGGATGCCCTTCCAGCTGCAACCTATCCCTGGGAAACATCCACACACACTCATTAACACTCATACACTACAAACAATTTTACCGTACCCAATTCACCTGTGCTGCATGTCTTTGGACTGTGGGGGAAACCAGAGCACCCGGAGGAAACCCACGCGAACGCAGGGAGAACATGCAAACTGAACACAGAAATGCCAAGTGACCCAGCTGAGGCTCGAACCAGCAGTCTTCTTGCTGTGAGGTGATAGCACTACCTACTGTGCCACTGAGTCGGCACAGCCTGTACAGTTTAAAATAATTTATTTAAAGCTATTGTATCTGCTTGTATTCATTGGCATAAAAAGAATTTAAAGAAAATTATTTTGAAACGTCACTTTTTTAGAGAAAGAGAAATAGAGAGCTTTTGATACTGACCACAATTATTCTCCTTTGCAAATTTTCAAAGGCTGACCACTTGAAAAGATGTCGGTCTTTGTTGACAAAAATGGTCGAGCATCGCTTCAGCAGTTCTCAATCTAAACTGAGCGGCTACTTCAGTTTTACGGGAAGTGACGCCTCTCATCGCTCGCTCTCTTCATCACCTCTTAACTGCATGACCACACACCTCTGTGGTCAAGACACGGTACATCAAAACAATCTATTTGAAGAACACACACACACTTCAGTGTCTGAGATAATAATCAGTAAGACCTTTATTGCAAAATATCTAGAGTAATGAGAAACTGCAAAACTGTGTGAAGTTCATCAAATATTTATTTAAAATTTGTGTTATATTAATTCCCATCTCAGTCTGTGGGTTTAATCTGCCCTTATAACACTTCATATTTGACTTATTATGTTCATAATGGAATAATGCACCAGATATCATTGTGGTCTTTTTTTTATGTTTTATTTTAACATATTTAAAATATTGCCTCCTACTGAAACGTTTTGTTACTGATTGCTGTCAACTTATTCACAGAAAAGCAAAACAAATTCAAAAATGGAAATCCAAGGGCTCCTGTTTTACTCCTTTTTCAAGATTTAAGATGAGTTTTTTGTGTCTCCAGAATGTGTCTGTTAAGTTTCAGCCAAAATATCCTATTATTTATTAAACCTTTCAGAATATTGGTATTTTCTGCTTTAAACAATTTGTAGCTGTTTTTGTAGCCTGTACCTTTAATGCTAGTTCTCCCCACCCACCGTTCCCATGTGCCTGTCAGAGTGTGCCTCAATCTCCTCCTCGGCTGCGTCAGATAAACAGCACAGTGACAGACATGAAGGAAGCAGATCTCACTCAATGTTTGTGAGAAATACTACAGTAAGAACTTTCCCAATGATTGTTTGATGTTTTTGTTGTGGAGTCACACACAATGTCATTACAAAGTTCACGCACATACACACAGTGGACACACACACACACACACTTTAACTTTGCACTGTTTTTGCACAGCAAATGTGAAAGAATACATGTTAATAGCTACTGCTGTATGGACATCCATTATGTTAATGTACAAAATAAACCTGATTTAACGTCCACAATCCGGGATTAAAGCGTCTTCTTTTGTAATTGTACTGACATGCGGCTGTGGTGAAGAACACGGTAAAATCCCTGTAATTTATTACAGACATGCACTGTTTTAAAAAAGTTTTTAAACTTGTAAAACTTCTTCTTGATCACATTTGATAATGATTGATGATCACAGCGAGCTGAACAAATCTTTTAATCTCAGTTGCTTTGTGCACATCCTGTCTTATTGAAATGATTATACACGTTACTACAGAGACATGTTAATACGCAGCTGTCAATCAAATAATTGGGTGGAGAAAACTGCACTCCTACGTCACGTTGTGGTGGGCCTCAAAATTGAAGGGATTTGGATCGTATTTTAATGTTAGGAAATTAACAAAAAGAGACCTATTGTCTTTGTATCACCCCAGTATGACAGTGGAAACACTATATCTAAACAGTTCTGTCCAAACAGCCTCAAAAAGATGATTTTCATCATAGGTGCCCTTTAATATTGCTGTCATTAAAGTGATAGTTCACCCAAAAATGAAAAATTCTTTTATCATTTACTCACCCGTAAACTTGCTTGTTTTCAGGATTCTTTAGAAAATATTGTTTCGTATTTAACAGAAGAAAAAACCCTCAAATAAGAGTAAATTATGACTTTTTAATCTTGGATGCTTCAATACTGTTTGGCTTGTTTTAAATAGGCCTATCGGATCTACAGTACATTGTAGTACAGCTCTGTAGTGCTTCTGACATGATGAGAATTTTGCTTGCGTAATATTGTAGTACTGATGGGACTGAGTTAATAAATATAGTTGGGAAAATATATACAGTAAATATGACTACAATTGACATCAAATATTGCAGTGGGATGTATCCAAGCGAAAGTACTTCTTGAGCATGAAAACTTGTTTTGTCCATTGGGAATTAATTGGATCATGATTGGATATGATTTGCTATTGGTGGATGTAATGTGAATGACATTTATTGCCCCCCCCTCATGGCAAACTGAAAGCATGCACTGCTCGTGAAAGAAGAAAAAGGTAATGGTTACTTTGGTAATGTTATTGCAAGAAATAGGGGAAGTTATTCTGATCAAGCATCATAAAAATACAGGCAGATAAACAAGAAGAGCTGTCAGTTTTGATTTTCATAGTCTTTCAAAAACTTGAATTCTAGACTGACATTGTGCATGATGGCACTATACCAACGTCACGACAGAACAATAAATACATAAAAATGAATAAAAAAAGAAATTTTGTTTTTCTTAAAGACATAAGTTAACTAGCTAGATTATTGTTTTTATCTTTTATGAACGTTTTCAAAAGGATTAAATAATAATATATTTTCCTGGCCAAAAATATTTGAAATGTATATTGTACTGTATTTGTGTTGTTCGATAAAATACATTTTTTTGAAGTATTTGAAAATATATACGATGTATGCTTAAGTAGCCTATGTTGATTGGTTGATGTGGAAAAAATGATTTTCTTAATATGACATGAATGTATCTTCTAGGATTGAAATATATGGAGGGTAAAATATATTTTAAAATATTAAAAATGGTCTATGTTTTTGTAGAACATGTATTTATGTTAATTTATTGTTAAATTTATTGAGCAAATACATTTTTTGGCCATTTTTTATTTTGAAATATACATGAAAATATACATTTTTAATGTATGAGACTTGAGCCTACAACATCTCAGCGGACAATAACCTGGAGGACCGCCAAAGTTTTTTTTTTGTGCGGCACAAATTCACACTACTCAAACATGTTTTGATATTTTATGTTAAAAAAATATTGACAAAAAACTGTCCTGTTTATCAACAGCATAAACCCCATACAACAGACAGAATAGAGGATACAGGATTTCTACTTTTCTGAAGGGAGCTGCTGATCATAACATTATTTATTAAACTGTAATATAAACTTTTTGTAAGCAACACTTTTCACATTTTGATATCAGCAGACAAGCTAATCTAGTGCAAATCACAGCATGAAACGTCACTAAAATGTATTAATTAAACCACAATTAAAAATGTATGAGAGGATTAATTGTCAACTGTTTTTGCAAAGTAGGTGAATATTAAACAAACACATATTACTATATAACCTCTATCAGAATAAAAAGGAGAGAAAGCATGAAAATGAAATAGGTGAAAGAAGTGACGAGGACAGTATTTGAGTTTTACATTGTTTATTTAGAACTCAACAACAATAAAAATCAGCCCTCCACCCCTGTTTATTATATGACATAGACTCCATTACCAACACCACCACATTGAAACACATCAGATCTCTGAGCCTGTAACACAGATTCTACATCACACTCCATATCCTCCTCTTCCTCATCCTTCAATTTCTCCAAATCCTTCTGGATTTTCTCCTCATACAGCATGTCCCATTTCTTTATTTTACTTTTCTTCCCCCTCTGTCTCTTCTTTCACTTTTCTTTCTCAGCCCTTTTCTCCTTCTCCTTTGTCTTCTCTTTCTTTCCATATCTCTCCCTCTTCCGTCTCTTGTTCTTCCACTTCTCTTCCTGAATTCTCTTTTTCTCCTTCTCACTTATCTCCTCCTCTTCCTCAGTTCTATTGTCCTCCTCCTCCTTCTTGGTGTTCACCTCCTCCATCTCCTCCGTCTGTGCCATCTTCTCAGTTTTATCCATTTCCTCCTCCTCCTTCTCTTTTATTGTAGTTTTCTTCTCCTCCTTTATTATTGCCTCCTCTTTCTTTCTGTTCCTTCCTCTCCTCTCTTGTCTAGTCTTTCTTGTCTTTTCCCCCAACATTTTCACCTTCTCCTCCTCCTCAACTTTCTCCTCTTCCTCCTTCATGATCTCCTCTTGATCATCTGTTAAAAGAGAAATGATTGCAGTTTACACATTCAGAGGGTGTTAAACACCAGGTGAGGGGAAAATGATACAATTTATTAATAACATTACAGACAAAAATATATAGACATAAAAATGATCATTTACCATCAGTGGCTTGTTTTGGTGAAATGGAGGGTGACTTTTCTTCAGAATTTTTCTCCTCCTCCTCTATATTCTCCATCTCCTCCACCACGATCATGTTCTCTATCTCTTTTTTCTCCTCCTCCTCCACATCTGTCAAGGAGATGTTAAACTTCAGGTAAGAACAGGTAATAAAAATACAATTTATTTATAGAATTAAAGTCTATTATTTAGTATCATCTAAAATTATTCATATTTACAATAGTTAGAGCAATTGTTCACTCAAATTGTTCTGTAATATATGTTTAAATGAATATGCTGAAAATTAATGTTTATTATATTGACAACTTTATATTCCTGCAGTGCAGGCAACAACATATAAATTATGTACAGTGTGTGAACTTTAATATTTAGCTCAAGCTTTTACTAATGTGCAAAAGGCAAGCCATTGTATAAATCTGGTTTGGTTGCTTGCTGTAATAGAAAGAGATGAAGACTGTCCAGCTTGTGTTGCTTCATGCTGCGAATGAATTGCTCAGTGTGGACCCTCAGCCATGGACGGTGTCTCCCTCACAGTTGCGCTTACTCTGGACATGTTACTCTGGATGTTGTAGGATGCAAGTTGTGAACCTAAATCAGATTTATAAAAAAGAAAGAATAGTATAAGCTTTTGCATATAAACACTTGTGCTTAACACATTTGATTCAGTTTGTTATCTCCCTATTACACTAGAATGTTTAGTCTGTGTGTATACATACACAAACACACACACGCACGCACACACACACATACACACACACACACACACACCCACACACACACACACACACACACACACACACACTAAACTGGAATTTATTGAAGTTTCTGATAGTTAATACTACAATATGTTGCTGCATTCATTAACAGATAGTTGTAAATACAACAATATTCATTCATTCATTCATTCATGTTCTTTTTGGCTTAGTCCCTTTAAGTACTACAATATATACAGTATAGTACAATTTACTATAGTATGGTAAAAAACGTAATACAATTTAATATGACACAATTACAACTTGTCACTTCTTTCATCTGGTTTAAATTCAGATACATCATTTTTAATCGTACCTTTAGAGCTGTATAACACCAAAAGCAGCATGGAAGCAGTCTCCTTTCAGTCACTCCACCTCCTCACGGAGACTGTCAGCCTGATCGGGTGCATTAATCATCTGCCGTGGGTTGTGGAACTGAACAATAATGATGTTACAGATGCTAGGCATCCACTGGCACAGGATCCTCATCAATTTATGTGTAAATCTCCCTTCTTTGCCATGCTCCGAACGTGTTTTGGTTTCGCCGCTGTAAGATTTCACTGTAAAGCACGTTATGCGGAAACTAAGACACCGGCTTATTTTCTACCGGAAATACGTCAGCAGAGTTCGTGCATAGAGTCTATTGGATCGGCTACGGCCACCCCTGTGTAAACTCTGGCCACCTCGATATGATTTTGCTGTTGATATTGTTCATTTAAATGTACTTATGTAAATTCGCAATAGTTCAATAAATAAATATAACAAATAAATAAAATGCAGCTACTAAAATATTGTGGATTGATTGGTGCCACTGACGTAGCTGATTCACTGCCCCTTCACCTCCCGATCCTCGTTGACAGTACGCACACCTTCAATAGACAGCAAAGGCAATTTAATACCTTCATCATCAATAGAAGACGCTGTGTTAATAATAATATTGTGGCAAAAAAAAAAAAAAGATAAATTATACTATTAGGGTCTCTATATGATAAGAGTGTGTGTGGGCAGTGGCCATCTGGCAATTCTTGCAAATGCCAGAAGGGCCGGACCATTTCTTAAATGTGGGCCGTTTTTTTTTTCTTTCGTTTTTTTTATATGCATTGCTTTTTCATGCAGGCAGCATTTATCTCTTGCAAAATGTGAAATTATGTTGATGATGATGGTGATGATGATAATAGTAATAATAATAAAAATAATGGCGAGGCAGTGGCACAATAGGTAGTGCTGTCGCCTCACAGCAAGAAGGTCGCTGGTTCGAACCTCGGCTAACTTGGCGTTTCTGTATGGAGTTTGCATGTTCTCCCTGCCTTTACGTGGGTTTCCTCGGGGTGCTCTGGTTTCCCCCACAGTCCAAAGACATGCAGTAGGTGAATTGAGTAGGCTAAATTGTCCGTAGTGTATGAGTGTGTGTGAATGTGTGTGTGGATGTTTCCCAGAGATGGGAGGAAGAATGGAAGGGCATCCGCTGCGTAAAAACTTGCTGGATAAGTTGGTGGTTCATTCTGCTGTGGCGACCCCTGATTAATAAAGGGACTAAGCCGACAAGAAATGAATGAATAAAAATAATATTAATAAATGTTAAGCATGTGGCTCAATCGGTGACGGCCAGCTGGTTTCGAGATCGGCCGCCCCAATCCGACTCATCAGAGGTTACCCGGACATAATCAAAATCTGGCAAGAACGTCAAACAAACAGCAAGTGCAACACAAGAGATTTTGTCTCAAACAGTATGACTGTACTGACATTTTTATGATCCCTGATCAGAGATAACCAGATGATATATAATTCTTGTCTATAAATTGCAACAGCAGTGAGAAAGGAGAAAGTTTTTGTTAAAAGGTTTGGGAAAACCTGAAGGCCAAGTTTGTTAAAACCAAAAGAGGTCATGGCAAAAGTGGAGACCCAGGTACACAATTACAGAATATGTTTTTCCACCAGTCATAGGTTTTACACTGATTTAGCCTATATATTGCAATTTTAAAATTAAAAAATGTAATAGTTACAAAACTATTATGAAGTCACAGAATTATTTCTTTAATAACTGGGAAGGAATATTTAAACCAATATACAATATACTGATGCCTTTTAAGGCTTTATTAATGATATTTACAGGAATGTTGGACCATTATTGGCTTTTAGCATAAGTATGACAGAAACTAGCCAGACAGTAGGCCTACTGTGTGATTATTATTATTATTTTTTTAAAGCTGAACATCCAAACAAAATGGTAGGCTACATACTTACAATATTACATACTGTCATCTCAAGGTTGAGTGATAAAATAGGCATCTCAAGAATAAAAAAGAACAGCTTTTAAATAAATGACTATAAAAAAATAATAAAGAGGCTGTGAAAATTAAATTAACTTATAAAAGTCTACAAAAGACTTAAGCTTAAGGTTTTTATATCATTCATCAATTTTAAAGATTTGCAAAGAAGTTTTACCTTATTCAACTACTGGTTAAATCTAGGAGTAGATTTGAACCATCTGCATTTGACAATAAAGAATTTTCCAAAGCATAATAAAACATTGACAGCAAAATGCATTCATTGTTTTCAAGGAAGATACCAAACTTAACAGTCTTTGCAGTAAGGGGAGGGAAATGTATATTCATGGACCATAACCACATCTGTACCTCTGACCAAAAAGGAAACACCATGTCACAATGAAAGAAAACATGTTTCAAACTCTCGCTAAAAATATCTTTTTCACAAAAAAAAAAAAAAAAAAAAGCACAATTATTCAAATCTAAACTGAATGTCAATCTTAAAAACTTGTTGGTAGGATAAATCTCATTTAATATGTTAAAGCTCACCTCCTTAACTCTAGGAGAAAGAGGAAAAGACAAATAATCTTTCCTTATTCTTTAAGTTTCAACATTGTTAAAATCTTTAAATAGGAATTCTCTTCTGATGTGTGAATTGTGGAGCAAACTAAATCTAAAAAAAAAAAACATCTGTATTTTATTTAGTGAGTGTACTTTTTTTGCCTTTGTTCTAGCCATAATAAATATATATTTGTAATGTAATGTAATGTGTATTTATATAGCACATTTATTGTGTATGGCGATTACAACCAAAGCGCTTCACAATCATGAGGGGGGGGGTCTCTCCACACCACCACCAGTGTGCAGCATCCACTTGGATGATGCGACGGCAGCCACAGGACAACGATGCCAGTGCGCTCACCACACACCAGCTATTGGTGAAGTGGAGAAACAGTGATAGAGCCAATTGGTTGAAATGGGATGATTGGGAGGCCATGATTGTAGGGGACGATAGAGGGACTTGGCCAGGACACCGGGGTTACACCCCTATTCTTTCACGAGAAGTGCCATGGGAATTTTAATGACCTCAGGACCTCAGTTTAACGTCTCATCCGAAAGACAGCGCCCACTGACAGTGTAGTGTCCCCTTCACTTTTACTGGGGCATTAGGACTCACACAGACCACAGGTTGAGCGCCCCCTGCAGGCCTCACTAACACCACTTCCAACAGCAACCTACTGTTCCCCCATGCAGATACTGACCAGGCTCAGCCCTGCTTAACTTCAGTGAGTAACCGGTCTTGGGCTGCATGATGTTGTTGTGGCTGTGATGTGATATGGTGATGTGGTTGTAGAGCAACCCATGTTCTCCTTTTATTAATATTTGAATAAACTTTAATAGGTAAAACTGTCCGAGATATGAATAAAAGCAAGTGATGCATAAAAGTTTGATTTAAAAAAAATCTTAATGGTTATAAAAATACTTATAATCATTAAAATAATTTATAAAAACAATAAAAACCATTCGTTCAAAAGTATTGAATGATATTAATGATACGACGTAGTTCCGGAAACTTCCTAATTCTCTGTTTACCCGTCTGACTTTAAGGTAAAAAACATTGAAATAATACTGAAAAATATTCTTTCAAAACTCAGAGACCTCAGGGCAAAACCAAAATTATGAGCATATGTAAACTATTATATATGTTAACCCTTTAAAATGTCATGTTGATCCTGCTTGATTCTCTAAATCTTATTTTACGGGTCACTCTGTAATTTTTTGATTCACTCAAATGAACCAGTTCATGGGAGTCAATTGTTCATGAATCATGTGTCTGTTTGTAAGGCAGTTTTGTTTTGTTATATTGCAATACACTGTATTTTATTACATCGCAGTACAGAACATTCGCAGCTCAGGTAAAATATTACATCTTTAAATGCTAAAAAGAGTAGTATAGCTTAAGATTTTAAGATTCACTGTATAGTGCATAGTGTATGCTCATTTTTTTCAGCTGTTTTCTCATTTCATTCATTTTTCCCATAGGGATTTTGTAAAATAGCCCTTGGTACAGATTTATAAGCCACGAACCAAGACCAGAATCACAACATAACAAACCTTGATTTGAAGCAAAACAATAAATAAAACAAAAACACGAAAGTACTAATGAGGGAAAGTACTAAAATCCCAAGATGCATTGTGAAATGCCCAATATATTTAAAGTTGTTGGTTAAATATATAAAACTATTTGTTTCTAATTACTTCTTGTAATAGAAAATGTGAACTTTTATAAAAATGTTTTGTGAACATAGAGATAGCATAAAAATTTAATTACGTCATTAGCATTGATTAAATGGAGTGGTCAGAGCTAACAATCTATTTTTCTCACTCCAACTCTAATTGGTGACATTTTCCATACAGCATCATGGGAAATGGAGTTTTCTGCTAATTTTTTACTATTAAAAAATTAAGGGAATGAATGGAAACAGACAGGTTTAAGAAATGCATATACAATCCATTAACAACCTCAGAGCTTACCACAGGTTTGTCATGTATTACTAAAAACAATTTCCTAAGAGAACACTAAGGGATCTATTTTAACAATCTAGGCGTAAGTGGAAAAATTGAATTCTTCACTAGCGAGAAAACAGTAAAATAGCATGAGGATAAAGAACGAGCATCCTCCATTTGGCCTCTTTACTTCCTTTTTAGTTTACTCCTACTCTTTACTCCTTTTCGTTCGTGGATAAGGAAACAGTGTTGTACGCACTCTCTACACACTGAAGATGTCCATTAGCCTACATATATAATTTTGTTTGTTAAGTGCAAGGATTTGTTTTAAAACTATTTCTAAATTCAGTTCTAATTTCCAGCAAATGAATAAATGAACAATAATAACGAATCGTGGTCAAAAAACAAGTTATATCCAAACACACGTCCTATTCTTATTCCCCCATGGTGATGCATATGTCTACAAAACCCATCAAGTGGACAAATCTAAGCTTGTTTTTATTAAAACAAACAGAAATATGCATATAATAAATATTACTAAAAATAACATTATACAAATGCAAATTGTCATGAATAAACTGAAAAAGCCCCCCGACATGAAGAAGGCATGAAGGCAGTGGTTTTTATATTTATGTTGAAAATAATAATTAAAAAAAAATTTTAATGCTTTAATTTTTTTATGTGTAAAGATATTTGTGTATTGCTGTACATCCTGTGTATATTAAGCAATGTGTACGGGTTTGGACCTGCATGGGTGCATAACTAAAACGCTTAGCCCCGGACTTTAGATATGCTTTCAGTTGGTCAATGACAGTCTATTTTAGTTGCGCTGGTCTGAAAATAGCTACAAATCGCACCAATCACGTCTTTCACCTTATTGGGCCAGGCCTATGATAGGGCCCTATGTATTAATCTAATATTTTTGTTGATTGTTACTTAAAGAGAGGTAATTCTATACAACACATGCATATGAAAAATAGCTCTTGAATGATGGAGTGCACTCTGACTTGTAAGAGTCAAATAAACCTTGGTAGATTTTTATTCATGTGAGTTTTAAGTAATCAATTATTCATGATGAGACTTTTTTTATGCAGATACACCCACACAAAGCCAGAAGAATAGCGCGTGCTCTGTGTGTCATTGTTTTTGTAGTGCAGCTCTTTATAGTTCACATAAATGTCACAGGAAATATGAAAGGTGGACACCTCTGTGACAAACAGCTGATACAGTGATACTCAATGCACACAAACAGCTTCTGCTCTGTCCTAACTGTTCTGCATTCAACAGGTTTCAACTCTAGACACTTAAAGATCAGCTCAGAAGACAGAACACAGGCTGCAGTAGCATGGGATCAGAGTCGTGAGTAGTGCTCTTTAATGCACTGTATTAATGCTCTTGTATTGCAGCAACGCCAATAATACAGAAACCAGCACAGGTAGCCAGTTCACTGTTCAATAAGAGATGGAGGTTAGGTTGGTTTGCATGGTCAGATGAGATTCAAATGACGAATGATGCACTGTAAAAAAAAATGCAGGGTTCCACACAATTCATTCATGTTGTCCCAACACAAATCAATTAAGTTAACAGATTTAACAAATTTATTTGGATTAAACATAAACAAATGTTGTCCCAATGAAAAGTTGTTTTAAGTCAGCTCATTTTAAATAAGTATTAACAAGCAAAAAAAAAAAAAAAAAAAAAAGGATTTCAAAACAAAAACTGCAAAGTTAAAGGGTTAAACTGATTTCGTCACAAATATTCATATTCAGGTATATATATAATATATATATATATATATATATATATATATAATATATAATTTTTATATATATGTAAAATTCCATTAATTTAACTTCAGTTCAGACTAAAATAAGTTTCAATGTTTTTACTTGCTACAATTTCTTTTGTTGTTTTTGTTGTCGACAAATTCTTAAAACAAGATAACTTATAAATGAGGTGAAACTGAATAAAGAATGAATTTTCAGAGATTTTTGTGCAATGAATCTCCTAGATTTATTCCAAAAATCCTAAATATCGTCGCCACTAGCTTGCATGGTTTGGGATTGGTAGAGCTACACATCAATGGATTTGCTCTTCAGTGTTTGGACTCCCAGTAGTGATTATTAAATCACACTAAACTGAGCTAAACTGTACTGAACTGAACTGAACTTAAACCCTAAAAAGTGAACTACACTTTTATGTGAAGCTGCTTTGACACAATCTACATTGTAAAAGCGTTATACAAATAAAGTTGAATTGAATTAAATTGAAATATGTTCCTTTATTTGATCTATTTTTAAAAACTTTTTCAAATTCTATTTACATTTTTAAAAAATGGAAAGTGTGCCCAATACTGACCCTATTTCATCAAAATAAACACAAGTCAAAAAAGGTCAGTGCACATGTTAGCTTTTATTTCTTTTGATTACAAGTTAATAGGTGTAAGCGGGTGAAATAAGCTAAACGTAAGCCTGGCATTTGTATTTTCATTTTAACTTAAAACTCAAATTATGTGATACTTTTAATTCAGTAGATATATTATCATCATGTAAATTACATTGATCAAACTGATAAACACCGCAGAGGATATTATTATTATGTTCTATAAAACATGCAAAGCTGTTTTTTTCTCCACATATTCCCATCGTTAAATGATTCGGCAGTGATTATATGCAAATGCATAAAAAATTAATGTTTAAGCGTGTTGAATTCAAGCAAATATTTCTTCTTGTGTGCGAAGCAGGATCGTTTTTCCATTTTCGTCCATCTGCAAAAGAAGATTTTTACAGTAAATACAAAAAAGTAAATATTGGGACTTAAATACTGGAGTTAAATATATGAGCAATTTCATACGAGTAGCAGTGCGATATGACTGTATGACAATGTCCCACCAATGATGATATACAGTCAGATCGCACTGCTACGAGCGTGATATTGCGTTTATACAACAGTTTGACGACATATTCATGTATATAAAAAATAAAATCAAACACGGAGAGTCTCAAAATAGTTTTGTATAAGGGAATACTTTCTTCCACCATTCATTCACATCTGCAGCTGACGTCACAACAGCAGAAACCATTGCTACTTCACACACGACACTTTAGAGCTTGTATTTAAACAGTTTTATAGTGTAATGCCTAAAGTTATGACAAAACAGGTGATTTTACTAACATTTTAAGATTATAAGGCTGAACAGAATGAAGCCACCAGTCTACAGATATTTCCCAGTATTTCTCTGTTGCAATCAGAATATCACAATTATTGTGGATGGACAACATCAACCGTCTTTGCTCTGCTCAATGACAGGCTTATGGATGCCGATGCTTTGTATCTCAGAAATTATAATTTTTTAAATAGGCACTATCCTTATAAATAAACTGCTTAGTTGCAATCTAAAAAACAGCATACTTGCCTAAAAAGCCTCAAAAGTACACTATGTTGTCCAACAGCTGCTATATTTATGAAACTGTTGTGAGTTTATTGATCTACTGTCACTCTATGTGGAGTAATACAGAGGAGGCTGTACAAGTTCTGATACAGCAGGATATTACATGGCTATCAGCCAATCAGATTCAAGAACCAAACAGAACTGTTGTATAAATTGATGTATATAATGATTTACAGTAAAAAAAAATTACAATAGCTAAAAATATTATTTTTTTCAGCCCTAAACTTTGTGGATTATTTAATTAAAAACTGGCAGAACAACTTGGGGAAGCATATCTAACTGAAATTTACTAGCATTTGCCTTAATCTCATTAATTTAAAAAAAATTAAATAAATAACTAAACAAGCTTTATTTATATAGTAATGTACAAACAAATCACCTGCCAATTGGCGAATAACACTGTCATACAATGTTCATCATGAACTTTTACTAAGATTTTACTAAGCTCCATTTTTACAACCCAGTCTTTGTGATTTGATTATTTTACCAAACCACATCACATTCTCAGATATAGTTAGAATGATATGTTACTTTCCAATTGGTTGAGCAACAGTGTCATACAAACCCAAAAGGTTGATTTTTAAAACTATCACACACCAATTTCTATTTGCATATAATTACAATGCAATATTTGGTATTTGATAATTGCAGTAAGCCATAGCAAATTCACATGTAAGTTTAAAATATGACTTTTTAAAAAATTCTTTGCAATTTCTTTTCAAAATTTAAAATAATTGTAAGACTTTGACTTTTGTAGAGCCTCTAAAAGTGTCTTCTACAGGGCTCCATACCAAAAATCCAGTATAACCCACATTGTACTTCACAAATATCTATGTTTGTTTGTATGTAACTCACCAAGCCCATTTTGACAAGTATCTCGCCGTTGGCATGTGGAAGCTGGGGTTTGAGAGTAGGTGAGTATGAAGAGAGACGCCTGTCCCATTCAGTGGGCCCGAAATCATCTTTGACCTCCATGAAGACACGCTTAAGTTCAGTAACGCTAGCATGGTGCTTCATTATCATCTCCTGAGACACATCAAGGTCCTATAGAGAGCATTTATTAGTTTGACTGACTTAACATCATTTGTTACCATTAAACTAGACAAGCCATTATAAACCAAAATGTAGATTTGTGTTTTTTGTTTTGTTCGAGGAACTTCTGATAATGTGTGTTCATAAGAATTCTAACCCTTGTGTATTGTTCAAACTGACAATCCTTTCGTTATGTTTGTGACTTTATTATAACAGCAATTTTTGATTGAAAAGCCTTGACACAATATAATCATGCATTCTTTATTGTTGGTGGTTTTCCCTGTTATGAACAGGTAAAATCTGTCATTTTTACCGTTGATCATTTGTTGGCACCATTAACCCTTTAGACAGGGTGCAAGTTATACAATGGCGATCAAGGTGGTCAACTTTTTTTTTCAATAGATCAAATTTATTTATTTAAATGACATCAAGTTGATTAAAAAGACGTATTTAAGTTTTCGGTTCAAGTCGATATTTAATGTATTCTGTCATACAGTAAACTCTGATTATTTCAGAGGTTAGTGTAGCTCAAGCTATGCGTCTAAATTTACTTTACTTTTAGGCTATATGTAAATATAAACACCTATTTTAGAAGAAAAGTGTCTTGTGACCATTTACGATATCCATCACTGCTCTAGAGCTGCTGGTTGACTGTTGAATGATTCTTGCAAAGACTGATTGGCGCAATTATGCATGAACCCCTATAATGGTATGAACCATTATAGGAGTGGTCAAATGTATATTTGTATTAAATAATATTGTAATTATTAATATTATTATTTAGGATACAGATCAGGGAAAACTATCTGTCACAATTAAAGAGGAGACCTCCCATCTTGTTTTGACATTCTTCAGAGGGGATTAATCGTTAATTGGGGGAGGTCAATCCCCCGCAAAGTCCCCTGTAATTCGCACTCTGCCTTTAGATGGCCTGGGAAAAAAGTTTTTGGCTTTTACATAGAGTTCTGTCAAAACAGCCAATTGTAGAGTGTACATAATTATACTTACTATGTTCTGAGAGCTAAGGTGCTTATTTTTTGCACTCTAAACTAATGATCAACAGTAAAAGTGACAAATTTTTAACCGAGGTTTATTCTGAAAACGTACCCCTACATACATTTCTGGAGAGTGCCAAATATGTCCCCGGAGGTACATTTTATTATTTTTTTTGCAGTTTTTGTTTTCACAAATCCACAAGAGGCCACTGGGTATGCTTTTTCAGATCTCAAATTTCACTCGCAAGTGCCATTTGCACCTGCTGTTCTCACATAAGTCCACTAGAGGCCACTGTCAACTGACTGACTGACTGACTGACTGACCAATTGACTGACCCACCCTCCTCCTTCCCTTAACTGAACCAACAGTTATTTTTTTCAATTTTCACAATGTTTTCAGATTTTACCACATTCTTACCCTGTTATATACTTGTTTATTTTATTTTTTGGCTTCTGTTTTAGTTTCACCTGCTTTCTGTAACTGTTCTTCGATGGATTTGAAACCCGTTGTCGTGGTGAACTCCTCTCTGCGTCTCAAGTTCACCAACGTACATTGCAAGCTAACTGGACAAACTGGTAACAGTAGGAAAGCCATCCATATGCAGATAAGTGGCCAGCTGATAAGCATAAAAAGGAACGACATCATACCGCCATGTAGCGTTTGTTTTAAAGATGAAATGCAACCATACATACTTCTGGCTACATAATTCCATCTCCAAAAAATGTATATAGGGCTACGTTCTCAGGGCGTGCCTGTGTTGCAAATTTGACCTGTTTCCAACAGGTAAAACCATCAACAATAAAGATCGCAAAATCATACTGTGTCATGGCTTTGCAATCAAAAATTACTTATATAATAGAAGTCAATGGGGCAAAAACAGCAACCAGCATAACTAAAAGATAGTCAATTTGCCCAGAGTGTATTGAGTTTTGGATAAATTCCAAAGCATTTTCCCAAAATATGTGTCAAAATAAGATTTGCAACCAAAAATCATTCCATTTGATGAAACGGGAAGAGTTGTGGCCAAATTAAGCCTCAAAATCACCCCAGAGTGGATGAAAACGTCTCGGACAGCACACAAGGGTTAAGAGTCATACACTTCCTGACAAAAGTCTTGTTTCCTATCGATGTTTTAGGAACTAAAAATAAAACCTTGACTTTTAGTTAATCATTTGGCATCAGAAGTGGCTTATATAAAAGGCAAAGGCCTCTAGATTACGCTTATTATACCAAAATAAAATATGATCATGCCTTGATTTTTAATTATTTCATTAGGACAGTAAGGTCTGACTTTACATTTCCCCACCCAAAATATAAGTTCAGAAAAAAGTGTATCTGTTTGATTGGTCTTGTAGGATTATCATTAAACTTGAAAATCCCCCCAAAATACAAAAGTTCAGACATTTCACAAACCTCCAGCATCAGAATACTGTGACGAACATAAATGCTCTCTCCTTCAGTTTTCTTCGTCCATGTCTGTGAATAAGAAATAAAAATAAGATTATGTTTTAATATGCATAAGAAAGGAGAAATATGACAGAAATGGATGAGTAGCTCACCCTCCTCATGAGCGATGACTCGGTCTCAGCCTGTGGAGAAAGAGAAACATGATTTTAGTATATTGAAACATGAATATTTTCACATGTTGTTTTTGTGGGTACGTGATTCTAACCTCAGACTCCACTGTGATGTCCAGTATGTCTTTCGTCCTCTCCTTATAAGTTTTTGTAATGGACGCAGATTGTGCGGTTGGAGTAGAAGTCAGCGGTTGGTCGACAGGGATCTGTGGGCGGAGTTTAGGCAGAGATACTGGGGAAATAACTGGTGTTGATGGCGCACTTGGAACTACAGAAAGAGAATAGACATGTTACAGGAGAATACATTTGTAAAGTACATAATTTTTTTTACAAATTATTATCGAGGATTTCTAATCTCCCATAATACGTACTGTAATCTTTGAGGGTAATGCCCATTAGCATATACCAGTCATCCTCCACTTCTGTCTGCAGCTGCACTGCTCTTTCCTCTGACACGGCTGCTCTTTTCAGTCTTTCCTCTGCCTTGATCTGAATTCTCTTCTCTTCTTCTCGTCTCCACATCTCTTCCTCTCGTCTCCTCCTCTCTTTTTCCAGCAACCTTCTTTCTTCCTCCAGTTTCCTCCTCTCTTCTTCCAATATCCACTTCCTTTCCTCTACTCTTCCCTTCTGTTCCTCAGCCATCCTTTCCACTTTCAGGACATCTGCCACAACTTTAAAAATAGAAAATGGAGGCTTTTAACTAAACATTTATATAATAAACTCCAATAGGTCTGGCATGCATGATACAAAAGGGGAAATTTTTCGATTTTAGTACATAATTGTTTGCGCCTTAAAAAAAAAAAGTTCCTGGGATTTGCCAATAATATGTGCTTTGAGTTTAATTGTATTCGTGTTTTCCCAGTAGGCCAAGGTCATGGGACGTTACATTTTGTTTGAAAATAAAAATTGGGTTGACATCAGAACCCAACATCAGGCCGACATCAATGTCCAATGTCGGACAGTCGTTGCATTTTGGTTACTTTCCAACGCAACCTAAAAACAAAATATCAACATCAAAGCCTGGTTTATACTCGACGTGTCCGCTTGTTCGATTGAGTGCGCGCAGCGAATGTGACGTCATCGCAGAGTTTGCGGATGTTCGCTTTGAGTGCGGGCAACATGATTTCGGCTGGCGGTGTGCACTTAATTTTTTGAGACTCGAGTCAACAGTGCACGCAGTGCCGCGTTTAATTTGAATTGAATATGAAACACTCTAAAGAGATTTTGTCTGAAACAGTACGACTGATCATAGAGATAACCAGATGATCAATAATTCTTGGCTAGAAATAGCAAAAGATGTGGGAAAGGAGAAAGTTTTTGTTAAAAGGTTTGGAAAAACCTGAGGGGTAAGTTTTTAAAAACAAAAGAGGTCATGGCAAAAGTGAATAAATAAAAAATATATTTGTAGAGCAAGTCATGTTCTGTTATTATTAATATTTTATTAAACATTAATAGGTAAAACTGTCCGAGATATGAACAAAAGCAAGTGATGCATAAAAAGTTTGATTTAACAAATCTTCAATTGTTATTAAAACCCTTATCATCATTAAAATAATTTATAAAAACAATAAAAATAATTAGCTTAAAAATACTGAAAAATATTAATGATATGACGTAGGTTGGGAAACTTTTCCTAACTTTCCTAAAAGCCTCGTCCGTTTCGTGAGGCGCCAGGCGAAAGTATAAATCCAGCTTGATGATGTTACAGCTTGACGTTGTGTGGACGTTACTAATATGACGTCTATCAGACATTGGATTTTGGTTGCCATACCTGACGAATAAATGTCAGTATTTGACATCAATATGACGTTGGTTTAAGATGTAGGCTTGACATTCGTTTTTGGTCACTTTCCAATCAAACCTAAAATCAACCAAATATCAACATTGTTATTGGACGTCAAAATAACTTTGTCCTAAAATACTGGAGACCTTAATCTAACATAATATTAATGTCTTATGACATTGTGTCTCTGCTGGGTTATTTTAGAAATTACTGCTATAGTGTCTTCAATATTGTAAAAAGAAATATTATCAGTTAGATTTTTTTCAACAGGTCAATATGAAATGATCCATGTTTTGAGAACACACACATGCATTAAATTGATCAAAAAGTGAGAAAAGTTGAGGTGATCGAAAGAGAAAAATGTATTTCCATTTCCACATGGACGCAGACATATCTTGAAATGATACACAAAATGTTAGAATTTTTACAAGGAAAAGAACACATTTGCTGCTGTGTGGATGTAGCCTAAATGTGAACGCACCGGTTTCTTTAGGTAAAACATCAAAAAGAATGAACCAGTCGTCTTCGATCTGTGGCTGTGAGTGTGTTGCCACCGTAATGGATGGTTGAGCTCTTCTAGCTTCCAGCTCCTGTTTTGGCTTCTCTGGTTTTCTCAGTCTCCTCTCCTCCTCCTCTTCTCTTCCTCTCATCTGCTGCTGTCTCACTCTTCTGTCCTCCTGTTCTTTTATCCTGCGCTCTTCAGATACCACTGAAACTATAAATCACACATATTAGTAGGTAGTGGTGGAAAGAGTACTGAAAAATCATACTCAAGTAATGGTACCATTGATATGCAAAAGATCTAGAGCAACTAGAGTAAATGTAAATGTATCCGTTATAAATACATTAAAAGTCAGAATTATTAGCCGCCCCTGAATTATTAGCTTCTCTGTTTATTTGTCACCCAATTTCTGTTTAACGGAGAGAAGATTTCTTCAACACATTTCTTAATAACATAATAGTTTTAATAACTCATTTCTAATAAGTGATTTATTTTGTCCTAGTTAATAGTGTGCCATTTGGGACGCAGCATTTATCTTCGTTATTACTGGTTATAACATCTCTAAACTGAAAGAATACCAGAAGTGAATAGAGAATAAAACAGACAGCTGTCTTAACCTGAAGGGACACTTCTCTTCTGATAGGATGTTTGATCCAGAAGCTCAAACCAGTCATTATCAACCTCTCGAACCTCAACAGGAATCATCTGGGGAAGAACTTCAGCAGCTTTTCTGCGCTCATCAATGCTCACTCTCCTTTCTTCAGCGATCAGCCTTTTCTCTCTAAACTGCTCCTCCACCACACGCTGAACTCTTTGGTCTTTTGATTCACGAAGCTCAAATTCTCTGCTTCTGATATCTGAAAGAACAACAGAATATGTTGATTTGTCCACACTTTTGGGACTGTTATGCATCATGGGAAAATTTTGAAATAGTTTACATGATATTTCCCCAATTTTTATGATTTTCCTACTTCTGTTGAATACAAAACAAGATATTCTGAAGAATGTTGGGAAAAAAGCAGCCACTGACATGTATATGGGAACAAAGAACAAAAATATTATGGAAGTCAATGTTTTTTCCCCAACATTTTTCAAGATATCTTCTTTTGTCCTCAACAAAATAAAGTAACTGAAAAACAGGTTTGGAAGTGGGGAATAAGTAAATTATGACATTTTGTGTGTTTTAACTACCTCTTTAATTTATTAAAAAAATATTAATCTAATTTATAAAATTAGTCTTTTTGTAATATTAGTCTGAACTTTTGAATTGCGTTCTGGGATGTGGAGTTGCCTTTGTCTTTTGAAACAAAATTTATTTAAGTACTCAAAATAAAATTGAATATCACTTTGTTAAATGTTTCAAAATCAACCAAAAACAGCAATTAATCACCAAAAAACAGTCATTTTTATTACTAATTATTATTATCATTGCTATATATTTGAAATAGTGTTAAACATAGCAAAAATACACTTTCTGTTTTATTTCTAATATTATGATTTTTCATTATCTTCTCACCCTCATCTTGTTACTAAAAGGTGATTTTTCTTATTTTAGCAAAAATCACTAAAAGTTTCAATCATTATTATTGATGATGTTAGACTGTTTGTTTCTCCTTATCTAGAGGTTCACATAATCTTTGATCTGGCCTGTATCTTCACAAATGTTTGTTGTTGCTTTTATTATGTCTTTGAACATGATTTTTTACTACTATTGCTATACAACTGTGACAGTGTTTAAATTCATGTGTGATGCTTTACCTGATGGAAAACTCTCCTTCTCATAAGGCACTTTGTCAAAAAGCTGAAACCAGTCATCATCAATGTCTCTGGGCTCCACTGGAAACTGTGGGATTTGTGTTACGCTGATTCTCTTCGTCACTGTTATCTGTTCTCTAGTGCTCACCGTCATCACCTTAATCACTCGCTCCTCTTTTCTCACTCTGCTCTCAATCTGTTGCTCTCTGCTCTCCACAAACACAGCTGGACCTTGCACTGAAAAACAAACACAATTTTTGATGAACATTTTATTTTTTGGTTCATATGTGCACATATCACATATAAAGTTCAATATTCTTTCCATATATGTGCCAACTGAGAACATCCCAGACACACATACTTGCTTCCTCATTATCATGGTGTGAGACGTTAACATGTAACTTGTGTCAGATAGATCAGGGGATCAGATATTGGGCAATGTTAGGCCGTACTCACACTATGTACAGTTGCCTCGAACCGGGCCAAAGCACACTTTTCCCCCCTCTCGTCTCCCCCGACGGCCCGCACTCACACCACAATCAGGGCTGGGCACGCTTACGTCATCGATGCTGCGCTGTTCAGTAGAGAAGCGCTCTCGCTCAGCACAGTGGAGATTTCTCTATGTTATATCTTTTCAGTCGTTTGATATGCAGTGACATGCAGTCAAATATTTCGCCAAACAGTCCTTAGGAATGCGGTGACACAAGCGCTCAAACAATCATAAAGCCCTCGTGCTGCAGGAATGAGGAGGTTTGCTGAAGGTGCGCAGCTGCCGCGCTCAGGCCCACCTCTTCCAACCGGGCCAGGGCCGGCCAAGTGAACAGTGCTTGAGCCCGATTCAGCGCACTCACACTTCTCAAATGATCCGGGAAACGGGCCTTGGCACGGTACGGATGGCATAGTGTGAGTAGGCCCTTAGTGACTGGTTTATCAATAAATCATCTGCACTAACAACAATCTCCACAGCACTCTGTTCTTCACCTCATTTAATCACTTAAGGCTCTATTTTAACAAAAATAGAAGTGCATTTTGATCTAAAGAGCATGACCCAGATGCACGTACAGCATGTTTGAATCCACTTTTGCTATTTTAAGAATAGGAAAAACAGTCTGCGAGCCCAGCATATGATCCAAGTGGGCTGTCCTTATTTTCTTATTGGGTTATGGGTGTGTTTTGGGCATAATGTCCATTAAACCAGTCAGAATCTCATCTACCATTCCATTCAAAAGTGAGTTGTGGTTGCGCCATGACACATTTCTTATTTACATTGTAGACTTATGTTGGAAAAATGTATTAAAATGCTTTACACAACAACAATTCCGATACAATTAAGTATTAAAAACCACCTTAAATAAATGAGTTTTGAATCTTGTTTTGAATAATGTAATAAAGAAAAATGTTTCTGATGGCAGGTGGTAGTGAGTTACAAAGCCGGGCAGTAGAGAGGCTGAATGCTTTACTGCCCATAGACGAGCAGAGGGAACAGACAAGTGCAAGGAGGAAGAAGATTGCAGGGTGCGAGAGGGAGTGGCAGACAAATATGGAGGGGCAAGATTGTGGATGGCTTTGAATGTTAACAGCAAAATTTTTAAATCCATTCTAAATTGAACCGGTAACCAGTGAAGCTGCTGCAGGACAGGGGTGATGTGATGAGAAAAAGGGGTTCTGGTGATGATAAGGGTAGCTTAGTTCTGGACCAACTGAAGCTTACAAAGGGATTTAAGAGTGAGACCAAAGAGAAGCAAGTTGCAGTAATCTAAACGAGATGTGACAAAGCTATGGACAAGAACAGCAGTGGTGTGAGGGGTAAGAGAAGGGCAGAGTCGGTTAATATTACGTAGGTGGAAGTAAGCAGACCGGGTGATGTTATTGATGTGAGAATCAAAAGATAAGGTACTATCAAGGGTGACACCCAGGCTCTTAACCTGTTTAGAGGGGTTAATTAAACGGTCTTCAATAGAGAGAAAAAAGCTGTCAGTTTTGGAGAGTGTTGATTTGGTACCAACAAGCAAAACCTCAGTTTTTTCAAATATAATTTGAAGAAGTTGAGAGAGAGCCAAGATTTGATTTCTGGAAAGCAGACTGTAAGGGACAAAGGTGAAAAATTAAAAGAGGGTTTGCCAGAAAGGTAGATGTGGGTGTCATCAGCGTAGCAGTGGAACTGTATTAAATTTATGTAAATTATGTTATATTCACGGAGAATATTACCAAGAGGAAGGAGACAAATGATTAAAAGCACAGGCCCCAAGACTGAGCGCCGGGGCACACCCGAAGAAACTGTAAAATGTTGAGAAGTGAATGATTTGAGTTGAATGAACTGAGTAAGGCCAGAGAGATAAGATTTGAACCAGTTAAGTGGGATGTTAGTGATGCCAAGAGAAGATTGTGTATAGATGAGGGTGCCGTGTCAAACATCGCACTTAGGTCGAGAGGCATAAGAATATGTATTGGTCTATTAGCTGCCATAAGAAGATCATATAGGTGACTTTTATAAGGGCAGTTTCCGTGCTGTGGAGTGGGTGGAAACCAGACTGGAACTGTTTGTACAGGTTGTTCTGAGATAAATGGGTTCTGCTCAACATCATCATGATATCAATGATTATTTTTTTAACCCAGTGGCAAAATGTTTTGAGCAAAACTCAGGTGAAGGTCATTTTCATTTTTATTTTTATTATCATTATTATTATTCCTATTTGTGGTGTAAGGCATGTGTGATGCTTTACCTGATGGAAAACTCTCCTCCTCATAAGGCACTTTGTCAAAAAGCTGAAACCAGTCATCATCAATGTCTCTGGGCTCCACTGGAAACTGTGGGATTTGTGTGACGCTGATTCTCTTCGTCTCTGGTACTGTTATCTGTTCTCTAGTGCCCACTGTCATCACCTCAATCACTCGCTCCTCTTTTCTCACTCTGCTCTGAATCTCCTGCTCTCTGCTCTCCACAAACACCTCAACAGCTGGACCTTGCACTGAAAAATAAACACAAGACATTAAAAATATTTAGATTTGTGTTGATGTGCTTAGAAATGAATAGTGAAATATGATAAAGCCTTTGACTAAAATGCTCAGTTTGCATAGACAATTTTTTTTATCTTTGTTTATTGCCAATGTTTTTGCAATAATAGACTTGCAATGAAAAGAGGAATTCTTCATGTATGGTTAAAAATGTGGGTTCTGAAGACAACCCAAGTCTTTTAGATTTGAAGGATTATTAAATAGTGACATAAGGATGAGTAAATAATGACAGAATTTTAGTCCCAAGCCCCTCTGTAAATTAACAGGGTAACACTAATCAAATAAGGCTCAGAACTAGTGTTCAAGGATGCCTGCTACATTCTTGTATAATCATAGAGCAAGATCTTGATCTGGGCACTGGGCATCTGGGTCTGACTTACAGTATGACTCCACAGTTATAAGGTTAGTTTAGGAATGTTGACTGTCCATACACCATTGAACAGCTAGAAGCTTAGGTTGTTTGATGATGTGACCATGAAATGGAAAGTGGGCATTGGTTTCATGATGAACACAATTGTTTGGCAAACCTTATAAGCAGTTTTTCAATCGGGTAACTGTCTGAAGTCTTCTAATTTTATACTGGGGTGTGCCGGGGGCATCATATTTCTCCCTGCTTTTTAACCCAATCATTAGCACAATTTTGAATGGTGCTTGTGATGAAAGGAGAGGAGTCCAATCTTCTAAAAACAAACTGACATCAACCTGATGTTTACTTATGGTAGTACCATCTTAGCCAATTGCAAAGCCAAAGCCACTGATACCTTCAATGACATCACTTATTTAACCCTGCAGTATCGCCTTAAGATCAGTTCAGATCACACCAAAGTACTGACAATGGCTGGCCTGAAAATATGTTTACTATATGCAGATCAAACCCAACAAAGAAGATTGAGATTATTACAGAATAGACGGCTCAGCTATCTTTATAAAAAAAAACACACACTCATGGCATTAATAATTCATTAAATATAAATATCATACTTTTATCTACTCAGCCAAATTATATTATTATGCACTGTATATTAACCCAGCAAAAAATCTTACTGAAATAGACATTGCCCATGTTAGTCTGTCTGTTTCTCTTTATCCCAAGGTTCACATAATCATCAATCCGACTTGTATCCGTACAGATGGTTATTGTTTTTATTATGTCCTGAATTATTATTTATTTTTACTATTGCTATACCCCCGTGATAGTGTTTAAATGCGTGTGTGATGCTTTACCTGATGGAAAACTCTCCTCCTCATAAAGCACTTTGTCAAAAAGCTGAAACCAGTCGTCATCAATGTCTCTGGACTCCACTGGAAACTGTGGGATTTGTGTGACGCTGATTCTCTTAGTCTCTGGTACTGTTATCTGTTCTCTAGTGCTCACCGTCGTCACCTCAATCACTCGCTCCTCTTTTCTCACTCTGCTCTGAATCTCCTGCTCTCTGCTCTCCACAAACACCTCAACAGCCGAACCTCGCACTGTAAACAAACACAAAGCCTTAAGTATATTTTAATTTGTCTTTTTATGGTATGGTACACTGTTAACCCTTACTGTAGATTATGCAGTAAATAACTGTAAAATAGCCAGTGTTTAGCTGTAATGAAAAGAAACAGTATTTTACTGTAAAAGGAGCAGGATTTGTGTGAAATTCTGTAGTGCAAAGAATAAATTACAGTAATTTACTCTATGTACCATTACAGATTTTTACTGTGATAATGAATGGTAAATTACTGTTCAACCATTACTGCCCCATCTACTCTGATGCTTTATGTTGCTATTTTATATTTATTTTATCTCTGTGTTTTCTTTGGTTCCTTTTGTGTTCTTAACATTGAGTATCAGGAGTCAACCAATGCCACAGAGCTTATTAAAAGGTAAGTGTAAGATATGGACAAAATGCATTTATAGGCAAAAATATTCACACAGAGCAAAGAAATTGTCACAATAATTTTTATAACTTTGTTTAGTTTTTCTATAATTAATCTAATTTAATTGCCTAGTTTGACCTATAGTTAAGATTTTAAATTGCACTTTCAACTGAATATTAGTATTTTGCTAAATAACTAGTAAAAATGTGTTATTTAAAAAAAAAAATATATATATATATATATCTTAAACAACACGCACATACATTTTTGCAGAGACTTAATGAATTTGTCTGGAAAACTGGCAAGTAAAAGTGCCATTAACAGTATAAAGGCTTTCCTAAATAAATGTATAAATCATGATATTTGTTGTGTTTTTTAATATTACTACAGATTTGGAACGACATGAGAATCAGATTATTTATTTTTATTTTTTTCTATAGATGAAGTTTATATTATAGTATATTTTTATTGTTTTTATTAAACGATATGTGCATAACTGTGATAAATGTAGGCAGTTGCTTTGAAAATATGCCATGTACCAGGGGTGTCAAACTCCTGAAGGCCACAGCCTAGTAGAATTTAGTTCTAGCCCTGCTTCAACACACTACCTTTAGATTTAGTTTGATCAGGTGTGTTTAGTTAGTATAACTGCACTGTTACTCTGTAGATTGTGCAGTAAATAACTGTAAAAAACAATGATTTAGGCATCACCACACACTCCCACAGGCTGTCCGTCTTATTCTAAACACAAAGGTGTTAGAAAGAGTTTTCAGAAAATACTGGCCCTTTAAGAGAGCCAGGTGTTTGATTTGTTTACTGCTGAGTGTGCTCTATTCTCTGTCTATCAATTCAGATGTTGAGTCTGATATGTTTAAGACTTTAAATAAGAATCTAAAATGAGTAAGTAAAATGTGTTCAAATGTTTTTGAGGGTTTATAAAATAAGGCTGTGTTTTAAGTTATATTTTTGTTATCTTAAACTGTGTACTTGAAAGCTACATTGTTAGCTAGTTAGCCTCTCCTCATATAACTTCTTACATTACTTTTGTTTAAGTATTTATTGGATATTGCATACTGCCATAATGTACAGATGCTAACAGTTGTATGTATCTTTCTGGCAACTAAGCCAAAATTAAATTCCTTCATCTCTGTAAGGTAACATGTGCACATCATCACAGGGAATCACAAAAATATGATACACATAGCCATCCACACACAAAAGCTCCACTGTCCGGTCCCAGGTTGTGAGTTTGTTGCTAAGTATTTTTCAGAGCAATGTTTCCACCTATGAATTTATATTAGAAACAATAAAAAAGTTTGTTGTCATGAGATAATTATAACAATAAAAGATTGCATTCTTTGGTTTTTCGGTGTTGCCAACTTTATTTTTGTATTCTATAATTATTTTAAACTTTTTGAGATTTGACAGAGCTTTTAATTATTTAAAACTTTAAAATTTAAAAGAATTATTTTGTGTTTTTTGCTGTTCAGTTTTTTTTTTTTTTTTGCATAGTCAGCATTGAGGAGAGAGTAACACATTTCACTGCAGCACTTTGTGTGGGTGTGTGTTTATTGGATATGTGATTGTGATAAATGTTGGCAGTTGCTTTCAAAGTATGCTATATACCAGGGGTGCTTAATCCTGTTCCTGGAGATCTACCTTCCTGCGGATTTCAGTTGCTATCCATATCAAACACACCTAAACCAATTAATTAGGACCTGAACACCACGTGATAATTACAGGCAGGTGTGTTTGATATGGGTAGCAACTGAAATCTGCAGGAACGTAGATCTCCAGGAACAGGATTGAGCACCCCTGCTATATACCATGGGGGTCAAACTCCAAGTTCCTGGAGAACTGCAGCGCAGCAGAGTTTAGTTCCCACCCTGCTTCAACATTACCTGTAGATTTCTAACAAGCCTTAATTAGTTTGATCAGGTGTGTTTAATTAGAGTTACAGCTTAAAGTCCCGGTCACACTGCACTTTTCTCCCTATAGACTTCCATTCATACGCATGTGAGTACTGCAGACCTGGAATGCATGCTCATGCAACAAATTTTACAGTTTGCAGCATTGGAAAGTTCAAGCTTGGAGATCTCTGACCTGCGAAATCACATCATGTGATTGCTTGAGACCAATCAAAGATCAAAACATGACCTGTCTGAACAGAAATTATGGACCAGTTGTTTGCTTTTTCAATCTCTAAATATTTTGTTTAATCCCACTCCTTTTCGCAGAGCCATATGACAGAATTTTGCATGCTTAAACGTTAGTTTGACTGCAGCCTTGCTGTGCAGACCTGTGGCTCTCAGTAATATGTATGATGATATTTATATCTGCTGATTTCTTAATTTTGTTATACATTTTCTGTTTTATATTTGTTTGCTGCCAAAACAATAAAATAAATTTGTCAGAATTTACAACTTAATTAATTTAAAGAATTAATAACAGGTAAGAATACTAATTAATTTTAGTAACACCTTGACATACTATTGTGTATGCAGTATAATGCTGTGAGTTTTAACACTACAGTACAGTAATTAACTGTACACAGTTTCCAGTTAGTTACCACTACTGCTCTATTACAGTAATTAACTGGCAACACTGTTGCCAGCTACTCACTGCAATGGTTCGGTTTCAGTAAACAACAGGCAACACTGTTGCCAGCCACTCACTGTAATGGTTCAGTTTCAGTAATTAACTGGCAACACTGTTGCCAGTTACTTACTGTAACCAAACTTTTACAGTGAGTAGCTGGCAACAGTGTTGCCAGTGTTCTACTGTAAAAAAAGCCTGGTAAGGTCTAACAGTGTATGTAACAAAAAAAGCATTGTTTACATCCAATCATTTTATTCAGAAGACTGAATTAAACTGTTCACTTCATATGACTTCATTTTTAGATAACTTTCTGAACATTTGGATGAGACTTTTAATGGACATGAACAGAAAAATCTTTCAAATTTTATACAAATTTTCAAAGGATTTGGAACAACATGGGGGTTCGTAAATTAAACAATTTTATTTCTGTGTTAAAATAACAATTTAAAGTTATTTTAGAGGGAATTTAAAAAAAAAAAATGACATTGTAGCGATCTGACTGGGTAGGGGTGCCTATTTAAATATATATATATATATATATATATATATATATATATATATATATATATATATAAATAAAAAATGTATATATTGTATTAAAGCATTTAATATTTTGGTTAAATGCCAATGTATTCAGTGTTTCATGCTTAAATTATAGCAAGGAACATTACATTTCTGACTCATGCTGAAAGTGTGCAAGAAATCAATATTTACAATGTTTATTTTGCTAGCTCAAATTATTATTCTTAAGGTGAATCATAATTTATGCAAGTTAATCCACTGAAAACAATTTGTTTTGATAACCTTGAATTAAAGTATGAGAGAAAATTTCTCAAAGATATCTGGCCTTGGGGCCTTGAAGAAACTCATTTATAGTGTTTAAGATACACTGGAAATACAAGTGCTGCAATAATGTGCAGTACATATTCCTAGACATCTAATAAACAAAAAATATGTCATTTTAAAACATCAGAAAGCCTATACTAGTTGTACAAGTCAAGTCCCTATAAGATGTTTTATTCATTTTTGTTATACACTTGAAACAATGGTTAAAAATGTAAGCAAATGCAAATTTAATTTCTGCTTTATATCTCACAATTTTTACACTGACAATTTTTACACTGATAATGATTAATTCTAAATAAAACTAATTATTTTATTATAAACTCACCATCATCACCACCACCATCATCATCATCATCATCTTCATTACTACAAAGCATTTTTTACACACTATTTTATTTTAGCAAAATTCAGTAACAAAATAACTACACACTATGAGTCATTTACTAAGCATTAACATCTAGTGAATTCATTATTTGTTAGACATTAACTCTACGTTTTTAAACGTTAGTAAGCAGTTATAACTGCTGCTACAAATGCTGTATTTTTTCTTGACTTACAACTATATTTATCATAAGGTTAATAATAGTACTTTCACAATTTGTTAGTAATTTATTTTTCATTACTAAATAAAGTAATGCATTATTTACAAGCCATTTTTATTCAAGAGTAGTTGGTGGTTTTTATGATAATTCAGAACAAGTTAGTAAATGATTAATAAACTATTGAAACCAACATTTATATATCTTATTCCGGCATATAGTAATGGTTACTATGTATGTAATAAATGCTTTATTAACTAAACTTCATGCAGTTTTGTGACCTAATCCAAAGTTAGGACTCATTCATTCATTCATTTTCTTTTCGGCTTAGTCCCTTTATTAATTCGGGGTCGCCACAGCGGAAAGAACTGCCAACTTATCCAGCATGTTTTTACACAGCGGATGCCCTTCCAGCCGCAATCCATCTCTGGGAAACATCCACACACACACACACATTCACATTCGTACACTTCGGACAATTTAACCTACCCAATCCACCTGTACCGCATGTCTTTGGACTGTGGGGGAAACCAGAGTACCCGGAGGAAACCCACGCGAAGGCATGGAGAACATGCAAACTCCACACAGAAACGCCAACTGACCCAGCAGAGGCTCGAACCAGTGACCTTCTTGCTGTAAGGCGACAGCAATACCTACTGCACCTCTGCGTCACCAGTAAGGACTATTTATGCTCCGTAAATCCTTTATAAATTACAATTAAAGGCTCAGTATCAATTGAACAATATTCATTCGCAATCTTATCAAAAATTCAAATTACTGTAAAGTTCAAACTTTGCTGAATGACAAGAGTGTCAAAATATGACATAAAATTGGATAAAACAACAACAATATAACAATTTAACAATATAATAAGATGCAATGTTTAAATGTACAGTAATTTTATTTTACACAAGGTTACAAAGATTTTTTTTAAATTTGAAGTACAGTTTCATTTGTGTATCTTCAAATGATTGGGAATGAATAATGTTGTTTATGTTCTTTTTTTCCTGTTAAGAATTTAACTGAGCCTTTAATTGTCATTTATTAGGGATTTATAAAGCATAAATAGTCCTCACTTTAGATTAGGTCACAAAACTGGATGAATTTGAGTTTATAAAGCATTTATTAACATACAAACTAACTATTAGTATATGCCTGAATAATAAGAATAAGAAATGTTTATTTTAACAGTTTATTAATCATCTACTAACTCATTCTGAATGATAAAAAAACACCAACTACTCTTAAATCACTGGTTAGTAAATAATGCAATACTTAATTTAGTAATGATAAATAAATCATTAACAAAGTATGAAAGTACAATTATTAAGCACATTATAAATGTGGTTGTAAGTCAAGAATACAGCATTTGTAGCTGCTGTTATAAACGGCTTACTAACGTTTATTAATTTAGAGTTAATGGTTAACAAATAATGAATTCATTATTTGCTAATGATTAATAAATCTTTTATATTGTGAAGTTGTTATAAAGTGTTAACCAAAACTTTTATTAAAGTTTCCAGTCATTTTATATAGGATTCTTATTGCTACACACCCATGATAGTGTTTAAATGCGTGTGTGATGCTTTACCTGATGGAAAACTCTCCTCCTCATAAAGCACTTTGTCAAAAAGCTGAAACCAGTCGTCATCAATGTCTCTGGGCTCCACTGGAAACTGTGGGATTTGTGTTACGCTGATTCTCTTCGTCTCTGGTACTGTTATCTGTTCTCTAGTGCTCACCGTCATCACCTCAATCACTCGCTCCTCTTTTCTCACTCTGCTCTGAATCTCCTGCTCTCTGCTCTCCACAAACACCTCAACAGCTGGACCTCGCACTAAAAACATAGACACAGTGGATGAATAATGTTTCATTTTAGTTTAGTTATGCGTGTGAGTGTGTGTGTACCTGTTTCTTTTGGAGAAACATCAAAAATGATAAACCAGTCGTCCTCCACATCTCCTGCTTGTGTTGTCCTCTTCTCCACAGTGATTGGCTGTGGTCTCCTGTCTTGTACGGTCACTTGTAGTTTCTGCTCTGTTCTCTGAATCACCTCCTCTCTGGTCTCTTCGTGGAACTCAACAGATGTGCTTTTCACAGTGGACGCTAAAACAAAAACAACCCATCATGCTTATATGTTTTACATAAGAGCACAATACTGGTTGTGTGTTACCATGTATACCTGACGTTTTTGGAGATCCATCCAAAACAACAAACCAGTCGTCTTCTTGGTTACTCTGAGGCTCTGTTGCTCTTTGCTCAAGGATCGCTGTCTGTGATCTGCCATGATTCACTGTCACCTGCTCTTGGTGTTCTTTTTGGATCTCCTCTGTTGTCACTCGACTCTGAATCGTCTCCTCTCTCATCAGTGTTTTTGGCTTCTCTGGCAGCACCAGCTCTATTTTTTCAACCTCTCTCTTTACTTCTTCAGCCTGAGCCCCTTCAGGAATAGAGCTGCTCACATCTGATAAAAACACATCTTAGTGGTAAATTGACATTTCTCAAGAAAATGAAATTTATTTGTGAATGATTGTGATGTTATAATAATCAGAGATCAGGAGGACAATATGACCAACACAGGTAAATTGGTGCAGCTTAAAGGGATAGTTCACCCACACATTTAAATTATGTTATTAGCTACTCATCATCCGAGATGTCTGTTTATCTTCAGAACACAAGTTAAGATATTTTAGATGAAATCTGAGAGCTTCCTCATCCATCATAGACAGAAGTGGTTCTGAGACGTTCAAAGTTCAGAAAAGGAACCAAAAATATTGTCAAAACATTCCACCTGAATGTAGCAGTAATGAAACTGTCATCATTTGAAGCTCCAAAAACACCTTTATGTTGTGAAAAAAAAGTAAAAGTAATGTTCCCCTTCGGGGGGAACTTCAGCACTATAAGTGGATTTGATTGTAAAATCCACGCATTGGGAGGTTCGGTTCAGAAGCTACTCGTCTGAAAGAGTATTGAACGGGCCAATTAAGAATGAATTGGCAGCGCAAGCCTGCGCAGGTGAGCGGCATAAGCAATCAACTGAGTATATAAGCTCACCTGGCGCCAGCAGACGCTATCCTTTTCGCTTCAGAGACTTTCTGATCGAGTCGATGAGGGTTCCTCCTGCTGTGACCAGCGATTCTGAGCGAACGAGAGCATTCTCCCGGTCCAGAGTGTGTACACGCAGTGGCAGACGGTCGAGCTGGGTTTCTCCCTTGCCTGGCGTTCTTTGGGTCCGGTCCTCCAGAGCGGTGCGTATAAAGTTGCAAACTTCACAGAAAGAGCAACACAGTCGTGCAGCACGTCCTTATCAGGACGGCGCTCCGACTGTGCGTTTCTGGATGCGGTGGTTTCCTGTCCTCGGATGATGGGCGCGGGCACTGCGTTACATGTCTGGGGGTCCAGCATGTTAATGCGCTGCTCGCGGGCAGTTCATGTCGTCATTGCGATGCCATGACTGTTGCGCAAGATCGCGGTTAGCCTTTGCAAAAGGGCGAACCACCCCAGTTGTCCCCTGCTCTGCAGCGGGCACTCGGGCAGATCTGAGGGTTTCAGCGAGAGATAATCCGTCGCCCACGGGCCCGCGGACCTCCCGCTCCTCTAAGCGCTCCATCCAAGCTTCGGGCGGGGGAAGCGATACGTCTAACAGATGGTAGCCCTTACGCCCGATGACACCGGAGACCAGATGTCCACCGCGGCATCTAAGGGTGGGCTTTCATTGTCCGATGATGATCCAGACCCACTCGCCCCCTTCGGGCTGGTGAGCGCTGTCACTACGGATCCTGAAACGGACATGTTAGCCGTGCTTTCCCGGGCTGCTTCGGCCGTGGGTTGGAGATGGTTTATCCCCCAGCTCCGCGGCCGGACCGACTAGAGGGGCGTTCCCTTCTTCCCGGAGGTGCACAGTAGGCTCACGCGGTCTTGTAAAGCACTTTTTTTCTGCTCGTGCTGCGTGTTCCTCCACCCTAACCACTCTTGACGGTGAAACAGCCAGGGGGTATGTGGCGATTCCTCAGGTTGAGTGCGCGATGGCGGTAAATCCGCGCGGCGCCTCTTCTTGGCGGGGTCCGCCTCGTCTCCCATCCAAAGCCTGTAAGTTATCTACCTCCCTCGGAGCTAGAGCTTACATAGCTGCGGGCCAGGCTGCTTCCGCCTTGCATGCGATAGCCACCTACCAGCGCTACCAAGCGCAGGCGCTGGCCGAGCTGCACGAGGGTGGGTCCAACCCAGGCTTACGAGCTTCGCACCGCCGCCGACTTAGCTCTTCGGACTACTGAGTCCGCTGCGTGTGCGTTGGGGAGGACGATGTCCACATTAGTGGTCCAGGAGCGCCACCCCTGGCTGATATGCGCAAAGTCGACAAAGTCCACTTTCTTGACTTCCCCATATCCCCAGCCAGGTTCGGCGACACTGTCTGTGAATTCACCCAGGAATTCAAGGCGGTGAGAGAGCAGTTGGTGGGTGATGTCTTATCGGCGGTCCGTAGCCCGCTCCGCCCGCCGTGCCATTCATACCTGCTCCTCGCCGAAGGCGCCCGCCTACGAGAGCTGCTCCGCCCCCGCACACGCCTCCGGCGAAGCGAGCGCGTCGGGCACCTCGGAAGCAGGCAGCCCCCCTGCCCAGAACGCCGCTAAGTCTGGCAACGGACCGCGAAGCGCCCCTGGGACAGGCCATCTGGAGAAGAGGGAACTTGCTCTTTCCCCGCTGGAGGGCGGGGCCCCATTTCCAACGGCACTTTTTACTGCCATGAAAACATTATGAAAGGGCACTTTTCACTTCCCCAAATGAGACAGCCCGAAATCTGCCAGTCTGGGACGCTATGCTTTCTAGCTTGCAGATTCGGTGCGTTTCGCCAGTGGCTCACGAGCGCTGGGAGGACGTCTCCTTTCTCCCACCCCTCGAGCCTCCCCTCCGGAGCTCGGGTTTGGAGTGAGAGCAAATATCTCACCTCCAGCTTTTCCGTGGGACCCGCGAGCTTCCCGGATCAGCACACCCACTCCGCGCTGCCCCACTGCTGGTACGTCAGCGATTGTAGCGATGAGTCCATTAGCGAGAGCTCTGCCTGCCTGGTTAGCGCGGGCCAGCTCTTCGCGGTGGCTCATACGCACAATCAGACTCGGCTATGCGATTCAGTTCGCGAAACGGCCCCCCAAGTCACGGGTGTGTATTCACCAGGGTCAGCCCCCTGTCCGCCCCTGTCTTGCGAGAGGAGATTGCTGTCCTCCTGGCGAAGGATGCAATCGAGCCGCTCCCTCCAGCCGAGATGGAGAGCGGGTTTTACAGCCCACGCTTCATCGTGCCCAAAAAGAGCGGTGGGTCACGGCCAATCCTAGATCTGCGCGTTTTGAACCGCTGCCTGCATAAGCTGCCGTTCAGAATGCTCACGCAGAAGCGCATCCTCCGGTGCGTTCGTCCTCTGGGTTGGTCTGCAGCATTAGACCTGATGGACGCGTATTTCCATGTCTCCACTCTTCCTCGCCACCGACAGTTTCTGCGGGTTGCGTTTGAAGGTCGAGCTTGGCAATACAAAGCCCTCCCCTTCGGGCTCTCTCTGTCTCCGCGGGTCCTCACCAAGCCCGCGGAGGGTGCCTCAGCGCCCCTTCGGCTCGCGGGCATCTGCATACTCAATTTCTTTACGACTGGCTGAATTTTGCCCTCTCTTTTGATTATGCACAGAGTTGATTATGCACAGAGACAAAGTGCTCTGGCACTTCCACCTGTGGGGGTTTCAGGTCAACCGAGAAAAGAGCAAACTCGCCCCCGTGCAGAGGATCTCTTCTCTCGGGCTGGAGCTGGACTCGGTCACCATGGCAGCGCGCCTCTCCGGAGAGCGCGCTCAGCTGATGCTGTACTGTCTGAGAGAGCTCGACAGTAAAATAGTGGTCCCACTGAAACTATTTCAGAGGCTCCTGGGGCATATGGCATCCGCAGCCGCTTCATGCCGCTCGGATTATTCTATATGAGACCACTTCAGCACTGGCTTCACGATCGAGTCCCCAGACGCGCATGGCACGCGCGCGCACACCGAGTCTCTGTTACTGCGCTGTGTCGCCGCGCCCTCAGCCCTTGGAGCGACCCCTCGTTCCTACAGGCCTGGGTGTCTCTAGAACAGGCGTCCAGTCTTGTTGTCGTTTCAGCAGACACTTCCAACACGGGCTGGGGGGCTGTGCGTTGCGGGCATGCGGCTGCGGACCTGTGGAAAGGTACCCAGTTGCATTGGCATATCGCCTGGAGCTGTTGGCAGTGTTCCTCGCTCTCCACCGTTTTTTCCGGTGCTGGAGCGGCAACACGTGCTGGTCAGGACGGACAGTACGGCGGCGGTGGCGTATATCAGCCGTATAGGGGGTATGCGCTCTCGCCGCATGTCTCAGCTCGCCCGCCGTCTGCTCCTCTGGAGTCATCCGCGGCTGAAATCGCTGCACGCCATTCATATTCAGGCAAGCTCAACCGTGCAGCCGATGCGCTCTCACGGCAGCCTTGCGTCCTGGAGAATGGAGACTCCACCCCGAGTCTGTTCAGCTGATATGGGCGCGATTCGGGGAAGCCCAGATCGATCTGTTGCTTCCCCCGAGATCGCTCATTGCCAGTTGTTCTTTCCCTGACCGAGTGCTATGGCACGGATGCACTGGCTTACAGCTGGCCTCGGGGCACGCGCAAATACGCGTTTCCCCCAGTGAGCCTGCTCGCGCAGTTACTGTGCAAGGTCAGGGAGGACGAGGAACAGGTTGCTGGTTGCGCCCCTCTGGCTCAACCGGACCTGGATGTCAGAGCTCTCCCTCGCGATAGCCCTCCCCTGGCAGTCCCTTCGAGAGAGCACCTACTCTCTCAGGGACAGGGCACCACCTGGCACCCTCGCCGATCTTTGAAGAGATTTTAGACGCGAGGAAGACTTAGGTAACCTCCGATTGCGGTGGCTAATACCGTCACTCGGGCTAGAGCCCCCTCCCCGAGCGCGCCTATGCCCTGACGTGGAGTCTATTCACTGAATGGTGTGTCTCTCGCTGAGAAGACCCCCGTAATTTGCCAGATCAGCGTTGTGCTTTCTTTACGCCGAGAGAAGTTGGAGAGCAGGCTGTCGCCCTCCACACTCAAGGTTACGTGGCTGCCATCTCCGCTCTCACAACGCGGTGGCTGGCAGCACCGTGGGAACGCATAACCTCATCATCCGGTTCCTCAGGGGCGTTAAGCGAATTAATCCACCCCGCCCCCTCTCATGCCCTCTTAGGATCTCGCCCTCGCTACACAAGCCGCGTCAGATCCCTTCGATCCTCGACTCAGTATCTTTCTGTCCCTGAAGACAGCTCTGCTGGTCGCGTTGATATCGATTAGAGGGTCGGGGACCCGGAGGCATTTTTCGGTCAGTGACTCGTGCCTGTAATTGGGCTGGCTTCTCTCACGTCCTGAGACCCCGCCCGCGATATGTGCCCAAGGTTCCTACCACTCCGTTTTAATACGAGGTAGTGAGCCTGCAAGCGCTGCCCTCGGAGGAGGCAGACCCAGCCCTTCTTATTGTCCAGTTCGCGTTTTGCGTATTATCCGGACCGCACTCAGAGTTTAGATCATCTGAGCAGCTCTTCGTCTGTTATAGCGGTCGGCAGCAGGGAAGTGCCGTACCGAAATAAGTTCCCACTAGATTGTGGATGCCTTTCTTTCACTATCAGAGCCGAGATGAGCCGCGTCCCCCGAGAGCGCGTGCGCACTCCACTCGGAGCTTCGCATCCTCTCGAGCGCGCGCACGCGGCGCCCCTCTAACAGACATCTGTAGAGCTGCGGGCTGGGTGACACCCAACACATTTGCAAGGTTTTACAATCTGCGAGTGGAGCCGGTTTTCCTCAAGGGTATTAGGTAACCCTTGGTGATTGAGGAAACAATTCGGTAGGGTGTTGAAACACGCTTGCTGCGCCATTTTCCCTAACACGGAGATACGTGCGCCTTTTTATCTGTCAGTAAAGTTCCCCGTCAGGTAAGCCCTGCAGATTCCTCCGTGGCCCCCAGCACTGACTCAGCGGAGGAGTCACTTGCTGGCCCACTACGTTGTAGGTCTGCCCGCTGGTCAGCCCGCGTTTTGGGTAAAGGTGCCTGCTATGAGTGATCCCCACTAGGCGATCCCATATGCTTATTCCGCCACGGTTAAGTCCCCCCCCTGGGCGGACCCGTGTCTTCCCTCCCCGCTAACTACTCTTTTGCTATGCGTACTCCCCCTTTTAGGGCTAGTCCATATGTAAATTCTGCCATCTATCCCCCCTTGGGTAACGGATGGCCTCCGCAGCGTCCTCCCTATCGGGATTGCACGCTTCCCAACGTACTGTCGTATTTTCCTAGAATTATCTAGATGCTCACGACTTCCCAAAAAATATATATAAATACGTAAAACTTCTGTTGAAGTAGGATAAATTAGGGCCAGGGACACGTTGGAGGACCGCGCCCCCCATGATGTGGGTGCGTCACGCTTGCTTGACTATCTCCTCATCGGGGGTGTTGGTAAGGTGCAGTCATTATGGCGCTTTCAATGGGCTCCCAATGCGTGGATTTTACAATCAAATCCACTTATAGTGCTGAAGTTCCCCCCGAAGGGGAACGTTCGAGGTTACTAAAGTAACCCTTCGTTCCCCGAGGAGGGGAACGGAAGCACTATACTCCGTCGCCATAATGACTGTCCCTTAGCTGTTGAAAGTCTCTTCAGCTTAAAAAGGATAGCGTCTGCTGGCGCCAGGTGAGCTTATATACTCAGTTGATTGCTTATGCCGCTCACCTGCGCAGGCTTGCGCTGCCAATTCATTCTTAATTGGCCCGTTCAATACTCTTTCAGACGAGTAGCTTCTGAACCGAACCTCCCAATGCGTGGATTTTACAATCAAATCCACTTATAGTGCTTCCGTTCCCCTCCTCGGGGAACGAAGGGTTACTTTAGTAACCTCGAACGTTTTTCTAAACAAAAAAGTAGCTAATCACCATCATGATTTTTTGGGATAGTCAGAAATTAACCCAATACTGGAAAGAGATTACAATACATTTAGACACAATTGTTGAAGTAGAGATTGCTTTCACTTTTGAATCTTTATAATTAGGTAATATAAATTTAGATGTATGGATTTATAAGGACAAGAAACTGTTATGTTTTCTTCTGGCAGCTAGTAAAAAAGTAATTAGAAAAAATGGTTAAAAGTTGCAGAATGGTATAGTTAAAGAATGGATTGATACAGTGAACACTATATATGTCATGGAAAAAGGATCTTTTTTTATTAAGAACACAGACCGATTACTTTTTTTCTAATTTGGAATAAATGGATTTGGTATATTTCACCAATATTATTGGATTTTTCTTGAATTGTCATTTTTAAAAGGGTGGTCCAAAGTGTATTTTAAGGCTTGGTTGTCTTTATAAGATGCAAAGCAATCATGCTTCGTTTGTTAAAAAAATCATTATTTTTATTTTTTTATTTTTATATTTTACTTTAATTATATAGACTCAGCTAACATAAAAACAAATGTCCTAGTTCCTCCGAAAGCCCTCACTCAAGAGGTTTTGATTGGTCAGCTAACATAATGTGCTGTGATACTGTAGCGCTACTGAAGATTGTGTGTGTTACAAGCAGTTTGATGGGTAAATATGAATTTGTAGCTAAATTGTTAATGGTGCCAAGCAGCCTTTCCCTTTGTTTACATCCTTGTTTACATCCTTGCTACAACATACCCTTAACGCTAGAAACTGTGCATGTGATAGATCAATTTTAACAAATAAAAACATTTACAGGTTGTAGCTCACAATCCACAGCTTCTTCTATTATGGCTGGAGCTGCTCCTTCTTTAAAGAGTTTTTAGTTCAATCCAGCACTGAACTGTGAGATATTGGAAGCTTACCTTAGTCAAATGCTAGCTATATATTTTTTAAGTTAAATTGTAATTGTAATGCTATAACATTATAGCACATCTGGCCACACCCCTTCGCTGCACAGGGTGTATGCGCATAGTGAATGCGCGTAACCTAAAGCGTTTGTAATCTCACTAGCCGTGATGTATTTTTTTTTTTTGTAGTTACCAAAATTCATTCGCTGTAGACTTTGCTAAGCTAACCCTGTAAAAGCCATGATGTTTATGTTCACATAGCTACATTACTCAACTAAAGTTTAAAATAGGATATCGTTGTGAACCACCCCTTTAAATGTAATATTATGTATCTAAATATATATGTTTTCTTCTTTAAGGGAAATATTTTAAAGGATTTGTAGCTCCCCATGTTTCACTGTTTATCGTTGTTGTTGTCGTTAAAGGGAAGAATATACAATGTATATGGAAGATTTGTAAGTCTCTTTCTGTAAGAAAGATTATTTAAGTTAAATATGTATTTTGCTAAATATGTATCCAAACACACTCATTCACTACGGACAATTCTGTTTACCCAATCCACCTATACCGCATGTCTTTGGACTATGGGGGAAACTGGAGCACCCGGAGGAAACCCACGTGAACCCAGGGAGAATATGAAAACTCCACACAGAAATGCCAACTGACCCAGCCAGGACTCGAACCAGCGATCTTCTTGCTGTGAGGCTACAGTGCTAACCACTAAGCCACCGTGCCACCTATAATTATGTTTTTAAGTTTACAATTTTGTTGATGATCTTAACTCTTCTCTTTTGTTCTTTAAAATTTAGAATGATCTAGCATTTTGTTTAACTGTCATAATATAAAACTAAATAAAACAGTTATAATGATGATATTATTTTAGATATGAAACAATATCACTCCACGATAATATCACGGAGAAACAATATGGACGGAATCCCTTTCCCCTGCTCTTGAATTTTAAAAACACAGACAAGAATCCATCCTGCTTTAATGTGCAGGATGAATTAATAAATATGTTATATATATATTTACATATATTATAAATATTGTTTTAGAGCATGGAAAATATAACCCACAGTATTTGACAACAGGTCTGCACAACTGATCAATCATAAGAGAGTGATGTACCATAACATAGAAGTATTTCATAAATACCTGAAAGGAGCTGCGATATCTCTGTGGTTTGTGGGTGCACGTCAAAAAGTATAAACCAATCATCTTCTTTCTTTATTGGTTTAGGAACATACACAATCTGCTGCAACTCGTCCCGAACTACTCCTGGTCTCTCTGAAAAAATAAATAATAAAATATGTTAATGTATAGTCATGGTTCATCTTCTAAGGCATTATTATATAGGCCAGGGATTCTTAAACGGGGGCCTGCGGGCACACAGTAACCTTTGATTTGGCCAGCCATCCAAGCTAAGAAGAGCTCCACTATCAGCTCCACTAGCTTCCAGTAAAGTATCGTATTGACTTTAAAATATTAAGGCACTTCATATTCTCGCTCCTCAATATCTTACCAAACTTCTCCATATCTACACCCCTTCTCGTACCCTTAAATCAGCCAACAACTCCACCCCGGTACCACCTTGCACTTGATTGAGCACAATGGGAGACAGATCCTTTAGCTCTATGGCACCTCGGCTATGGAACTCGCTTCCCCAAGATCTAAGGAGCAGTGATAGTCTTCACATGCTTAAATCCCATCTAAAGACCCATCTTTTTAAGCAAGCTTTTCTTTAACTATTTTTTATTATGTTTTTATCATGTTCTTTTATATTCGCTATTGTGTTTTAACCTGTTTGGTCAATGATTGTTTTAGTAATATTTAATTTGTTTTAGCATGGCTGTTGATGCTTATTGTTAGGTGACCTTGGGTGTCAGGCGCCATTTACAAATAAAAAAATAAAAATAAAAATAAAAAGGAATGATGAGCATGATTTAGAGGTCGTCATTTCAAATCTAATGTAACCTTTTGTTTGTTTGTTTGTTTGTTTGTTTGTTAAAAGCTAACTGAAATTAAATGTTTCAATTAAATGATGAAAATTTTACAGATTTAGTTTGAATGTACATACTGTCACCTGACAGATAGAGGACAAATCAAAGCAACAGCAGATTCTGCTAGTGTAGTGCTAGTGACTAGTTTATTCATCATTGAACTAGACTGTCATATAAATGTTGATTTATATGTTATTATTGCAATAAGTTATCATTTTAAATGTTATATGCATTGGTTAATCTTGTGAAAAAAATTAGGAAATGACCCATGGCAACTTAATGTATTATAGCTTAGTATATACCTTCAGTGCATGACTCTCAATGATATTTGGCTTTTGGCCCTTTATGCAAAAAAGTTTGGGCACCCCTGATATAGGTACTTAGTTATATTTCACCCAACAATTGAAATTCTGTCATCATTATTTACTTCATCCTTAAGTTTTTCCATCCAAACCTACATGAGTTTCTTTCTTCTGTTGACCAAAAAGTTTGATTTCCAATAAAGCCTTTATACTTCTATGAAATCAGAGACTTCAGCAGAGGCAATTCATTCAGTTTTGGAACAGCTTGAGGTTGACTAAATGATAAGTGCATTTTTATTTTAAAGTGAACAATCCCGAATCTTCAAAATTAACTTGACATGACATACCTCTGAGTGTCTCAATGATCGTTAATGGCCTGCAATCCAGGAAAATGTACCAATCATCCTTCTTCATCAGTTGAAGCCCCTCTTTCTCAGCTTGCTGTAACCTTTGTTCCAAACTTTCCACTTCCTGCAATCCAACTCTCAGCTCCTCCACCTCAACCAGCTTTCTCCCGATGGCCTCCACCTTCTCTAGCCTCTGCTCCATAATTTCCAGACTCTCCGAAGTGTCCCCAGAACCTACCATCTTCTCATTAGTGACAATTACACGTCTTTCCACCCTCTCTACTCTTTTCTCTCCATTGTCTTGTGTTTGTGTCCATTCTTTGGTCATCACCACTCTCTGTATTCGTTCTCCACCGACTTCCAGTAGCTCCTCATTTAGATTTCTCATTATTTCATAATCAGGAAGCTCTTTCTCTAGAACGTCAGATCTCTCGTGGACCACCTGAACTTGATATGATTGTTTTATTTCAAACTCATCTGTGAGCTTCTCCTTTGAGGTCTCCAGATCCTCTCTCTGTTCTTCAGTCTGAAGCAGCTGCTGGACGCCTGATAGTGAAACTGGGATGAAATTAAACAAAAACATAGTCAATCAGAAAGTCAAGATTTATTCATTCTTTCATTTTCTTTTTGACTTAGTCCCTCTATTAATCAGGGGTCGCCACAGCGGAATGAACCACCAACTTATCCAACACACAAACACTACGGACACTTTAGCCTACCCAATTCATGTATACCACATGTTTTTGAACTTGTGTGGGAAACCGAAGCACACAGAAACGCCAACTGACCCAGCCGAGGCTCGAACCAGTGACCTTCTTGCTGTAAGGTGAACATGCTACCCACTGCATCACCATAAAGCCCTTAAAAATTTAATGGAAACTAAAATATTTGTTTTATGCACATTGGTCCACAGGGACTTGTAAATTTCCTCTGGAACGTTATGGAAAATGTCAGCCCAGCTTGCCCTTTAATCCTTATGTCAACAAATTTGGTTAATAACTATAGTGCCGGAGATTGACTTTTTGGAATTCAGGTAGTAAAAAGAAAAATAGTACGTGCAAGCTTAAGAAAACTGCATAGAGCTTAAACCAGACCGCATGGAAAATTAATGTGTTGAACTAGAGTGTGGATGGTAGTTTACAATCTATATATCTAATATCTCTTGCAAATAGATACAGGTCAACTATGCTTGAGATACATAATATGCACTATACATATTATTCTTTACATAATATGCACTGGGATGCATTTGGAAGCTTTAGAAAAGACTTACATGGGCTTCCATCAAGGAGGACACACCAGTCATCTGCGTGATGCTTATACTCCTGCAGCTTTTGGCTTTCAAGCATCACATCATCTGTTCATCAGATAGGAAAAAAATTATAACTTCGTGACAAACACATTTCATGAAGCATAGGAGATGTGGGAAAACAAGACAAGAAAGGACACAAGCATTACAATCTAATGTTTTAGTTTCAATTATTTCAAAATGTGTTGAGTTTTGAGTAGCTGGAAATAAAAAAAAAAATATATATATATATATATACCCCTTAAGAAAGGTTTACAAACTGCTCTGAACCTCTGTGAAATAAAACACAGGCTGAAGTGATAACCAGATTAGATGTAAAGTGTCTCAAGTTGACTAATTGGATAACTGAAACTGTTAGTATTATGTTTTTTTCAAAGAAGAAATTAAAGTTTATAATGCTACTAACGACGCTGTTAGTATTTTGAGGAGAAATCAAGGTTCTTTAATGCAATTCTAAAGCGCACATTAATGAAAAAATTATTAAACTTATTAAACTTGAACCCTCTAAAATTTTGTAAATTTTGAACCAATTAATTTACATATTATACTTAAAACAAATACAAATAAGATGTGTTTGGCATTTGGTCATTTGTGGTCATAAAGTATTTAATGAGTGTGCTCAAGTTTAACCTCATACCAAATGTTTAGCTGCAGAAATTTATTTACAAAAGACCATTAAAGAAAAAAAAAACATCTATAAGACAGTTTTGAAAGTTGTTTTAATATTTAAAAGTATAAATATATATTTCTTTTATATATTTATATAGTTCAACTATTATATAGTTATTGTGCCATGTCTTTTGCTTAAATTAATATGGTGTCTAACCTGACTAAGTTTGTAGTTCCTTACCTGAGGTGTAAATGTGCCATTTTTCTGGACCATAGACCAGAAACCAGTCATCTACCTCTGCTCGAACTGGTAGCTTTAGCACATCAAGAATTTCTTCATTTGCTGAAAGCAAACATTTAATTTCAATCATATGTGTCCACAAATATTAGCCTAATCAAACTACCAAATTGTTTAAAATAAAATCACATGAAGCTAAATAAAAAAGAACTAAATTAATTCACTATATCTACTGGCCTAATTAATAAACCTTTCAATTAATCTATCTACCAATGATTACCTTTTCTTTTGATGCTGTACCGTGTGAAACGTGGAGGAGCGCGAGTGATGTTACTGCTGGCCTCCACACACTCAGACTGTTTGCGTCCATGATAACGAAATCTTGAACCCAAAGTCAGGAGTCTTTTTGCTTTTGTATCTTGAAGTCTGTTTCTGAAAAGCACATTCAAATGTATGAATGGAAACTTTCCAAAGAGGCTCACAAATGCATGCCTTTTCTTATATTTTTCCTTGCACTTGATTCGAGCGCCCCCTTGTGTTCCTTGTGAAAATATAGATACTAGTTTAAAGGGCTAGTTCACCCTAACATGAACATTTTTTTCCCATTTACTCACACTCACCTAACTTTTATGAATGTCTTACTTGTGTTAATCACAAAAAAAATGTTTTGAAGAATGATGGGGAAATTCAGAAATATAGATCCCTATTAGGTACAATAAACATTGATTGATTGATTGTTTTACCCAACATTCTACAATATATCTTTTTTTGTGGTCAACAGAAGAAAGAAACTCAGACAAGTTTGAAACAACTGGAGGATAAGTAAATAAGACAGAATTTTCATTTTTGGGTGAACTGCCCCTTTAAATCTTACCCACATGCATATGAAGCCCTACCTGAAGAAACTATGATGTTCCACAGAGCATTTCCACAATTGTTTGCAGGCTCTGTAGTTGGCCAAACTGAAGCTGAGGTTACCCTCAGACGCATCCTCCTTAACCAGAGTGAAATTGAAAAAATTAACACACATTAGCAAGACTAAAACCCAAGGGTTTGTAAATAATAAAAATACATATAATTAAAACTACCCAAAACTAACACATACAGCAAATACAAGACACTTGCTATAAAACGTGAAATGAGTGTTTGAATACCTCAGAAGGGCGCATCTTGAGAAGAAAGGTGTTGCGTTTGTGCGAGATTTTCAGCACTCTAGGCCAGAAGAAGGAATTTGTTTTTACACCATCTTCATATACAATCAGTCCCTCGGAGCACACGCCAAGCATAACATCTTCACCGCTGGCATCCTGTGAACATAGCAAACATCCCCTTACAAAATAATAATAATACAATACTGTCATTATGACAAAGATAAAATAAATCCGTTAATACAGATTAGTTATTAAAACTATTATGTTTAGAAATGTGTTGAAGAAATTAGCTCTCTGTTAAACAGAAATTGGGGGGTTAAACATGGAGGGCTAAACAGAATAAACAGGGATAAACAGGGAGGCTCTGGGGAGTTTTAGGGACAACAAATAATAACTTGACTTCTAATTAATTATTTGGTTTCAGAAGTGGCTTAAATGAAAGGCGAAAACCTCTAGATTATGCTTATTTTACCAAAATAAAATATGATCGTGCCTTGATCTGTAATTATTTCATTAGGACAGTAAGGTCTGACTTTGCTTAGACAAAAGTCTTGTCACTCAGCAGAAATAATGTACAGTATAGAATTTAAAGTCATGGTGCAGTGGAAATAGGATTAATATTGTTTATGACTCCCATAAGCTTGGAGGACTGCATCAATACATCTCTGCAATGACTCAAATAACTTATGAATAAAGTCATCTAGAATGGCAAAAAAGGTGTTCTAGCAGGATTCCCAGAGTTCATAAAGATTCTTTGGATTTATCTTCAATGCCTCCTCCTTCACCTTACCCCAGACATGCTCAATAATGTTCATGTCTGGTGACTGCAGGAGAGGAGAATTCCAGTCTGTCCTGCTGAAGAATTTGCCCTCTTCTGTTGTTTGTAATGTAATGGGCAGCACAAATGTCTTGATACCTCAGGCTGTTGATGTTTCCATCCACCCTACAGAGCTCTCGAACGCCCCCATACTGAATGTAACCCTAAACCATGATTTTTTCCTTCACTAAACTTGACTGATTTCTATGAGAATCTTGGATCCATGCGGGTTCTAATAGATTTTCTGCAGTTTTTGTGTTGATTGGGATGCAGTTTAAAGGGGTGGTCCAAAATGTAATTTTAAGGCTTGGTTGTGTTTATAAGATGCAAAGCAATGTGTGCTCATGTTTCACTTGAAGGAAATTGCATTAATTTTTCATATATCTCACTTTGATTATACACAGCTACTCAGCTAACATGAAAACGACTGATATATTTCCTAGTTTCTCTGAAAGGCCCGCCCTTAAGTGACTCTGATTGGTCATCGTCATAATGTGCTGCAATTCGCGGATCGGCTCCACGTCACACCTGTAAAAGCACGCACTTTTCTGCAGTGTAAAAAATCAGTCAACCCCCTGCCTGCTCACAAAAATAAAATCTATAACGAGTGAGAAATCTGTGTCTGTAACGAGTAAAAATGGGGTGCGGCTCCTTTAAGAGACCTCGTCTTTGTGTGTGTGAATGTTGTCTGCGTCTATGTGTGTGTGTGTGTGTGTGTGTGTGTGAGTGAATGTGTGAAGTTTCTGTAACAAGCGCATGTGCACGGGAGTTTTTTTTCTTTTTCTTTAATGCTCGGATTAAGTTATTTTCTGTAATATATCGTGACAGAAGAATAAAGCACAAGATGTGGGATGCGACCTGTGTAAGCCTTGATTTATTATTCTGCTGCCTCCACAAGTCAGGTAAGCTAATCTGTATTTTTTTTTAACTCTATGCGTTACACGACAGCTTTCATATATATCCGGAATATGCAGGTGTAAGTAATATGAATCATTCACATATCTTTTGGACTTTATTATCTGAGATGTAAAATGCATGAAAAAGCTGCCTGAAGACAATCAATGCAGTCACACGCACACACATATAAGAGACACGAACGTGCTGGTGGAGTGTGTGTGTGTGTGTGTTTACAGCAGTTTGACTGATTAATATGAATTTGTAGCTAAATCGTTTGCCCACAAAACAGCATTTCGCATTGTTTACATTGTTGTTACAGCATACCGTTAATGCTAGACACTGTACATGTCATGATTAATTTTAATAAATAAAAACACTTACAGGTTGTAGTTCATAGCTTCTGCTTTGAGGAGATTTTAGCCAAATCCAGCACTGAACTGGGAGAGATTCTGGAGCTGTTTTGTCAAATCATGCTTGCTTTGTATTTTATAATTCTCTGGAACATAATTAATATTGAACTGTAAGCACTTCTGTCTTTGTGTCGTGTCCTTTGGAAGCCCAAATACAGAAACAGACGAAGCTTTGTGGAAACAGCAGTGTTTGGATGCATTTTTAGCTTTATCTCTGCTATAACATAACAGCACCTCTGGCCACTGCCCTTACCTGTGCAGTTTGTATGCGCAGTAAATGAACCTTTGTGATCTCACAGGGGGCGGAAGCATTTTTTGTAGTCCCCAAAATTTGTTCATTGAAGGCTTTGCTAAGCTAACTCTGTAAAAACCAAGGTCTCCCTTTACATTGAACTTAGAACTTTTTACATTCAGAGATGTTGTTTATGTTCACACAGCTGCATTGCACATCAACTAAAGTTTAAAATATGATATCATAGTGGACCACCACTTTAACAGATGATTCATCAGAAAAATCTACCTTCTGCCACTTTTCCAATCAGAAGTCAAGTTATTTTTTGTTGCTCTTACAACTGGAATCAACGACAAAACTTTTGTTAGGTAATATATATATATATATATATATATATATATATATATCTGTATATATATATATATATATATAAAATAATAATAATTATACACACACACACACACACACACACACACACACACACACACACACACACACACACACATTCACATACCTCAAACTCAATACTAAAAAGATAATTCTAAAAATAAAAAAAGGTTAAAAAATACACATTTTTAAACCAGGAGTTAAGTTAAGCTAAATTAAATGTACTTTGGCAGGATGAAGGTCGACGCCATACATTGGGAGTCCCATGACGTTCTCAAGAAACAGCAGATCTGCCTGGGCAGGACTCATAAATCTGTGTAACACACAAAGACGTTTTACAAACTTGTGTTTTGTGTACAAGTCAGAGGACATTTGTATGTTTATTTAATAGTATACCTGTACGTGGCGTGCAGCTCCATCACTTTCTCCTCCAGCTCTTTACTCTGATTTGGTGCAAGAACAATTTTCCTAACGTAGTTGTTCTTGTGGAGATTTGGGTCATAATCACCAAGTGTTGACTGAACTGTGTATGAACCCAAAAGAGCCAAGATGTCTGATGGACAGGGCAGCCGACCAATCAGAATATCTTTTCTCAGATGAAGACATAGGAAATATCTGAGAGAATTACAAAGAATAGTCTTAGTCAACATATAAAGAAACATGCACAAAGCAACACAATTTTATACACATCTTTCAATTTATACAGCATCTAAAACATTCATAAACCCATTAAACATAAAATAATGCACAATGCAAAGAGAAAAGCAAATGCAGGAAAACATTTGTGTGGAATATGATAAAAAAAAAAAACTTGGATTGTAAATAAATGAGATTTGAAAATACAGTTGAAGTCAGAATTATTACCCCCCTTTGAGTTTTTTTTTCTTTTTTTTAAATATTTCCCAAATTATGTTTCACAGAGAAAGGACATTTTCACAGTATATCTGATAATATTTTTTCTTGTCTTATTTGTTTTATTTTGGCTAGAATAAAAGCAGTTAAAAATAAAACATTTTAAGGTAAAAATTATTAGCTCCTTTAAGCTATAATTTTTTTTGATAGTCTACAGAACAAACTATTGTTATACAATTACTTGCCAAATTACCCTAACCTGCCTAGTTACCGTAATTAACCTAGTTAAGAATTTAAATGTCACTTTAAGCTGTATAGAAGTGTCTTGAAATTTATCTAGTCAAATATTATTTACATCATCATGGCAAAGATAAAAGAAATTAGTTATTAAAACTATTATGTTTAGAAAAAAAATCTTCTTTCCGCAAAACAGCAATTGGGAAACAAAATTAACAGGGGGGCTAAAATTCAGGAGGGCTAATAATTCTGACTTCAACTGGATCTGGATAGTCTTTTTATCTCTTATTTTATACCTATAGAATATCTCATTTTATACCTTGTTATGTCTTCAGCTAAAATTGAAGGGTCGGGTGGATAAAACTTGATACTGAAAAAGAACTCAGCTACTGGACCTGAAACCAAAAATAAGGGAAATAATAAAAATCTGAGTTAAAATCAGTCACATATGAGCCTTAACAGTTCACTGAGTAATCACATATGTAAAACCACATACTTTTTATCTGTTTTCGGATTTCTTTAGCACAATCCAGCCATACCTAAATCAATAAACACAGAATACATTATAAAAAGAATATATTTTTTTCTTTTTACCAGTTGATTTTGTTATTTTAGCCAAATAATGATGATAATCTGATATAAAATAACACAAATACCCTGTTAGTTGGAGAATCCCACATAACCAGACCAAAATAATCCCTTTCCAACAGGTTAAGATGTTCACAGACTTTATTGAAGAGATCCTGACCCAGGGAATCCCTCTGTAGAAGAAATAAATTGTACAATTATCGTTACTTTACAACACTTACTAAGTTTTTTTTTTTACTATTGATTTGAAATATCATAAACTGTAAAAATTAACTGATGTGTTCATCTTAAAATGCTATTCTTGAAAACAAAGCAGAAATATTTACAACTGAGTAAGAAAAATATTATTATTATTAGAACATTCAAGATACTTTAAAACATTCAACTTATTCTTTATCCTCTTGAATTTGAAGAATTTTATTTTTTTTTAAGGTTCCTGATAAAATAAACTTTTATGTAAAAGAAACTTCAGGTACCTCAAGTTCCCACGTAAAGAGGGTGTCATCTAGGAAATTCACTCGACACTGCAACATGTTTCTCAAACCTTTGTCTTCTATCTCTTCTGCTTTTGGATTTCGGATGGCTTCGTTTTTCCCTCACTTTACATGTCCGGCAATGATCTGCAAAAGCGGGAAACTTTACAATTCTCCTCTGAACCGCACTTTAGTTCATATTCATGTTCTCGGTTGTACCAACATCATAAGAGGCCCTGCCCTCCTGCACTGTCCTGCTGTGTGATATGCGGCGAGTGTTTTAGAAAGATATGACCCTTTTCCCCCTCACTTTCACACAAACACGTATTTACCATACACATGCTTGTTTACTGGATGAGAGAAGTAGGTAGTCAAAAGATAAACATGAATTTATTTATTCATCATGATTGGAGAAAGATGAGGTGAGGGGAAAACTCTAAAGAACAAATTCAGAATATGTCTTTAATATTTAGGCGCTATTTTCTGACTGAGATAAGGAGATAAGAATGGGTGGGGTAACGAAAACCCTTTGTGTGATGCTTCCTTCACGTTTTCTTCCTCATGACAGGACCTCTTTAAAAAGCTTGCATAATATGAAATTTTAGTCCTATTTTTGGTATGATTTAATGTTGCTTCAATGCAAAAAGATAGACTATAGCGCCTATTGTGGAAGAGTATAATGTTTTGCAAAATAAAACTGGGTATCAGACAGGGCCGGATTAACCAATGGGCCTTATGGGCACAGGCCCAGGGGCCCGTGCGCACCAGGGGCCCTGCGAGGGGGGAGAAAAAAAAAGACAATTTCGGAGTGTCTTTTTAGGCTAATTGCAAATAGCGCATCTAGCTATTGAGGGTTTACGCCCATCGATGCCTGATTGATAGAGACAAGATGAGTAAAGAGCAGTGAAGAAATGTAGCCGCAGTGGCGCACCTTGTAAGGCACACGGCATTTATTTTGACGCGATTAACAATAACATCGGTTCGAATCCACCATCAGTTGAACTCGTGCTACTTTTTTTCTCCCCATTACATATCAGATTGGAAATATATTTATTTTTAACAGGAAAGAAACATTTTTTAAAAATAATGCAAATGTGATATAAAGTCACAAGTGTCTCGTGGGTATTTAATAATGTTTAGCCTTATTATAGGCACCTGCCGCGCCTCCCTCTCTTCAAAAACTCTATTGCTAAGACAACTGTATTTCCTCTGAGCAAAAAAATCGCGATCACATATTAATATTATTATTATATTTAAATTGCCTTTCTTTCTTTAACTAAACAGAATGCTGTCATTGGTCAAGCGCGGAAACGTCAGTTTTGTAATAACCCGCACTAAACTGAGCGGACTTTAGTGTAACGTTATATCTGTCATAGATCAAAAATGAGTGGACAAGTGGATTTAGCAAACGCGAGAGAAAGAGGAGAGGAGGCATCTTTATTGACGCATTTTCCATACACACCTTCTTTAAACAGACCCGTGATCAGGAGAATGAGAGTACAGAAGAAGACTTTAACTTTAAATGATGAGTAGCTAGCATTAACCAGGCGGAGGAGGCTAACGGCAGCGCAGCGCGGACTGGATTCATCGTGTGAGAGACAGACAGAAAGGGAGAGAGAGAGAGAGAGGGAGAGAGAAGAGGTATAGTGTCTGTGATTTCGGATACTTTTAGGTTTATAATCAAGTCTTCATCACGAGAAGAGTAGAGAAAATACAGGGAGAGGAGGAGAGAGACAGTAAATCAGTGTTTGTATTATGAAAGACTCAGATTCATAGAACTCAGATTCATATAACTGGATTGGAGAAGCATTGTGCGTTATATGCCATGGCAATAATATGCTTTAAAGTTTGTAAAAGCAATACACTAAAATACCCTTAATATATATATATATATATATATATATATATATATATATATATATATATATATATATATATATATATATGTAGTTTTATTAGTATTTTTATTTAATGCTTTGAAAAATAATTTAAATCTTTGCAGACTATAAATACATATGTACTATATATCATTTATTTAAATATGTGGGCAACAAATTATAGATTCATTTTATTTAAAAATTATTATATTATTCTTATTTTTTTAATTTAACTATAGGGGTGCGGCCAGGTAGGGGGCCTTACAAGATAATGTGCCCAGGGGCCCCTGAGTTCTTAATCCGGGCCTGGTATCAGATGTTACCGTTTGATTTGATTCGATTCAAGTCCAAGTTACACAAATGCTAAAACTCATTTTACAATTAGTTAATAATAAATAAATGTGTGGCTAACGTATCTTAAACTCATAATTGATGTATTGAATTGTGCTATTATACATTTAAAAACAACATCTCTATTATTTCAAATGCATACAATAAATGAAGTGCACAGAAAGTAGAAAAAGTAACAGATTTTGACAATAATATTGGAAAATCGAGTTTCACATATTAGCAAATAATCAGCAACAATGAACAATTAATTTGAAGTTAAATTATTTTTACTTCTAAATCAACAATGTAATATTTCCAAATAAAAAAATCACACAAAAAGACAATACAAATGGGAAATAAATAACCACATTAACCTACCTGTGCATGTTTAGTGATCTTTGGCCATTTCGTGTAGCTTTCACCAACTCACTGTGACACGATGGGAGGAGGATCAACGCTTATTCCCATGACGTTAGTAATGAGATACAGGGTAGATGAAGCCCTAGTTTCTTAAAACTGAAAACACATCAAAAGTAGGCCAATACCTTCAACATTTTTATTTGAAACCCTCTAAATGAAAAGACACAGCTTATGCTGACATGTATACATCCCTTCAGTTTTTACAGATAAAATGGAAGAATATTGGATTTAAATGTGACTAAAATAGTCTTTCTGTCCATCTACCTATTCACTACATATTCTCCCATTTCAGGGGGATATCAGATTCAATCTAAGCTAGTTTTTCAATTCAATATTATATGCAAATAAAAAAGTAAGTGTTGTTATAGAAGTATGTGTATATTTCTCAAATGAATCCCAGGACAGTCCTGTTGTTGCTCAGAGTGCCGAGGAAAGCATGAGAAACTCAGATAGATAACACTGTAACTGCCAAGCTGTTATAGATGCTCACTATAAAATGCTTAGACTATCTGAATGTATTTTTTTTCGTTATATATAAAAGTCTCTTTTAAATCTTAAATTAAAATGACTCTTTAGCAATGTCTGCTTTTCAGAGTTAACATATAGTGTGGTTATGCAACTGTGCCAGCAGCAGTCACATGATGCAAAACTGGTGAGTGGCTGATGACAAACTGAATCACAGGCATTATGGAAATTTTGTTTGTTGAAAATCCCATCAATAAAATCTCTTTCATAATTGAAGAGGTTGAGCCTTTTTGCAATTTTGTAGTAGTTTACAAACTTCAGAAAGGTTCCTTACAACATACATTTTCACAATATATAGAGATACGTCTTGGTTAATCTAAACGAGACTATAGTGAAATCAGAGATTTTTTCCTATTAGCCAATGGTAATGCAGTAATGTTGATGTTTACATTTACATCACACAATTCAAACTGAAATAGAGCCTGAGAGCATAAAAATGCATTTAGTCCAATAAGTGAGATCATTTATTCTTATAATTCATCAAAATTTGGCTTTACATGTTGTAAATAAACATACCTGACATGCAATAAAAAATAGTTGCTTCAACAAAACAACTCAAGACCATAAATGCAGTATTTATATAGGTTACAATTTCAGAGTTTCAGATTTATTTTGACATTGTCATTCAGCAGCAGTATTGCGAGGTGTAAGATTTGAATGTGATTGAGACTTTATTTACTTAATCAATAGTGCTGTAGAAGCAAAACAGATGGTATGGCAATATCTGTTCACCACTCACTCTATTTTTTTTACTTCCACTTAAAACACAACTCAAATCCCACACCCACACACACAGACAGACAGAAAGACAGACAGAAAAAAGCCGCAATCAAAGGTCATGTTCACTTATGACAGAAGAGAAGGGATAGGCTTTTTAAGGATTTGAAGTTTCTAATTTTATAAAAACACAAGTTTTAAAATCTACAATAAAGCTGACCCCATTACAATTATGTTTACAGTCATTAAAATGGCTTTAGGGTTTTTGGAATTAGATTGTCAGATTGAAGAATTTGTAAAACTAGACACAAAACAGAAAAGGTTAGCAAGTGATTTTCCCACTGCAAAATCATGTCAGCACAGACATTGTTTTTGTTTAGTGATGTTGAGAATTAACATTTAGCTCTATTTACTTACAGTGACACAATTCTCGTCATAACGTCTCTAACACAGAGAACAACTAAACAGATAACTATAATGATAACAATGTTAACATTCAATGTTCCATTTATTAAAAGTGCACATTGCAGTTATCTCTTCTGTAGCCTTAATTGTTTAAACTCTTTAATTAGATTGGTGGATCAAAGTCTGCTCTCAGTGTTTTACCATAATATCAGCCAAAGAAAATGTGACCTTGAACCAAAAAAAAAAAAAAAAAACGTCAAAGGGTATTTTTGAAAATATAATTAATGTTTTAATTAGAGATGAAACTAGGTGAAAAAGGAATCTGAGACTTAAAAAAAAAGTCTAAATATTGAGAAACCCACTTCTAAGTTTAAATTCTTTTAAACTTTAAAAGGGAGGTCCAATTAAATTCTTAGCAATGTATATTACTTAAAACAAAGTTTTGATACATTATTGGAAATAAATTTACATAAATTACAAAAATTACAGAAGATGCTGGGAATAATATTAATATTCTAATGATTTTTGCTATAAAATTAAAATAAGGTTGAATCCTACAATGTTTTTTGTTTATTATTAGTGCAACTTAAGGTTTTGTGGTCCAGGGTCACGGGTTAACAGTGATTGGCATGATATCATTCCCCTCTGTGTTGCTACAGTGGAGTTATTTTCAATATTACTGTTATGTTTCAATACAATGTTTTCTCAAACTACATCTTAATCAGCATTGTTATCAGCATAGTTGTCCGGTCAGCAAGTTGTGGTGTCATTGCAAAGTCGCTTTCCAAAACCTGTTCATTCAATGTTCCGTACTGGTGGAACGATCTTGCCATTCCCACACAGACTGCGGATTCGCTGGTATCATTCAAGTGACAACTAAGAACTCATCTCATCTGAGGTCACCTGAATACACTGACACACCTGACACTTTAACTGACACTGGACCAGTTTTTGGTTCCCATTCGCACAAGACACATTCTTACACACACCCACATAAAAACCATCACGCATTTATGAAGTGTGCTTCACACAAGTGAGTGGGCTTGACAAACCACCTGTAGAAACACTCTTCACTTCCCTCTCAAAAACAAAACACTCCCTTACTCTAGCATTGAATTCTCTGAACACTAACAGTTCCTTTGTATAATTAGCACTTCCGGTGTGTGTTGCCTCTTTGTGTTAATTTGTTGAATGTTTCCTTAATTGTAAGATGCTTTGGACAAAAAAAGTCTGCCAAATGACTAAATGTATATGTTTGATGTGAATTCAAGTTCTTCCTTAACAAAATGAGCGATATGATAAAATAATATGAATCATTATGATACAAAATCTGTTGATTGACCTTTTACAGAATTCCAAATATTACATAAATTTGGTTAAATTCAAATAGTACTGCAGACATTTTAGACTCTTACGCGTTGTCATTTGTACTTATTGTTTGTGTATGTTTACTTTAGCAGGTAAGATAGTGATTGGTGTGCTCTGGAGCCCTGGGCCAAAGATAGGAAAGAGCTTCCCAGTGAACTTATCGTTAAACGTGCACAGATGCTTGTTGTTGCCTGTGTCCCAGAAAGACACCTCTCCCTTCTCCATATTGACCTTCACCCTGACAGTTTCGGGTCTTCTCTCTAGATTGAGCACAGTGCGTGGACTTGTTAGAGCGTTGTAGACACCTTTACTTAGGCCGATGGTCCAAACTCCTGCTGTTGTGGTCACAGTGAACTTCCTCTTCCGAACTACTGACTCCTTGCAAACACCCAAGATCCATTTGGGGTGGTCGGCCACACGGACCTCCCAACGATGGCGCCCTGAGGAGAAACCCTCTGAGCCGAGTACAAACACACATGGATCAAACCTCTCAGGGTTGTCTGGGAAAGACTGTCTTTCTCGACTCTCTTGCATGCTGGAAAAATCAGGAGATATGGAGAGCCATGGTGAAGCTGTGTTGGGATCCAGGATTACAGGCACTGCAAACAAAACAATTTTAAAGTGACCCACAAAGCTCTCTCAGTTGTTCTTGCATATATATTTGAGGCATAGCGAAATATACACTTACAACATGTGACGTGAGCCTGCATACTCTCCCAGATTTTGTAACCCAGAGCGCCTACATGCAAGGCCATGTTGATGAGGGCTCCGTTAACCCTTCTGGGGTCATCACCAGTCCACTGGGTTCTACGAAGAGATAACATCTTTAACTGGCGTTTACCCTCATACACACAGCAGAATTAGAACTGTAATGAAACAGAAGTAGGCACAGACCTTTTCTTCTCTAATGTGACATACATCCAAGATATTTTATTTTAAAATGACTGAATGTAGAATCAGATTTTGCAGGTTTATTTTTTCAAATATTTTTTACCTCAAATGACTTTTGCTTAAATTTTTTGCTAATGTAAGTTAATAAAAATAATGTTCATGATAACTTGCAGTGCATTAACTAATGTTAACAAGTGACACTTTGGATTGTAATAACAAATTAATAATTGTTAAACTATGATTAATAACTGCAAGATTTTTCATAACAGTTCATGTTAGTAAATACATTAAATAATTGTCAATTATTTTAAAGTGTTACCCAAAAACTATGTATAATTGTCCCTTATTTTGATCTCAAGGTCCACTGAACTCGCTAAATCTTGGAGGGACTGTTAATTTCATGCTGATTATAAAATATAATAAATAAAAATATATAATAGAATATAACAGATAAAAAGAGCTAATAAAATGTAACAGTCTGAGCAAAGATGACCTTTTTGTACACAAACTGGTATACATGAAATATGATATGTAGACATGGTAAATACATTCTGTTGTAGTTGAAAGCAAGCATCAGAATGGAAAAAAGAAACAAGATTTTGGCAACTTTGAAAGTAGTTGTTAGTGCCAGATGGGTTGATCTGAGTATTTCCAAAAAATGCTGATCTACAGGTATTTTCACACACAACTCTAGGGTTTGCAAACAAAGGTCAGATAAAGAGAAAATATTCATTTAGTTCTGTGGGTGAAAATTCATTGTTGATGCTAGAGGTTAAAGGAAAACGACAAGACCAAGGTCTCCAGACAACCATCTCTGGACACATAACCAACTCGTCCAACCTTGAAGCAGATGAGCTACAGTACAGCAGCAGAACAGGACAGCATTGCCACTACTGTCAAGCTAAAAACTAAGAACTGAGGCTACAAATCAGACAAAATAACATAATATTGAAAAAATGTTGCCTGGTTTTGATTTTCAAAGGTGTACAGCTGAACAATCTTCTATCATGCATTGGATCAAAACCTCTAAAGAAATTGAATGTCTTATTGAATCTATGCAACAAAGACAGTTTGTCATGATACTAGCAAAGTGTATCTAATAAAAATGCCAGTAAGTGCAGAGCAAACCTTATAACCACTTGATTAAAAAAGAGACACATACCTTCTTTTTAACTTTTGGAAATTCTGTGGAGAGAAAATGTGAAAAGTTGTAAGAGTTGAATGAGGAATTCATAGCTCATAATTTAGTTATTATTTGGCAGCATATGAATGCATGTAAATGAATGTAAAGTAAATGTAAATGGCCTAAATGAACATAAAGAGTCACTGATGTGATGCTCATTTTCTCACCAAGATCTTGTCCAGTTACAGTGTTTAAACATTTCTTTAAAATTTTGCATAGCTCAGCCCCACAGTACACTGGGTATCTTCTTTAATATTATTATCATAAATGATAAATGATTTTCTGCTGTCAAGTTACATGTAAAGACAAACAACTCCAAAACCAGAGGACTTGAAAATATGAATAATTTTTGAATATGAAATGTCATTTGCATGCTGGCAAATAATAGTCTAGAAGTAACTGTCTATTACGAATATATTGAAATAAAACTCCCACGAAAATCAGTCATATCCAAATGTATAGAAGTATGTCTATCCTATTTAAAATAAATAAATAAATAAAGCAAAAGTGAAATTTACCAGAAGAAAGGTCAAATCTTCAGCTCCCATTTCCCTCTTTACAGACTGAATCAGTTCAGCAAGGCCTGTGATGTCACGACCGATGGCTTCAATCTTCTCAGTCACCACTTGTTTCTTCTCGTCTTCCTCTCTACTTAAAGCCAACAATCTTGATTTCTCCTCTTCATTTAAGACTTGATGAAGTCTCTCAAACTCCTGTTTGATTTGGTTTTCTGCCTCCTTAGTCTGGCCCTGTAACAAAAAGGAACATTATAAATAAGCATTAGATTCAAACTATTACAGGAACAGTTCATCCACAATTTAAAATTCTGCCATCATTTTACTCATCCTCCACGTGTTCTAAACCTGACTGAAGTTATTTCCTCGGGTGAGCACAAAGAAAGAATGTTCACAAACAGGCACTGACTTGCATAGTATTCATTTGTTGCGGTGTTGTGCTTGAGAAATGCACCCCTGTCGAAAAATCCACCCCCCATAGACTTTCATAAGCATTCTCAGTCTACATTAAAAAAATGACAAGGGACATAATTGATTACAACATAATATGATTATAATTTTAAACAAGAACAAGAAGTGAGACACATTTTAAAACTCAATAGGTTTACAAATAAATGTAAAATAAAAATACTGACTGTAGAATAGACCAGTGTTTCTCAATCACGTACCTGGAGGACCATCAACACTGCATGTTTTGGATTTCTCCTTTGTCATACCCTTACAGGTCTTTCAGTCACTCCTAATGAGCTGATGGTCTAAATTAGGTGTGTTTGGTTAAGAAGACCTGGAAAATGTGCAGAGCTGGTGGTCTTCCATGAACGTGGTTGAGAAACACTGGTATAGACTAATGTAAAGAGCCTGTTTCTAAAATTGGGGTTTTTGGAGGAAAACATTAAATTGTTGTTGTTGTTTTCAACTAAACCCCACATTAAACAATTGACTTTAAATAATCTCGTCAGTATTGTATTTAAATAAAATCTATTCATTTATTTAAATATATATGTTCTCTAAGCAAAGGCTACCACTCATGGAACTCACCTCAGTCTCTGTCATTAGTTGTCATAACTCTATTATTATTATTTTTTAAACTAATTTAAGTCATTATATGCACATTTCAGGTGGGGTGTATTTTAGGGCTGGGTGCGTTTTTCAGCACAACACCAGCTTTGGATGTCAAAGACTACCCTTTTCCAACATCCTTCAGAATATCTTGTTTTGCATTCAACAGAAGAAAGAAATTCATTAAAGCTTAAAACCACTTGAGTGCAAGTAAACAAGGAAGAAAGTTATTTTTCGATGAACTACGCCTTTAAGACTTCACCATATTTGAGTATACAGTCTTCAGTAAGCATTCAGAGACTGTTTACCTCAATAAAGGTGATTGTTTCTTTGTATCTTTTTTTCATTCTTTTAAAGGAGTCCAGTTTGCCTTCCAGAATTTTGATTTTCATGGTAAGCTCATCCTATAAAACAAATACACATTAGCAATTGGTATTTATTAATTTTCTCAAAGGTTAGAATGGTATATTTATCCTTAATTCACTACACCTTGCAGAAAGGAACCCCTTGCTCGGTGGGCACCAGCTCGTGTCCCGGATGAAGAGTCACGCACTCCACGCACACGGGCTCTTCGTCTTTGATGCAAAAGAGCTGGAAGGGCCGCTGGTGCAAACCACAGAGTTCTTCCTCTGAACCCGTAGTAGCTCCTCTCCGGTTTCTCTCTTTCTTGTAGGACACACAGGCGTTATGTAGTGCACGGTTGGGGATCGGCGTCTCTCCGTCGCAGCATTTTCGGCACATGGGGCACTGCCGTTTCGTTTGATTCTTCCAGCTCCCTTCCAGGCATACCTTACAGAAACTGTGACTACACGAAAGCAACTCGGGCTCCTTAAAAATGTCTTTGCACACAGGACACGTTAAGTCTGTCTCCAGAAGAGGTGGCCTGTCTGTAATATCATCGTCACTGCTATCTGCCATGTCGGATCCGAGCTATAGTTTCGCTTTCACTACTAATGTTATATCGGTAGGAGAGTTTAAACGCTGTTTTATAAATAACGATATTAAGTACACGTATCCTCTCGTGTTTGCTGAAAAAGTTAGACGTGTTGTGGGTAAATTAAAAGAGGAAGCGATGTCAGGACGAGCTGTTCAACGTTTTCGCCTTATTCCTTGACTCTACTTCCGCGTGTGTGAGGGAGGGCGGAGAGAAAATAAAATAAAAGTACAAATAGCTGCAAACACGTTTGTCTGCTTTTGCACACAGAACTCTTGTAATATGAACACAGAACGCACAGAACATGAACACCTCATGTTAATTGGTAAACTAACCAGTTCGACTGGATAGTAGTACTATCATAGTACTTTTTTAATCTATCTTTTTAATCTACCAAAACGCGTGCTGGATTTTGCTCTTTGTGTGGGTGTTTTACTAATTATAGAGAGACGTCTGTACTGTAAATATATCTTAACTATAATAAACTACTACTACTACAAATATCACTACTAGTACTACTACTTATAAAATAAAACTACTCCTGCTACTACTATTAATAATTTTATCATCATATTCGTAATAAAAAATCATCATCAGGCTTTTTTTTTATCTTCAACGTATCAAAACATTGAGCTCGAGTACTTGAACAACACTGGCGAACACTGCGTATTTAGCGCACCCTCGTGGATTAACTTGTGATTGAATCAAAAACTACTACAAGGGGGAGTTGAGGTTAATTGATAAAAAATATTTAAAAAACACCTTAATACATAAATAATAAATTTGCTTAAATAGATTGGTAACTGTTTAAAAACTAATTAAATATACTTTAGCAATCTTATTTACACACACCTTATAATTACATTCACACTGAAGAAAATTTTGCAAAAAGATGTTTTATCATATTATCATACAGTATAATGCAAAACAGCAGACAGTGCAAGTGAATTATGGAGCTGATCCAGTATTTAATTTACTTTCTCGCACCATATAATTTTCTTCACTCTAGGTCTAAATCAGGGGTGCCCAAACTTTTTTTTTACAAAGAGCCAAAAAACCAAACTTGATTAAGGGTGGTTGGCCGAAATGTGCCCTAAACAATGTGCCACTCGATATATATATATATATATATATATATATATATATATATATATATATATATATATATATATATATATACTCATTAGTGAAATGTGTGTCCTTAAGAAACAATGTGCCACTCATATTTCACTAATGAGTGGAAGTTTATTCATTTTATACATACATACATATACATAAATATACCTTTAATTGAATCATTTAAATTCAGTTTGTTCTTTGTAGCTTAACAATTAAACAAACAAACAAAAGGTTATGTCAAATTAGAAATGATGATCATTTGTCCATTCCTTCTCTGATTAGTTGCCAGGCAATGTTACCATGGGCCAACTTTGGTGGTCTAAATCCATATTTAGTTAACTTCTTGGGTGTCAAAAAAAAGAGATTTATATAACTGTGCAGAGACAGTTTTAAACAAACATCTTTGTAATACCAATATTAAAGTAATTTTTGTACTTTTGCAGACTTAATTTATTTTATGGACAGTTGCAGAAAATATAAATATGATATAATATAAGAAAAAGAATGAAAACTATTTTAATTTATTACTTATTAATGTTTTACACTTGGTTTTCCAGTGATGGGTTGCAGCTGGAAGGGCATCCGCGGTGTAAAACATATGCTGGATAAGTTGGCGGTTCATTCTGCTGTGGCGACCCCTTATTAATAAAGGGACTAACCCGAAGTGGCACTTGGTAAAATGTTTCATACGAAAATTTATATTTAAAATCTATTTCATTACCATTGTGTTTTGCCACTAAAAAACATACTGCTCAAAAAAAATAAAGGGAACACTTGGAGATGTGTTATTTAAGTGTTCCCTTTATTTTTGAGCAGTATATTTTGACAAGCACTTTGGGGGTCCCAGTCAAAACACCACTGATATGTGAAATTGCAATGCAGTACTATCAAAAGACCAGCAGAGAGCCCATTCAGCATGCTCACGGCTATCGGGCTTTGTGTTGTTGACAACCATCTGGAGGCACACACACATCCCTGTTAACAAACGCTAAGCACCGCGAACACACGAATGTCCTGCACGATTCAAGACGCGTCCTGGATATCATGGAAACAAGGCGTTATATCTTGCAGGATTCAATCAGAACTTAAACTACAGATGACTGGTTGTTGTTCTTAATAACATCTGGATATGATTGGTAAATAAATCCATCCAGTGAGCGGAGCTCGAGGCCTTTGATTCCAGCAGCAGCTTGCACATCCTCATCCGCGGTGGTCTCGCGCTTTAAACCGCCGCTGGGCTCTGGAGGCTGGAGCAGCAGATCGACAACAGAAAAAGCCGCAGCGAGACTGGGCTTTCGCTCAACGCCTCTTTTATTTCTCTACCGAATACAGGATGTAAGCAACGAAGAACTCAATGCTTTAAAAACATGGAGACCAAGACTCGGACACTGGTGAGTAAATGAGCGGAGAGCGGTTGCTGTTTTCCGACAGCTAGCGGAATAGATAGACAAGGCTAGTAGGTTAGCTTGTTCAGCTAAAGCAGTTTTAACAGTCTTCTTCATTCATACGAGTGAAGAAATACTTAACTGCCAATGGACAGACGTTGATTTCTTTGTAAATAATTGTTTCACAAAGGATAGCGTTTGAGTAAATGTGTTGACAGTGCAGATAACAATAAAACAAACCGTTAGCTCAGCATTGCTGTTACAGTGATGACCGTGTCAGCTCAACCCCTGGACTACTTTAACAACAAAAATGGTTGAAACTAACGTTAGTGAAATCCCAAAAGCTTCACTTTTAGATCTCATGTTGGTAACTTTTTTTATTAGATTGGTGCTTTACATTAAATATGGGCGATTCTGTCAGTAGCATGATTTGTCAAACGGATAACATTATTTCTGTCAAAATATGTCAGCGTCAAGACAAAAACTAAACACAAAACGCTCTAAATATAATACGTAAAATGTATTAAAACAATCTTAAAATTCATCTTAGCCATGTAAATTTACTTAATTTGTAACTATTTTTATTACATTAACATTAATGTTTTGGTCCTTCAGACAAAATGTTAAAAAGGTAAAATGTTATACTTTGTATCATATTTTTGATACAAAATGCCCTTCTTGTTTACATGGGCTGAGAAGATGTTCTTCTAGCTTGTAATGTAAATTCTCAATTTTAGTTGAACAAAATAAAAACATTATCAGATTCTTTGCATAAAATGTGAAATTATTATATTTAAATCTTTCATTTTATAAAGAAAACAAACCAAGGTTTTTCTGGAAGGTATTTTGACGCATACTGTACTGTAATTTTTATGCCATCAAAATGCACATATTCTACGATGGAAAAACGTTTACCAAATAAATTTCAACATACAGATAAAAAAAGTAATGTAATTATTTTTAACAGATCATGTAACAAAAATTGGTCGACAGGATGGTATTAACAGAGAAACCAGTGCATTGACCACATTGTAAAACATCTGAAAAGTTGTTTAGGTCATTCCTAAATCCTTTGAAAGCCAAGCCAAAATTCGTTATCAAAGCTGTTTGATAATATTACCTTTTAGAACTGTCTTGAGCGGCTGCTCTCAAATCATATTTGCATCTTTGGATGAATCCATGGCCATTGACAAACTAAAAGAACAAAATAAACTTGCAAATTTCCAAGTAGAAGAAAGCACTTGAAAGAGACATTCTTAATATGTAAATTGCAAAAAACTGTAAGATATTTATCAGTTGGACTGTTGGAGTGAATCTTTCTAGAAAATACTTTTTGGCAGGCTTAAATAAACTTTTAAAGAACTTTAGTTTGAAATGGCATCACACTAATTTGTGCTTTGATTTCCCTCAAAATATGTTTAAATATTTGTTAAAAAAGCATTTCAAATCTTACTTTTATTACAAATGTCTCTTGAAAGTGAGTTTAACTCTAAACTCTGTAGTTTTATTTTTGGGGGACAATTCATATTCATAAAATCCAAGCCTTTTATGGAAGGTATTTTGACACAAAACTGTACTGTAATTTGTATGCCATCATTGTTTATTTCCATTGTTGTTTTGTTTGTGGAAAATTCATGCATACTATTTGATTTCTTATTTTTTGTAGGTCTCCATACTGTGAGCAAGTCCAACTTCCCACCTCCTGCAGTTTCTCTATCATTTTCTCTCGTGCCCTTTGTGGGTGGAGGAGAAAATGACTTTTCACATCCAGACTCTCCTGCTGCCTGTTTTGGTGGTTCTCGTTCCTGCTGTCTGGGCAGGAGACTGTAAGGGCCAAAGACAGGTTTTGCGGGCAGTCCCGGGATACGTCACAGATGGGCCAGGAAACTACTCTGTGAATGGGAACTGCGAGTGGCTTATCATGGGTGGGTGTAAAAACAAAATAGCAAACAAAGGTTGAAAATGAAAGAAGCTTTATTAGCATAAAGTAGGAATGAAAGGAATGATTGTTTCAGTGTTTTGTTTCTAATTCTGAGTCTGCAAAAAAAAAAAAGAAAAAAAAAAAAAGAAAATTCACTCTACATAATATTGATTTTATTGTGAGTAATTCAGCCATACATATTTCTATTTTTAGTTGTAATGATGTTATTACGGTTATTGGATTAGGAGTGAGTCTAGAGCAGGGGTTCCCAAATTTATCAACTCACGACCCCCAAATTAACAATGCCAGTGACTCACGACCCCCCAATATTCTGTGAGGTGATTATAAATGTATAATCCTTGCACACAACAGTGCACACATACCAATAGGCCCAAGTCTATTTGTCTTTTAATTTTGAAGAACGCCACTCGGAGACCATACTCCATGTTTAGTTGTGGCCTGTATTTATTTTTGATGTACGTGAGTGCTGTAAAGGTGTCTGAAATTTTAACCTAGTGCCATAAAATCAATGTGCTGTATCTTTAATATAACATAATCAAAATAATTAAAAGGCTCATGGCTTTTTATTTGCATGTTTTTTATGTAACTAGTTTAATAAATTAAATTAAATTTTTGGAAATCACCTAGTGGCGAGGCAGTGGTGCAGTAGGTAGTGCTGTCGCCTCACAGCAAGAAGGTCACTGGGTCGCTGGTTCGAACCTCGGCTTAGTTGGCGTTTCTGTGTGGAGTTTGCATGTTCTCCCTGCCTTCGCGTGGGTTTCCTCCGGGTGCTTCGGTTTCCCCGACAGTCCAAAGACATGCGGTACAGGTGATTTGGGTAGGCTAAATTGTCCGTAATGTATGAGTGTGTGTGTGAATGTGTGTGTGTATGATTCCCAGAGATGGGTTGCGGCTGGAAGGGCATCCGCTGCGTAAAAACTTGCTGAATAAGTTGGCGGTTCATTCCGCTGTGGTGACCCCGGATTAATAAAGGGACTAAGCCGACAAGAAAATGAAATGAAATCACCAAGTGACCTCCCCGGTGGAGTCTTGACCGCCACTTTGGAAACCACTGGTCTTATTTAAATTATTTTTTACAAGCTCTTGCATCACTCATCTATTACCTTTTTTACAACTCTGTTGCTTAAAATACGGATGTAGTTTTGTAGCTTGATTTCCTGTTAAAAGTTCGAGCTTCTTTCTGATCATATTCGCCAAACTTTTCCAATTGAAGACAATTGACACAGATCTGCCTCCATTTGTTTTTCTTCAATAATTAATTTCTCACCTGTGTGTAACTAAATACAGAAAAGAAAAAATATTCCACTACTTTCAAAGTATTGCAACTTTTTTATGGTTTTATCATTTAATTATTGCAACTTTCAAATTATTGCAACTTTATTGTTGTCGTCGGTCGATTAATTTGCTATTTCATTATTTGCTGTTTCAATAATATAAGACCTGAATGGACCATGTTAAGTGATAATGACCTTTTAAGGCCCTGACTTTCACCTTATTTTGGAATGTGGAAATAAGCTCTTTTCTGTAATTGATTTATGCATTTTGATTCATTTGCCTGTGGGTAAATAATTATGAATAACAAATTACTGTACATGTTCCAAGTACTTGCTGAAGAAATTGATGAGTATTGTTTATAGCAATACATTTAAATTAAACTAATAAAATAATAGTTTGCAATATAAAGTAGTATAATAATAAGCTACTTTTAAGGGCTACAATCAATAGAAGCGAAAGAGACTAAATAAGGTAGTAACACTTTATTTTGATGGTCCATTTGTATATTAGTAGACTGCTTAATATTTGTTAATATTGCTCCTTTAACAGACATTTAACTGACTAAAACTTTGCAAGTACATGTCAACTTACACTAACCCTAACCCCACTAACAGTCCACTATAATCTAATGAGAACTAGTTGGTATGTAGATGCAACGTAACTTAAATTCAACAAACGGACCATCACAATAAAGTGTGACCAATTAAATTACTAAGGTAAAACAAGATATGGTCCATTCTCACAGTAAAGTTCTTTTTCTCTCTTTGTTTTAGAGCTAAAAGATGCTCTAAATGCCTGAGCAGCAGTATACTATTTCCAAACATACCAATCCCCATTTAAATGCAGTTTAGATTAGAGCAGTGAGAAAATGGTAGATAATAAAGCATCTGATAATTGCTATGTAAATGTTTGTAAAAGCTTTGAAATTTGGCACCTTAATCAAGTAAAGTATAATTTCACATCTATTTATAAATTTCTTTTTGCGTTAGATCAAAGGTCTCAAACTCAATTCTCATACACAGCTGGTTCAACTAATCAAGGTGTTCAAGATGATAAAGCAGGTGTGAGTTGAAGGTGGTTGGACTTAAACGATGCAGAGCTGCAGCCCTCCAGGAATTAAGTTTGAGACTATGCATTAGATTGATTCAAAGCAATTAGCTTTACAGCGTTTTCAATATTTTAACATTGAGAATTGCACTTCTCTTTATACCATAATGCAGGACTTCAGTGTTTTAAGTTTTTCTCCTTATTTGGCTGACATTAGCTATGTTTTTTATCCACATTTTGAATATGCACATTCTTTATAACAGATAATGTCACAAAAATGGGTGCGATGGGGTGGCGTCAATAGACATACCAGTGGATTGACGACATTGTAAAACATCTGAAATGTTGTTTTGGTCATTCTCAAATCCATTTGAGGTCCAAAGTTTGTTATCAAAGTTGTTTGATATTATTACCGTCTTGAGCGGCTGCTCTCAAATCAAATTATCATCTTTGGATGGAACTATAGCCATTAACAAACTAAAAGAACAAAACAAACTTGCAAATTTCCAAGTAGACGACATTACAAATAACACCTATAATGTAATTAGCTAGAATCAATGAAAACTATAAGGTATTTACCAGTTGGAGTAAACCTTTAGAAAGCTTTTGGCCGGCTGAAATAAACTCCAAAAGAGCTTTAGTTTGAAATGGCTAATTTGTGCTATGATTTTGCTTGAAGTAAATGTTTAAATATTAAATATTTGTTCAAAAAAAGCCTTTCAAATCTTATAATTATTACAAATGTCTCTTGAAAGTGAGTTAAACGCTATGTATAATGTATGTTTTTTGTTTTGTAATGGGAACTTTTCTATTCTTTTTCAGCTCCTAGCAGGAACCATCGCATCGTGCTTAACTTCATGTTTATCGACACAGAGTGCACCTATGACTATTTGTTCGTCTACGATGGAGATTCCTACCAGAGCCCTCTACTGGCAAGTTTAAGTGGGAAAACGCTACCACAGCCAATCGAGGCCAAGTCTGGGAAGGTAAGTCTAATTCATCCTCTGTTTCTTTTCAGAGATTGTGTGCATTTTCAATGAATCAAAAGGCACTTCTATTTAGTTTTTTATATTCAGCTTTGAAAGTTGCATCTTTTTCCACTTTTCTTTATGTGTGTGTTGTTTTGTCATAGAAATATTGTCCTGATCTTGGGATTCTTGCTTGCTATATTCTTGTCTTTGTTGTCTGTGCTTAGTAGTTATATTTACTAAACTTCTGTGTCATCTACAAGATGCTGCTCCACCTCTTCAGTGATGCCAACTACAACCTGCTGGGTTTCAATGCCACCTATACATTCTCAGTTTGCCCTGGGGACTGTAGTGGTCATGGACGGTGTGACGTGGCTACTGCCCGCTGTCAGTGCCAGCAGGGGTGGGGAGGATTGGACTGCAATACCCCTCTCTGCTCTCAGGCCTGCACACAACGTGGTCATGGTATCTGTGATAAGGTAAACAAAAGAGAACTTTTTTTATCATGCTTGAAGGGCTAGTTCTCCCAAAAATTAAAGTAAACTTACAATTTACTCACTCGCAGGAGGTTTCAGACATTTAGAGTTTTATTTATCTGTTGAACACAAAAGATGATATTTTTATAAATGCTGGTAACTAATAGCCATTGACTTCCATTATATGATTTTTTTTACTGTAGAAATCAAAACCTACCAGTTATTAATATTTTTCAAAAAATATTCTTTTGTTTGAAACAAGCAGAAGGTGAGTACATTTTTTGGTAAACTAGCCCTTTAAGGATGCTCTATGTACTTTTTGACTTTTATGAAACATAAAAATATCACAAAAACGAAAAAAAAAAAAAATATATATATATATATAAATACCACAAAATGTTTGCAGATATAAAAAAAACCTACTAACTAAACAAACAATGTAACCACACACGGTGAGTTTAAACCAATTATATTTTGAATGACACCTAGGTTGCCTTGGGGGTAAAACAGTGTATTTTATTTAATTCATGAAGGCTGCTTTAATGTGAACATACAAAAATGTGACCTCCGGATGTCATAAAATTCAAATTTGATATATGGAAATAAGAATATTTCTGTAACCACTCTGCAGTTCATATTCTGTTGGTTGTCCTGATTTTTGTTTTGAAATTTCTGATTATAATCTGCCATTTATTTTAGTTTCTCTGAAAAAAGGATCTAAATGGGCCACCACCTGCACTCCTTTATATAAACACACATTTATCACAAAAACATACTAGTACCACATACCAATGTGAACTGGGCTGTGGTAAAGGTATAGTTTAGAACACTTGCTAGTTATGTACTTGTTCAACCCCCTCAAGAAAACAATAATGCAATTTATGCTTTATATTTAGTATTAATTGTATTTCATTGTTTTAACATCATTTTGTTTTCTCTATTACAGAGAGGTCTGAAGTGTATCTGCAGCTCTGGTTTTGTGGGACAGGACTGTCAGCTGGGTCTTCGTGACAACAGTGGCGCGGGACAATGGTGGGAGGTGAGCTCAGGTGATGTTAAAGCAGCGCCTCGCACCTCTTCTGCTGGGGTTTACCTCGCTTCCACTGGAGCCATGTACATGTTCGGAGGTAAGATGGAGTAGTTTTTCTGCAAGTATTTTTTGTTTCTGATTGATATTTAATAATTTCTCTACATTTCCCTTTCTAGACTTATATGTGCCTGTATCTCTTTTTTATATTATAATCTATTAATAACTATGTGAAACAAAAACAAATGATCAATTATTGAAAATCTGCTTAATTTCATCTAATGTTATATGGAAAACATAAAACATTCTGTGTTTTACATAAGATATTAAAAGGTTAAAAAAAAACTATTGCAGTTGTTGCAATAAAAAATAAAAAATGCTGTCAATAGAACAAAATAATCCAAAACTAATAATGAAAATGAATAATAATTGATTTGCATACAATAACTTTGTGAGGATGTATGTTTTGAGAGGGAATAATATATTCCAGCAGCTGTTTCATCATACGATAATTGTATGAACTACATGATATGGTATAAAATGAATAGTAAGACCATGTCTTGACCATGTCTACATGCCTCAATGCATTGAGTTGCTGATTAGAAATTTGTGTTAACAAGCAGTTGGACAGGTGTACCTAATAATGTCACCCTGCAGCCCAAGACCGGTTACTCACTGAAGCTAAGCAGGGCTGAGCCTGGTCAGTACCTGGATGGGAGACCACTAGGGAACACTAGGTTGCTGTTGGAAGTGGTGTTAGTGAGGCCAGCAGGGGGCGCTCAACCTGTGGTCTGTGTGAGTCCTAATGCCCCAGTAAAAGTGAAGGGGACACTAAAACTGTCAGTGGGCGCCGTCTTTCGGATGAGACGTTAAACCGAGGTCCTGACTCTCTGTGGTCATTAAAAATCCCATGGCACTTCTCGTGAAAGAGCAGGGGTGTAACCCCGGTGTCCTGGCCAAAGTCCCTCTATGGGCCCTTACGATCATGGCCTCCCAATCATCCCCTCTCCACCGAATTGGCTCTGTAACTGTCTCTCCACTCCACCAATAGCTGGTGTGTGGTGAGCGCACTGGCGCCGTTGTCCTGTGGCAGCCGTCGCATCATCCAAGTGGATGCTGCACACTGGTGGGGGTGTGAAGAGACCCCCCCTCATGATTGTGAAGCGCTTTGGGTGTATTGCCATACACAATAAATGCGCTATATAAATACACATTACATTACATTACATTACATAATAAAGAGGCCTTGTGAGTGTATATGGACATTAACCTTCTTGAGGACTCTTGCAATGTACCCTTCCAGCAGTAGACAGCTATGTATATTTTCATGTGTAAATAGCAAGTTAATTGCTATATTATAAAAAAAAAATTACAGCATTAAATATACATTACTAAAAATGAGCTTTTTTGAGCATCAATGCAATCTTTGAATTACAGTTGTGGGAATTATTTCAACACTTTCTTTATTTTAGGGTTTGATCTGAATAGAGCACTGGAGGACCTTGTTGTTTACAATTTTTCAACCAACAGTTGGGAACAGATGACATTCTCGCATAGTCCAGTAAGATCCTTTATCTCTTAAAAATAAATTTGTCCTGTATTTATCTTGATTTCATTTAATTTTAATGATTCCATAAATGATATTATCTTTCTCTCAGGCTCCTCGACATTCCCACACAGCAGTGGAATGGCAAGGCAGCATGGTTATATATGGCGGTGAGCTTGCTAATCATTCTTTGGCTAGTGATGTCTGGATATACCGTCCACAACAGAATGAATGGCAGCAGTTGGGCCTATCAGATGCTCCAGGGGCACCCAGACTAGCCAACCATGCAGCAGCGATAGTAGACCACTATCTCTATGTTTTTGGGGGTGAGTAAATTGTATTCTTGGTCTTAAATATTAATCCTAATTGAAAAACACATCATCAATCAGCTGCTAAAATCTGCTCCTCTGCGACGACTGATCCCAAGGCAGAAAAAGATGTGCTTGTTGTTTTCAAAGATCAGAACTTATCAGTGTTCTCAATGAAGTAATGTCTGTTTAGCTTGCAGTCAGTTTTATGTGCAGATTTACAAGCAAACCAAAAATAATAGTGTTTTGTAAACTGCCAGTGATGTCTATAGAAGATGCCAATATTATCACTTTACTCGTACTCTGACAATGAGTGTTATTCACAACAGATACACATCATTTTTGGTAACTAGAATGTTTATTTTTCTCCCAGGTTTACAGACACTTTGATGTAGTTTAGGAGAAGTTGATGAAATGTTGTGTAGTAAATCCAGAAGCTGTAATCTTTAGTGTAGTGCATTGGGTGTGTCATGTTATAAACCAAACTCGCTGCCATGGAAAATAAACGTGATGCGTTGAAAATAACTCAAGGATGGAGGTCAGGTGAAGCATATGAAGCTTATGCATGAAAGAGTTTATTTAATGCAAGATCAGATCAGATCAGATCAGATCAGATCAGATCAAGACCAGATTCATTCTCAAGCAAATCCTGTGTCCCTTTCTGATTGGTGGGCATGTGTTCACACTGGTCACGCACATGCTTTCCTAGTACAAGTGCCCATAAAATGATTTCAGCTGAACATGAGATTCTAACTAATTAATAGTGTAAATAACTATGAATACATCAAATAGCATTAGATCAATGCCTTTAAGGCAATTTTCTTGCACCTTTTAGCTTTTAAAAAAGGGTTTATTATTACCCCTTTAGGGTATTTTTATGCAAGTTTAATAGAGGGTTTATAATGTAATGTAAAGAAAACATAAAATAGACAAGTTGTTGTTTCCATTGCCACAGATCTATTTGTGGCAGTAGACTTCAATTACAGTACACAGTTTTAAAGGTCAATTTGAAAAACTATTTTTTTGCTCATGCATAATCCATAAATCTCCACTTCACATATGTAGACTGAACTTTGCGGTTTTATTTATATCTGTGTACTCAATGATTTTACATAATTTGCCTGATTATATACAACCTTTTATTCTACCTTACCACCTTACACTCTAATTTGACACATTAATTTTGAACCTGACTTAGTCTGATTTCTACGAAGACCCGGAAGGGACATGGGGGGAAAAATGGGTGGAAGAAAAAAATAGTTTTTTGGCTTTTTCGCTTTCTTTCACAAATATATTTTGTGAGGGACCGCAAAGATGTTTTGCGTTCCCTCGCAAAACTGTTGTTCCACAAACACTTCCTGTTCACTTCATACATGTCAACCCTCCCGTTTTTGCTAGGATTCTCTTGGATTTTACCATTCTATCCCGCTACCATCCTATCATTAAGTATTTTTCCACATTTCTCATATATTTTCAATCTTGAAAGCACGTTGAAATTAATATAAAAACATCTGAATTCGATTGTCATCCTTCATATGCAAGCCTTTTATTTTAAACACAACTAATTTTTCTCTTAAATGAGAATAAACAGTTACTAAAGTGCTTGAATGTTTTCATTATTGATTTGTGCATTCTTACAGTGGCACATCTGTTATCAAACAATACAAAATGAGACACTCATTTGCTGCTCTTCACTTGCTTGATAACAGAGGTGTCACTTTAAATGGCGTGTACAGAAGCTGATCTGTGATCCATGTATCATAAGGAGCGTGTCTGTTAGTCAGCGTTTATACATTCATTTGCTGATTCAGAGGCTGCTTATATAGCACGATGATCGATGCACAGCTTTTATGGAAAGAAAGTGAATGCAGACATTTTTATATTAATTTCATTGTGCTTTCAAGATTAAAAATATATGATAAAAATGGGAAAATACTCAAACGAAATGATGGCAGGATAGAATGGTAAAATACGAGAGAATCCTGGCAAAAATAGGAGGGTTGACAGTGAACTAGATGATGTTTGTGGAACATCATCTTTGCGAGATAACTTTTAAACATATATATATTTTCCTATCACTCTATTTTGTGCTCAAGATACATGCAAATCTGGTGCATATTTTATTAATTTATGCCTCATTTAAATATTTAATATATCATTTTCAAAAACTTTTAATGCTAAAACTGCTTGTAATTTTTTTTATTGAGTCTGTCACCTGGAGTAGTATTTTGTGTCCTTTTTTGACACTATTCACCTGCAGTGTCTTGTCCTAAAAATTATTGATTGAGCTGTGGTTCCAGGGAGAACAGAGGAGGACATGTTTTCCTCATCACTGTACCGTTTCCGGTTGAGGAATGGAGTGTGGGAGGCAGTTCAGCCTACAGGCGGAAAACCACCTGCTACTGCAGGACACAGCATGATCTACCATTCCCCTTCCAAAACTCTGCTGGTGTATGGAGGACACAGACCTACCACTGCTAGGTATAACACACAACATATCATTGTATTGTGCATGGGTAGTATCAGCTAACCTTATTCCAAATATAAAAAACTTTATAAAAAATTCTGGCTGTATAATTATTTATATTTTTGCTATATATATATTATATACAGTTGTAGTCAGAATTATTAGCCCCCCTCTTTTTCCCCCAATTTCTCTTTAATGGAGGGAAGATTTTTTTCAACACATTTTTAAAAACATAATAGTTTTAATAACTTGTTTCTAATAACTAATGATTTTTTTTTTAAAGTTAAAAACTACTTTTATTCTAGCCGAAATAAAACAAATAAAACTTTCTCCAGAAGAAAAAAATAATGTCCGACATACTGTGAAAATTTTCCACTAAAACAAGCTAAATTATCTGCCAGTGGGGTAAGTGAAATAATCTTATTTTCACTTTGAAATGTAAATATTTTGACTAAAAATAAGACAAAAATTTTAAGTAGGATTTATAATTTTTTTTTGCATAAATGATATAAATTCCATATAAATACATTTCTGTAGCTCTTGCGCAATTATAATTCTGGCTCAAAATTGCATATCTTTTCAGTGTGACTATTGTGGATGCGCACATTGTGCTATCAATGCTGGAATGATTTTTGTGCAGCCTTAAACTCCATGTAAAGTTTTATACATGCAGGGAACTCACATTGAGTACACCCCATTTTGAATATGAATATTTTTATCCATTTCTCAGTGTATATAGGCAATGTATTTTGGTGCATTTAAACAAAACAGATTTATGAAACAGATATATTTTTCTAAAATAATTTTTTAGTTACCAAACATATTTAGAAATTGAAAGATAATGCAATTAAATTTAAGCAAAATATTGGAAAAAATAAAATAAATAAATAAAATATAGCCTACAAAATTTCAACTAAATTTTAATTGTTTTGCTTCTCTTGATTTTTTTCCCCCTCTGTTTAAATTTTGTATTTTTTTTTTTTTTTTTGAAATATCCATTTAGGTGTTCTGAATTTTGGACCATTATTGTAAGTTATTTTGTTAGATAAGCTCGACATTTGGCTTCAGTACTGACTAATCTAATGTATGAGCACAAATATAATATTATAAAAAAATATATTAAAAAAATTTATTTAAAAGAAAGATTTGTAAGGGGTGTATATGCTAAGCACTGTATATGTTATGTAGAATTTCTTAACTCCCTGCTTGACTGTATTAATACAGAATTTAAACTATTTACATTCTATAGACTATGCACATTTTGCATACTATTATTATCTGATAAATGTGAATTGCAGAAAAGTGCCACACTAATGCATTTGAGTTGACTTGATAGCTAGTCTAATTCTGTCAAAAATATACACATTTTTGAAAGGTGTTAAGATTTAATTAATAAAGTATTATTCATTTTGAGTCTGAAGTAACTGTTTATTTAATAAAGACCAAATGTAGTTGCATTATTGTTTTTCATATTGTTTAACTATTTATTATTTAGTTTTTTTATTATAATACATACAAAATCAATTTCACATGTTTGTTTTTTTATTAGATTTTTGAGTTTGTTTTATTATTATTAATATTATTATTATTATTATTGTCATTATCATTCATTAAAATGCATTTTTAGTGATTAAGAACCACTGCCTTATTAGATATTTATTTATATTTTATTCAAGAAAGCATATTAAAACTTCTTAAAAATGACACACAAGGGCACAAAAGTTGCACAAATAACCATAAGATTTTAAACTATCATTTGGAATGAGACTGTTCATTGTAATGGATTGTCTTATGTGTAAGTTCTCATAATTGCTATCATCAACTCCTTACTCAACCAGGTTCAGTGTGCGTGTGAACTCGACTGATGCTTTCCATGTTGAGAAGCGGTTTTGGACTTCCTTTCGCTCACGTTTTCCTGCCAATGGCCCTAGGGAGAGAGCATTCCACTCTGCCACAGTCATCGGCAACTACATGGTGGTGTACGGTTAGTATAGCTACACGCAAACTCAGTGAGTGTGGACGAAATGTGAAGATTTTTATTGCATTATTACTATTTAACCGAGGTAAATTTTTCATCTCTTAGGAGGGAATGTGCATATCCACTACACTGAAGAGAAGTGCTACGACGAGGAGATCTTTTTCTATCATCTTGGTTGCCATCAGTGGGTGTCTGTTGGAGATAGCCTCGGTCAGCGTAAGTGTATATTTAATAGGCAGGGAGTTGAAAGAGTCTATTGGATATCTTGTTTAGAGATGAGGTGAAATATGATGATGTGTGAAATTGATGACCAATGGCTCCCTGAGGATTTGGTGCAAGAAAAAACAGGAGAGCCTTCAAGGACTTATACAAGATGCTTAAGTCTGACTGGGGGCTTGTTGTAATCTTCTCAGGAGAGGTCATTATTTGTGTAAATTCCCTTGCTCGCAGCTTTTAAACAAAAGCATTTATAAGAAGTAAAAATAACCTTCGAAAAAAAAGTTTTTTTTTTTTGTTTTTGTTTTTTTTGTTTGTAACTTAACCATAGAGAGCTGGTTTCAATTTGGCATCCTTTCTAGTGCCTGTCAGGATTTTTAGGGATTATGTTTTATTTTGTGAAACACTTTTTTTTTTCTCCTCAGCCTTCTCGAATATTTTAAATTTTGCTAAAGGATTTTTATAGCTCTATAACTGTACTATATCATTTTATATACTTGCTTTATACAAGGTTCACAGTCCCCAGTGAGCTTAACTGGTACATTTACATGGGCACCTATAATCCGATTTTAAATTGATTAACACAATACTCTCATTAAGAGTCTACCATGTAAACAGCTAATTGTTTTTTTTTTTTTTTGTATTGGTTTAATCTGACTAAAGTCATAATCAAATTAAACAGAAATCGAATTTAGACATGTGGAGTATGCCAATTGTATTTGCATTATTGAAGTGCAGTACAGACATGTTAACACCTTATGGCCTGTTTTCACTGAGTGGACAGTTTGGTACAGTACAGGTCAGTATGAGTCACCTTTATCAGGTTTGCGTTCCACTGCCAAATGGTTACCAATTGCGGTCATGGTGTACATCAGAAAATTTTAGTCAACGTCATACTCACTTGAGGAAATGTCAAAGTAAAGCTGAATAATTGTGCATAAATGTTCATCATTACTAACCTTTCTATGAACAGGATTTGATTATAACTGCAAATCAATGATAAAAATAGCCAATTGTAATGCCTGCAATTATAAATTACAATTAACTTTATAAATGCAACATGTATAAACGCATACAGACCCTTACCGTGTCTGATATGTTACCAATTAAAAAAAAACTACACACCGCATACATTTAGTCCTTATTTGGGTTCAAAAACAAGCAACGTATAGCCTACAATCAGTGAAAACCTCTCATCTGTGTAGTTAATCTTCACCAGCACATGTAACCTCTTGTTAGAAAGTATTTCCTTCATTCTGAGTTCATAATAGTACAAAAGGTGCTAATAATATTTAAACATAGCAGTTTGTTCATACTTAAGGTTGCTTTGCAAAGGGTAACCAAAAAGTGGTATGGTGTGGTTATTTTTTTGGTACCTTTTGACAGTGGAAACGGCCATAAAAGCTCACCGAACCGTACCATACCGTACCAAAACAGGCCATTAATCAAACTATAACCGCCATGCAGGATTTTCGCCGCATTTTGCGACATGATCGTCTTTACACACATGGCTGTTTGGCACTATTTTGTGCACCTACCGAGTCAGAGACGGACCACAGACACCTGCACCTGTTTTTTTTTTTACAACTGATTTTTTTCCCCCATATGGCGTGCGCTATCAAATTCAATTAAAACTGCACTCTTTCAGCAGTTCATACTCGCATACAATATCTTATTTTTCATGGGGGTCATGCATGAAATGTTACTGAATGAAAGTAAAAGTGCCAAAATGCAGTTCAAGTCCACAAATTAAAAATGAAACCATTGAAATTACATGAAACTCTGGAGGAACTGTGACATTATTCGAATTACGTGCTATAACTTAAAACGGGATCATGAAAGGAACATTCAAAAGCAACTCATGTAAACAGCTTAATCATTTTATTGTCTTATTCAGATTAAGGCAAATAATTTGATTACTGAAATCCATGTAAACGTAGTCACTGTCCTGAAAGAAAGCCTTACATGTCATTTGTTTTTCAACCTTTCATGATGGCTTTCTCCACATCTGTGAAGTCAACCAATCAGAGCACCCTCCTGTACACAATCTAGTGAAATAGGAGAGACTGTTATATTGCTGTTGCCAGGTGGGATTATTAAATGGAAGGAAGATTTGTGAAGGTATGGCAATAAAATGCCTGCCTTCAAGATGTTCCCTTAAGCAGGGTATGCGCAGGTCTAAAATAAGCTTTAATATGGCTTTAAGTCCCCTTGAAATGGAATTTAATATTGTCCCTTTTCCACTGTTGGACATACATGTGATTGGAAATGGTTTCTGAATTGGAAATAAAAGGAGCCTGGTACATCACATACATCACATGCATAAATCACGCCATGGATATTACATTAAAATGCCTACTGGTTTAAAAAGGCCTAGACTAAAAGAAGATGGCCAAATGAGAACTTTTCTGTCATAAGCTATAGTAAAACAACCTGTTAAAAAAAAAAACTTAAACCCTGTGAACACAAAAAGATCACCATTTATTATCAACTGTTAGTCAGCGCCCACTCTTTTTGTTTCTGGTTTTTTTTTTTTACTTGGTCATTTTGCCTTTGCCCTGTGCAGTGTAAATGCAGACAATTGCAATAGCCTTCAATGCTAACATTCTTACTGTTATGCTCCTACAGGAGGTGTTTCAGTGAGGGGCCGATACTCCCATGTTGCTGCAGTCATGGAGGGCCGTGTGTTGTTAGTTGCTGGCGGCTACAGTGGAATTGCTCGTGGCGACCTTGTGGCATATAAAGTACCATTGTTTGTAAGCAGTGACCCAGGAGACAGGGTAATGACTTTTATTTATTTGTTTATTTTTTCAATAATTGTTCTTCTGTACACACACTACACTACAAATATTATGAAATTTTGTATTATGAAATAAGTCTCTTATGACCGCCAACATTTCTGTGATCAATAATCTAGTAAAAGTGAAATGTATATTGTTAAATATTATTCAAATTTCAGACCTGTAGTTCTGAAAAACGGACTTAAGTTGTTAAAGTGTTGCAATAATGTGAGTAAAATTGTCAATATTGGTCAGAAATCACCCATTTACGTTCCTCTTTGTCATCCAAAAATAAAGATAATGCAAAACCATATTGTGATTTATCTCTAGCTGTCCTTTTATTCACATAACTAACACATTATACTGTATATATTTTATTATATTTAAAAATTAATATACAATATTATATAGGGCAGGATTTAAGGCTTGCTTGTGACAGTTTTCTTACAATGCAGTTCAAAAGACAGCTTTTTTTTTTTTTTTAAATATTAATACATTGTTATATTTTCTGTCAATTTATCTTACATATAAATAATAAAAACCTTAATTCAAACATAAAATTTTATTGGCCTTGAGCGTTTGACGTGTAGTGTTTGCATCAAGGAGTGTTAATGTGTGTATGTTTGCCTAACAGGACAGTGTGTGTGCTGAAGCTCCAAGTGAAAGCTTGTGCCTGAAGAATCCGGAGTGTAGTTGGTGCGAAGGTCGCTGTCGGGAATACCAGCCCACTGACCCGGTAATGTCTTAACCCGGTAACTTGGTCATGCAGCATTTGCCACACAGAGCCATGTTTCATTGACAAGCTATGTAAACAGTTGCCATTATCTCTGTCATTATCGTCTGATTTTCATGATTTTGCATAGCTTGTCGGTGAATTATCAGGGTGTTTGCGGGGTCTCAAAGTCTTAAACTGTCTTAAATTTTAAAAGCTAAATTTTAGGCCTTAAATCCACTGGAATATTGTGTTGTAGGTCTTAAATTATTTTCAACGGGTCTTCTGTCCATGTAAAGCTGTATCCAGTTGGGCCAACACCCATCCAATTACTAACAATTTACTCCAGTGCTTCCCACAGGTTTGAAATATTACTTGCGGTGGTAGTGTTACCCCGCCGGTTTAGAGGTCAGAGGAGTGAGGTTTACCTGCACAGCACTTCACTCGCTAGCCTCTCTTACACTAGCCGAAATGAAACACAGCACAGACATAGTGACATGCGACAAACATGAAAGAAGAGAAAAGATTTTTAACTATATTTAAATTTATTTGGACACTGTTATACACCTTTTCTTTTCAATGGGTTAAAGTTATTTTAACCGTTTAAAAGTCTATTTCTCTTACTTTTATGCTATTTTGGAGCCACGTGCACCCACTGACAAGTAAAGGCTGCTCCTATCTCTCTCTCTCTAAAGTTGCTTATTGGCATGACATTTACAGTAATACCAAAGCCTTTTAGATATGTATAAAGTATGTAATATATTAACATCATTAAATTAATAAAATCTACAGCAAATGAGAAATAAATATGTACATTATTGCTCAAAATTATAATAATTACTAGTAAAAAATGTGTAGATTGTTTAAATAAGGCAAATTAGTTGATTAGCCATTTTTTATTGGTGTATTTTGCAGCCAGTATATTTTGTTCTCTCCGAGTATATAGTCAAATTTATCAGAGTCAATTATTAATTATTTAATGTTTCTCTTGCGACTGTGCACGCACAGTCAGCTGCGAAAAGTCAATGCAAAAAGCATACAAAACGAAAGTTAAACCCAGATCTCGGATATTTTAGGATATTCAGAAACTATGGTCGGACACATATTTGTGCAGAAGACTCATCTTTGTGGGTCTGCAGAGCACATGAGATTGTGTGAGTGTTGACAGTAAACGCACACAGAACCAGCAGTAGTAAACGTGCAAAACGAGAGAAAATGATCCACTGGTTAATCGATTGCGAATGTTTGGCTTACTTGGATGGTAGTCCAAGTATGAAAGGATGAAAATAATAGTATTATTCGTGCGTCACCACCAAATATACTATGGCAGCCGTTAATATACCCGGGCGGCCCATCCAAGTAAAGTCTGTGTGGGAAGCACTGAACTCTATTTACTTATTAATATGGTTTAATTGTCTTCCTAACAATAACATTTGTTTTTAATGTTGTTGAGGTTTTAACTTGGCTATTAAAAACATATTTAGCATTTAGCCTTGTGTAAGTCTGATTATTTAATTCATTATGGTTTTAAAATGTCTTAAATTTGACTTGATAAAGCCTGTAGAAACCCTGACTATGACTATGTGTTATAAATGCTGCTCTGTCTGAGAGCATGTACCAAAGGTTTGCTAGAACCAATTTTACTGACAAAATGCTCATGAAAATGCTCAAATTCTACTCTTAACCATATAGAAATTGCATGTAATTTATTGACATTACACAGTAGTTAAATGAGTTGTTACACTGTAATAAGGACACAGTAAAATGAAGTGTCTCTTCTTTATTTGATTTATGTGTATTTGTACACAGTGTGGCAGCACCGGATGTCTGGGTCTGGCTCGTTTCCTGTCAGACTGCCAGTCGTGTCTGGTGTTCAGTGGAGTGCCAAACTCTCTGCCACGGGTTTCTGGGGAATTCGGCTGGTGTGTGCAGAATGAGTCCTGCTTGCCAGTTTCAGGTAAAGAGAGAGCAGAGAGCATGACTGCTAAAAAGAGACAAATATACAACCACACTCTGCTCAGTAAATCTTTATTTCTAGACACTTTTTTGCAGTCTGTGAAATAACGTGTTACTGAGTTGCTGTGTGATTGTGTATGACCTTTTACAGTCATGTTATGTTAGCAAAATGTGCCCTTCATTGGGGTTTTTAAGCTCATTTTCACTACATAGCTTCATATACAGTTGAAGTCAGAATTATTTGCCCTCCTGAATTATTAGCCCCCCTGTATATATTCCCCCAATATCTCTAATGGAAAGGATTTCCAAAGGATTTTTTTTTCAATAAACTATTTAAAAACGTTATTAAAAATAGTTTTAATAACTCATTTCTAATAATTGATTTATTTTATCTTTGCCATGATGACAGTACATAATATTTTACTAGATATTTTTGTAAGATACTAGTGTTCAGCTAAACTAGGTTAAGACTTAAATAGGTTATTTAGGGAAGTTAGGATAATTAGGCAAATCATTGTATAATGATGGTTTGTTTTGTAGACCAGGGCTATTCAATTAGTTTGTCATGGGGGCCAGTTCATGGAAAGCATCCCAGATGAAGGGCCATAGAGATATGACTTACAATACGAGTGATGACTCAATGGCAAATAAGAGCCCATATGTTGTATTTTTGCTCCTTAAGACATCACGTTGGATTTTTCTACATTAAAATGTTAATATGATGTATTTTGAAACTACATAATATCAGTGCATTGTCAGGGCCGGAGCAAGCTGAACTGCCGCTCTAGGCAAAGGACGGTCGCGCCGCCCTCAACCCTAAAGTGAAAGCACGGGGTATTAAACCTCACTAGACGCGGATATAACTGAGGGCGCGGGTGGTGAGGGTAGTGTTGGGGACGCCGCCCTCTCTATTCCGCCTAGGTCGCCTCTATGGACGCACCGGCCCTGTGCATTGTACACTAGGCTTTTTTTTTTTTTTTTTTTAACAAATATTCAAATGTTGTATTTCAAAGCACAACAAAAGCAGTGCACTGCTTAAGTAGGCTTCTACATTCAGACACATTAAAATGTTATGGTTTGAATTGCATAACAATTAGGGATGCAACACTTATAGACTTTGTTTGTACGATTATATAGTCTGAAGGATAATCATGGTTTCACGGTTATCATGTCTAATGTAAATTTCAGCATTATATTAGGTAAATAAAATGAACTGTTGTTATCTGTTGTCAACTATTGTTACTGTTGTTAACATCTGCGAACAGACGCATGTTACTTCATAACTATAGTGGCCGTTTTTCTGACTTAACTAAATTTATTTTTGATGTCTTGGTTACACTATTTGGAGGGCCAGAACTAATTTCCTCGGGGGCCAAGTTTGGCCTGAGGGCTGCCAATTGAATAGCCCTGCTGTAGACAATTTAAACTAAAAACATTGTTTACGGTGGCTAATAATTTTGACCTTTATTTCTGCTTTTTTTCTAAGATTCTCCTGAAAAAAAAATATAGGTTGATTTCAGTCATGTGGTTCTAGTGACGTGCAAAATTCAGATGATGGGCAGGAAGTAAAAGACTGAATGGGTGACATAGAGGGAAGTCTGCATTTTTGCAATTTACACCATATTTCAAAGGAGATATAAATAGAAAATAGCCACTTATATTGGGTATGATCCTTACGTAATGAAGAGGGTAGAGTTTTCTACTATATATTTGCCTGTCATTGAGGTGGTAGATACTTTAAAAGCTATTATGTTACATGAAAAAATAGCAAATACTATAGTGTTTGGAAGCATACCATAGATAATTACATGAATTATGTGGTTATATAACTGGTAGTAATTATATTGTTGCTGTGGTACAACACAACTATAGCAATAAACAAATTATTTAACAGGCTTCAGTTTTCTACGCTATAATTATACACCATCACAATGGACCACAGTTTACATTAACGTTAAAGTATTTGTTACATTTATCAGTTTACTATGCTACAGTATTCGGTAGCATTCATTATCAAAGAGTTGTACACATTATACACTTTACTATGTGACATGACAATAAAAACATGTTTATTATAAATTGCCAGTTTTTCCCTATGCGGATATCTTCCAGACATCACAAAATAACAGATCAAAGCATTCAAAAGTGTGGATGCATGGCTATTATTTATTTATTTTTGTAAGGGGAAGAGTGCTCCCCAATAATAACCATCTAGTTTTGTCGCAAGAGTTGCATTTTTTTTGTGCGGTTGATAACCTTTGCCATCTATAAACATGCAACGCTGCTGCGCTTATAGACGTTCACGTTACGGTTGTTTATTTTGCCGAAATGCCTGTAAAGTCAAAAACAGAAATTTCATTACAGCAATTACATGGCAGGGTATGTTATTTTTATTCTCCTGGATTTTGCATAAGTGTGGTGGTGCTTGCATCTGATTTTTATATAACACATTAACATATTTATAGACATAGCTAGGCCTGCATATACAGTAATCTTTATTGCTGCTGTCAAATGAATAATCACATTCAAAAACATTTGTGCACATGAATGTACACTGTAAGAAAAAAAAATCGTAAAAAAAAGGTCAAATGACTGGCAGCTACGGCTGCCAAACAAAAACCATAAAATTACGGTAAAATGTCTTTGTTGAAATAAAGTGCAAATAATAATACATCTACAGATATTTTCATTAAAATGATTACAGAAAAACACTGTTATTTTACAGACTTTTCCTAGATTATTACGATCAAATCCGTTCAATAAAGGTATACACTAAGAGTTTTACAAAGAAACACTATTATTATACAGACTTCTCCTAGATTATTATGATCAAACATCATCAATAAAGTGACTACACTAAAAGTTCAAGAGAAAACAATGTTATTTAAAAGAATTTTCCCTTAATCATTACGGTTAAACACCTTTAATAACATGCCAAGACATGCTCATGATCGTAATTTAACAGTTTTATTTTGGATCAAAAAATTTTGAAAAAACAACAACAAACGAAATAGAACTGATTAAAGATCTCACAACTTTAAAATTACAGTTGTTACATTTTATTGAATAGTGTTTATGTAAATCATGTAGAGGTTTAAGTTATATGGAATGATTCAGTTACAAATCTTAAATGAAATGGAACTGTATGAAAGGGACGCTGACAAATGAGTGCAGATCCAAAGGCAAGCAACAGTCAACACAGGGGCAAACAGATGTTACATTTTGCAGGGAATCCAGAGTCATGGTCAAATAACAGGCAAATGGTCAGTCCCGGCAGCAAACAACGTTAACAATTAACAAACAAAGCAAGGCAAAAGAAGAGAACCGCGTCATAATGTTCACAGTAGCAGCATAACAAGACTAAGCAATTGGTGCGTGCGTCTGTGCTGCTTTTAAAGTGCATGTAATCAGTTCATAACGATCCTCCGACTGTGTGTGTGCAATCAGCAGAATCTGAAACAGGTGTATGTGAGCACTCTTAGTGTGTTACTTTATTAAATGGATTTGATAGTAATAATCTAAGAATAGTCTGTCAAATAACAGTGTTTTTCTGTAAACATTTGAATGAAAATATCTATAGATTTATTATTTTTTGCACTTTTTTTCAACAAAGAAAGTTTACCTTAATTTTATGGTTTTTGTTTGGCAGCCGTAGCTGCCAGTCATTTGACCTTTTTTTTACGATTTTTTTTTTTTTTTTACAGAGCAAGTAATTACAATTTATTACTTTAATTTTACGTAATTTTAATTGTACTTTAAAAAACAGGAAAAAACACTGTAAATAATACGTCAATTTTATTGTAAAAAAGAGACAAATTGCTGTAATTTGTCATATAGTACATAAAATAACAGTCAAGCCGTTAATTTACTGATAATGTTTGTAATTTTTACGAACTTTTGAATATAATTTAAAATAACAGAAAAAATACTATATAAATAATACTGTAATTTCCCTGTATAAAAAACACAAATGTCAGTAATTTGTCTTTAATAATAAAGTACCGAAAATGAAAGTCAAACGGTTAATTTAGAGAGATTTTTTGTCATTTTACTAAGTTTTGAATATAATGTGAAATGACAAAAACTTACTGTAAAAAATTTAAGGATATTTTCTGTAAAATTAAGTTTTGTTTTTTTTACAGTGTATTGAATGAATGTTTGTTACATGCTGCCTTTTCTTCCGTTTTTCAGCCAGTTTCTTAAACTTTCCCCCCTTTATGATCAAAAACTTTTGGAAGTCTATAAAAAGCTGTTCGGCATTTCAGCAAATTTAAACAAATATAAACAACATAAAACAGAAACATTTTGATGTTCTGATAGGGATTCATAAGTAGAAGAATCACTTCCTACCCTCCATCTGAATTTCTATGACGTCATGTGAAAACAACTTTCATTTTTCATTTCATTTTCTTGTCGGCTTAGTCCCTTTATTAATCTGGGGTCGCCACAGCGGAATGAACCGCCAACTTATCCAGCAAGTTTTTTACACAGCGGATGCCCTTCCAGCCGCAACCCATCTCTGGGCAAGAAAACAAATTATACTATGAAAAAAATGTCTTGCTCTTTTAAAGATAATTTGGAAAATATATATATTTTTAAAAATGTCACAGGAGGCCTAATAATTTTGACGTCAATTGTATATTTCAAGTGACCTGAGTGTATATGCAATCATGTGGCCTATGATGAGTAAATATTGTACACTTTGACCCCTGGCAGAGCACAGTGCATGCCGCGTGGACCAGATCTCTGGGGCGTACGGCTGGTGGGGGGAGCGCACGCGTTTCCTCACCTCCCTCCCCTTCTGTCGCACCGAGAACTATGTCCCGGGACTGCACCTGCTCACCTTCCAGCATCCACGCAATCAATCACAGCCTGACAAGGTATGACAGGTTCAATCCTGCGCTCTCTTGACTTTCTATTTTGCAGAAACTTCCATTATATGCACCCATGTATAAAAGCTGTATTTATGCTCTCTTTGTATGATTTGACTTTTACTATACTAATGAATAGGTTTTGACATTTTATTTTATTTTATTTTTTACTGTATAATATTAAACGAACGCTCTACTTGTTTTTGAAAATAGGTGCATTTTACAACTCCCCAAGAGCTGAGTTACAGTTGTACCATTCAGTACTCTGGCAAATTTCCAGGTGCTGTTTCAGTGCTCCTGCCATGGTACAGCATCAAAGTTCTTTAATTATTTTGCCCGTTTATAATGGCCCGTTTACACAGAGAGGTCCAGTACGGTTCAGGTCGGTACTGGTTACCTTTATTAGGCTTGTGTTTCCACTGCCAAAAGGTTACCCTTTTGGTGGGCAGGGTGTACGACAGAAAGTTTTAGACGATGTCATTTTTACTCAAGGAAATGTCAAAGTAAAGCTGTATGGGTCATTCACATATCATATGAAAAGAACTACTCACTAAACAGATGCTTTATACACTTAAATACTCGTGTATAAATGTTCATTACTAACTCTATGAACATGATTTGATTAAAACTGCAGATCAATGATGTGAAATGGCCTACTGTAACGCCTGCAATTATATGAAAGAAAGAAATTAATGCAACACATACAGACCCTTACAGTCACCAATAGGTTACTAATTACAGTAAAACTACACACAGCATACATTTAGTCCTTATTTGGGTTCAAAAACAACACGAAATATTGCCACAGTCTGTGAAAACCTCTCATATATGTCTTTAATCTTCACCAGCACATGTAAGCTCTGTTAGAAAGTAATTCCGTCATTTCTGAGTTCATAAAAGTTCAAAAGGTGATGATAATAAGTAAACATGCCAGATTGTTCATGTTTATTTTGCAGAAAGCATTATTTGCTGCTTTGTTTTTTCCGGCCTCTCCTTTGTTTTTTTGCACTTCACTCTCGCGTTTGTCTCTTTCTGAAAGGATCGGATATCTGAGCGATTCAATGAACATGAGCACGTCATTAATACGAACTCAAGAAGTTCATTATTTCAAATATAGATGGGCGATTAGAGGCTCATAAAACAAAAACAGGACACTACAGATTTTGTCCTTCTTGGCTTTGTGGCTGTTCATCAAGATGACTGTAAGGTATGTCTGAGCTCGGGTCGACCATGGCTTGTTATTATATGTATATATTATTACAGTGTAATGTCTCTGCTGAAATGGCAGTTTCTTTGTTTTCATTCTCTTGCTTCTGCTAATGACATATCTCTGTAAACGAACCAGCGACCTTCTTGTAATTTAATGTAATGTAATGTGTATTTATATAGCACATTTATTGTGTATGGCCATACACCCAAAACGCTTTACAGTCATGAGGGGGGGGGTCTCTCCACACTACCACCAGTATGCAGCATCCACTTGGATGATGCGACGGCAGCCACAGGACAACGGTGCCAGTGGGCTCACCACACACCAGCTATCGGTGAAGTGGAGAAACAGTGATAGAGCCAATTTGGTGGAAGGGGATGATTGGGAGGCCATGATCGTAGGGGACGATAGAGGGACTTGGCCAGGACACCGAGGGTTAAACCCCTACTCTTTCACGAGAAGTGCCATGGGATTTTTAATGACCACAGAGAGCCAGGACCTCGGTTTAACGTCTCATCCGAAAGACGGTGCCCACTGACAGTGTAGTGTCCCCTTCACTTTTACTGGGGCATTAGGACTCACACAGACCACAGGTTGAGCGCCCCCTGCTGGCCTCACTAACACCACTTCCAACAGCAACCTACTGTTCCCTAGTGGTCTCCCATCCAGGTACTGACCAGGCTCAGCCCTACTTAGCTTCAGTGAGTAACCGTGTTAAGTTCAACTCTAGGTGATGACAACCGTAAATGTGGATGCTGCACATAGAAAGGAAGTAGGACTTTTATGTGATGTTGAAAGGTCACTTCCGGTGTGAGCGTGAGTGTGAGTTTTTGTTGTTGTTAGTGAACGGCCATGGTGGTCATGCAATAAAGGAGACGAGTTCTAAACTGTTGTTTTCATTTAGTAACAACCGGTCTTGGGCTGCAGGGTGATATGGCTGTGGCATTCTTGCTGTGAAGCGACAGCACTACCTACTGCGCCACTCTGTCGCCTCATAAAAAATATATATATTTTCAAAACTTTTTTTTTCATTTTTAAACAAGATGCTAATAGTAACTGGATTCAGAAATGGTAAAACTCAACTCTTTTAACTGTAGGGGAGTTGTAAAATGAGGATATATTCAAAAAATGTGAATGTTCCTCTTATTTCTGCTACTTAAAAAACATTTTTTTGCATGTACACTGTGTTGTTGAACAACGATTTGGCTGTTTAAAACAAATTTGACAAATTCTAAAGGATTCATCTTATCTTTGGCTGGAATCTGTAGTCTTTGATTGATAGTTTGACATGTTCATAGACAACTGCTGTCTGAAGTATAATTTTGTAGTCCTCTTAAAATAAATTGCATCATTACATAAATTGTCATTATTTACACTAATTGCATAAGATTCTTCACATATTTCTGTTTTTCATTCTCTTGTTCATTTGTTCTTCTTTGTAGGTGTCTATCCTGCGCAGTACCTCCATCATTCTCAATCCCTCTACAGAGATGGATGTGACGCTGCAGTTTCGGGGCTTCATTCACCCATTATGGAGCTCCCCTCCTCATCAGGAAACTGTGGCCATGTGGGCTCGAATCCAGAAGCTCCACTTTACTGCTCAGATGGCAGCCGGACCAAACTCTCTTCAACTGGTATGAACTATCTGTAAATTATGCTTCAGACAAGACAAGAAAGTGTTTTGTCAGTCTTTCTAAACCTTTCTTTTTTTCATGCAGACGGATGTGCTGGGCCGGTGGTCTGCTCAGGAGGAGAAGGATATCCATAAGCTTTCCCGGTCGGATGGTTCCCGTCTCTTCCAGAATCTTACACGAGGAAACTGGTACCTGATCCAGGCAGAGGGTTACCTCAATAACTCTGCATCTGGACAGACTAGTGAGATGGCTCTAACCTGGAACAGAACAGGTTTACCTGGAGGCAGCGTAAGTGTATAAACCTGGCCACATATGTCTGTGTATCTGTCTATCATTCTATCTGTCTCCCTTTGATTATGGGCTCTATTTTGACGGTCCATGCGCAGAGCGCAAAACGCAGGGCGCAATCGATTTCAGGGCGTGTCAGGGCGCGTTTTTGCTAATTTAAGAACGGGAAATCTGCCTTGCGCCGCGGCGCATGTTCTAAAAGGGTTGAATTTATTTTCTTAATGAGTTATAGGTGTGTTTTGAGAATAAACCAATTAGAGTCTCATCTCTCATTCCCTTTAAGAGTCAGCTGCGTCGTGCCAAGAGCGCATTCGCTATTTACAGGACGCAAAGTAAGTCTAAGTGGAAAAACTGAGCATTTCACTAGCAAACAGTTAACGGTTTTTTAACAGAAAACTGTTAAACAGAGCATCTACTGCGTGAGAATGAGATATAATGGATCACTTTCACTTTTGGATAGGGAAACCTTTACTCACATACATCAATTAGTCTATAAATAAATAATTTTGTTTGTTAAGCGCAAATATTCATTTCAAAACTATTTCTAAATTCAGTTCTAATTTCCAGCAAACGAATAAATGAATAATAATAGCAAAATGTGCTCAAAAACCTATATCCTAAAACACATGCTGTGCCCCATATGATCTAAAACCTGACAGGTGGGCAAATCTAAGCTTGTTTTTAATAAAACAAATATAAATATGTATATAATAAATAATACTGCTAATAATTACATTATACAAAAGCAAATTATTATGAATGAACTGAAAAAGCCTCCCGAGATGAAGAAGACATAAAAGCAGTGGTTTTTCATATTTATGTAGGCTAGAAAATAATGTTTTGTAATATTTTAATCCTTTATATTTATATTCTATATCTATTCTTATTACAAACTATATATATCCTTAATATTTAAATTTTTTCATATGTAAAGATATTTGCCTATTGCTCTCTTGTGTGTATTAAGCAGTGTGTAAGCGAGGCGCAACTCTGCGCCGGAGTTTAGACCGGGTTAGTTTTGGTTTAATGAAAAATCTATTATAGATTCTCAAAATAGCAACACGCCAGCGGTCCACCTCAGAACTCCTTCCTTTTTAGACCAGAACGCCTATGGGCGCAAAAATGAGCGCTAATGCATTTGCTATTTAAACAGCGTAGCGCAACGCCTCAAACCGACTCTTGCGCCAAGCTGAAACTACCAAAAGACGACTGCGTCACGCCTTGCGCCACACTGCGCCGGGTGTATGATAGGGCCCTATATCTATCTATATCTGTCTGTCTGTCTAACCATCTGTCTGTCTGTCTGTCTAATCATCTATCTCTATCTGTCTGTCTGTCTGTCTAATAATCTATATGTCTGTCTGTCTGTCTGTCTGTCTGTTTGTCTGTCTGTTTGCATTACAATAACCTGTAAATATAGATGCATAGATTTTTTATTTTGTTTTACTGATATTTACATTTCCATCATCTAGGAGATCTCTTTCCTGTTCCTCGAACCCTTCCGTTCCAACTCCTGCTCCGAATACCGCTCGTGTCTGGCCTGTCTGTCAGATCAGTCGTGCGGCTGGTGTCCCACCGTGAACCTGTGTTTTCTACGCTCAGACATCAATCAGCAGCCCTGTATTGACCCTCAGGGGGAAGAGCGCCACCTACTGCTCAACCCTCTGCATTGCACACTGTGTGAGGAATATAGAGACTGTGCCGCTTGCACTCAGGTACTACATCAACATCAAGACATCTGAGAAGACTGTGTTTTGATCCAGAGCAGCATGCAGTCTGTTTACCAGCTTTGGTTGCAGTGGTGTTTCTCTCATGAATCTCTGAATGTTTGCAGGACCCCTACTGTGAGTGGCAGATCAACTCCAGCAAGAAGGGAGATTATCTGTGCAGCCGCCGTGGGAGATTAGAGGGGTCTATCCGGGAACCAGGAGGGTGTCCCAATGTTTGCAACCAGTGAGTTTTGAAGTGATAAACTTGTCTATGAATTATTTGTTTGCTGTGTGTAAACTGACGGACCTCAGAAAGAGATTTCTTTTCATGTAACACTCTCTCTGTCTCTCTGTCAGGAGGCTGACGTGTGGAGAATGTTTGTCTAACTCCAGTCAGTGTGCATGGTGTGAATCTGCTCAGTCCTGTTTCTACTTTGCTGCATACCTCACAAAGTTCCCTTATGGAGAGTGCAGGGACTGGTATGACAGGTAAGTTTTGGAGCCTCTGCTGGGACATTAGATGTGCGAGTGTTAAGTGTTCGAACAATATATACAATTTTTGCGTGTTGTAATAGAATAATACATTGATCAAATAAAAATGAGTTTTTGAGTTTACTCGCTTTAATCTGGCGTCAAATGCACTTCACAATAGACTAAATGGCTTACATGGATTTTATTATGATAGTAGTTGTGGTTTATGTGCTTTAGGATAGCTGAAAAACAGCATAGATTTATTTGGCGCTGTGTCTGAGTTTACCTTTCAGAGGTGCTCCCAGCTCTGTGAGTTTATCAGCTCCTCCAGAAACTATACCTGGATGTTGGAGGCTTTTAGTGATGCTTTTGGCCTGGTTTATACTTCTGCGTCAAGTGATCGGCGTGACCCATGGTACAAGCCTTGCGCGTAGCCATGCATTTATTCTTTTGCGCGCTGTTTCGGTTGCTCTGCAATACACTTACGAAACTCTAGCTGGCAGTAGGTGTTTATGTTTCTCTGTGTCGAGTTCCTTCTCTAGTGTTTTGTTTTTTTCTGAATGCTCCCTTAATGTACATGTGGCTCAAACTCGCTGATTTTCAGGCGGGAACCGGCAGACGTGCAACAACTTTAAACATAAGCAAAGAGCATAGAATCACCAAGAGGCGACACTTCAGTGCGATTTGGGAAACAGCCACTAGATGGTACAGCTGCATATTACTTTCAGGTTGTATCTCAGCTTTAATGCGCTTTTTAAATGAATAAATAAAAAACAAAGCAGCTGCTTGCCATCGCGACAGCAATAAGATCCAATGGACGGCTGATCGCTTTCACTCCAAAATGGCGGAAACCAGGGCTTTTGCTGGGTGCTGCTGTTGCAATGCAATGTTCTATTAAGGGGTTGCCACTTGGTCATTCTAAGCTCTTTGTCATAAGGTAAACACAAAACAGTTGTCTCCATCCGGAGCTCCTTCACAGGACTCCACACATGTAAACACCCGCTGCATCACGCTTGCGCGGCTCTCACCTCTGCCCACACCCGTTAGCGCTACCAAGCCAACCAATCACAGAGCTTGCGCTACGCTTACGTGTTACATTTTTTTGAGAGGTGCGCGTCAGCAACGCCGACGGCCACGGTGAGGGTCTATGTGTCCATGCGTAGGCTGCACCGTAGCATACGCGTGCACTTGACGCAGAAGTAAAAATCAGCCTTTAGACTAAGCCAAGCCCAGTTTAATGAACTGTTGTCTGGTGTCGGCAAAATAATTTTTCCTTAGGACACCAACAAAAGGCACTACATCATAATCACTTCCCTACAAAAGCAAGCTCATGATTGATTAACGCGACGCAAATGTCTGCTGAAGTTTAGATTTACCAATGAGCGATATGCTCAACTCATGCCGCTTCATCCGCTCGAATTGCTCCATTCCTGCAGGATGTCAACTTAACTTGTAAATCACTCGCGCTTGACGCTTCATCCGGGTGAGGTATGAACGCAACGTATTTTGATTATTTTGATTTATTTTGATTATGAATAAAATAAAAGTATATTGCTGTTTATTATTATTATTATTATTATTGTTATATTTTATAAATTATAAATTTTATCCCTTAGAAAAATAAGTTTCAATGTATTTAGGATATATTTATCAATATATTTATTTCTTTTTATGAATTGTTGTACAGTAGTAAAAATTTTTGTAGGTATAATATTTAAGCATAAAGCTATTGGTTTGTTGAATTTTAATTGTTAAATTTATAATACTAGTAACAACAAAAACAACAACAATAATAATAATAATAATAATAATAATAATAATAATTATTATTATTATTATAAGTATATCAATTACTGTTCTTTATTATTTTATTAAATAATTATTTTGATTCCTCTACTGGTAATATATTCACTGCCATATTGTAGTAGTAAATATTTATTATTCAGTTGTAAGCTAAATCAATTTTTAAGCCATCCTTCTTTTAAAACTTGTGATTTTGTATGCTAAGAATAAAACGTACCTATAATTTATTCTTTTTGTTATTATGCAGTAATGTAATCATTTTATATTTAATAATCCTGTTGTTAGTACTAATAATTTATCAAATTTCTGTGCTGTAGTCCAAATGTTTTTCAGTTATTTCCACAGTGTTCTACTATATTACAAAGCTTGTTTTTTTTCCTGACAGTGTTCATCTCTCTTATTTTTTCTGTCCAGTGTTCATTCTGTTCCTCAGTGTAAGCAATGCACTGCTCTCACAACCTGTTCAGAGTGTTTGCAGACGTTTCAGTGTGGCTGGTGCGGAGACTACAGCAACCCCACTATTGGCAGGTAAAAAAAAAAAGCAAGGTCACACTTTATTTTGAAGGTCCGTTTGTTGAATTTATGTTACATTGCAACTAATTCTCATTAGATTATAAGTAGACTGTTAGGTTGGGGTTAAGGTGAGTGTAAGTTGACATGTACTTGCATAATCTCTTATAGTCAGTTAAATGTCTGTTGAAGGAGCAGCATCAACAGATATTAAGCAGACAATCTACTAATACTCAAATGGACCATCAAAATAAAGTTTTACCAAAAACACAAGAGTAAACACGCTAATCATCCATTACTGCGTTGAACTCTTCTACAAATCCCTCTAGAGTCCTTTTTCCTTTGTTTCTTTTTACCTCAGGTGTTTGAGAGGTGACTGGGGTGGGATGAATGACCACTCTGCTGTAAACTGTAGTACAGCTGTAGCTGAAGTGAAAGCCACCAGGTGAGCAAACACTAGTTTCTTCATGCTGCATTAACACTATGAGCAACAATCAACTGTTCATTTCAATGGGGAACACGGCGACCGGATGTGGGTGTGTAGACCAACGCAACAATGTTGAGATTCCTTCCACTTTATGCAAATGAACAGGGCAACTTTTGCAAGTGACAGCAAATTAGATCATCAGTAGAGCTCATATGATCCTCTCTTAGCTCCTGCAGCAACCGGTTGTTTTGTCTGTGCTGCAGACCTACACGATGGAGAACAATCTTTTTTTCTGGTTCATCTTTATAGTTTAAATACTGACAATTTTTAGTGTTTTTCCTGAGAACGCAACCTTAAACATACTAATAAACCATTATTGCATGATGGAGAACACGTTTTTTCTTGTTCATCTTTGTAATTAAACATTTGATGTAATTATTCCATTTATATTTAGTGTTTTTCCTGAACAATGTTTATTTTTAACATTGCATAAACTCTTTTACTCTCAGTGAGTATCATCATAACTGTTACCAAAGCCAGTGTTTCTCAACTGGTGGGTCCTGACCCAAAAGTAGGTTTCAGGGGGTTGCAGAGTGTGTGGTCAAAAAACAACAAAAGTTTAATTTTTAATTTATTTTGACTTTTATTTTGAAATGCGTGCACGACAACCCTACCGTTTGACATGTGAAATTTCATTTAATTATAGCAACAAATATGTTAAAGCGCAAGTACGACCCCAGATATGTAAAGTATGGATTTACATACATTTACGGCAAAAAAGACTTAAAGCCTAAGTGAGTCATAAGTAGTGGGGTGCTCTCTTATGAGAAACCTTCTAAATTAAAACGACATTTAGAAACCAGACAACATGTTTTATTAACTGTTTAGATCATGGTAGCTGCACCTTTCCTTACCCTAACCACTGTTTACAGTATTTGTCGTTTTTACTTTGTAATAATTCTTTAATTTGATACATTTTGTTAAATGACAGCAATAAAATATTGTTTATTTGTAAGTCTTGGTGATGTTTTTATGATTTATCTGTCACTACTTGTGTATGGTAACAAATAAATACAAATAAATTCTAAATTCTAAAATTGTATTATAGTTCCTAAAAATTTGGGTCGTGGCTTGATGACCATGTAAAAATATGGGTGCCATGGCCAAACCAGTTGAGAACCCTTGACCTAAGCAACCTCTAGGTGGGAATGCTCACTAGCGCCTTCAATCACCACCCAGGGTGACAGGCATCAAAGTCGCTGCTAATGTGAATGCAGCGGTAATGAGCAGTAAACGTGCTGTTTTATCATTTCAATATTTGACTGACATCTCTTCCATCAGCCCTGAGCCTCAAACATTATCACCCCCTCGGCTGATGGAGCTGGAGATGGATTTGGAGATGGAGCAGCTGGAAGGGATGGAAGGAGATGGAGATGCTGTTTGGTCCTACCCGTCCTGTCCAGATGTGGAAGAGTGTCGCTTGGGTTTGCACACCTGCCATCCGTCTGCGACCTGCGTCAACACCCCAACCTCCTATGAGTGTCACTGTGAGAGGGGCTTCACAGGAGACGGAGTGCACCACTGCAACCAGACGTGAGACTTGAGATTTTTCCATAGTTTCATTAATCTAAAGTGGTTCATTTTACAGTTGATGCTGCAAACTCCATGTTCATTTCAGGTTTTGTAAGTTTAAACTTTAAGCACAATAACTTGTAGAAAACTCAATACTTGTGCATTGTTTGTGCTTCTTTCTCTCTGCACTCATATATGTGATCTTGTAGATAAAGTTTTTAAGCTAAATATAAGCCGTATAGCATCAATATTTTAGTCAATCTTTCAATGGATAGAGGGAAAGAAAACAAAAGTGGAAGAATTTCCTAAAGTGATAGCAGGCATTAATGTTAACTTCAATTTGCACACTGAAGTCCGAAATTTTCAATTTTGCTTTTTTTTTTTTAGTAGTCGTATGCAAAAAATTTATCACGTAAACAAACTGTGCACACAGAGTCCAGATGTGTATTTATAAATACTTTATGAAAAAACGCAAAACATTTTGGCGTCAGTTCAAGCAGTGATACTTTGTTCTCCTCTCTTCTCCAAGAGGAATAGTCTGCATATTGTGTTCATCCAATAGGCAAATTACCAGTTTGTAAACATTCAGGATGTGCGCGCATTGTGGCTGCAGAAAAAAAAGGCTAGCATTTACAGTGAGGGAATGATATCCGATGCAGTAGAGTTTGTTGTTGTATTACAGATAAATTATATTGATTACATATTATATAATATTTACATAATGCTTTCAGCGTATTATAACAGCTTGTCACCCAGTGATAAGTACTGTTATTCAGGAAAATTACATTAAAGTGAGCAGCGTTTGCCTGACAGATCCATTTGCAATAGCAACCTCCCAATGGATATTGGATAAGACGAAATGGCCAAGCATCCAGCATCAAATACACAACTATCTCATTGAAACTCCAACTGATTTAACAAGAGAGAAGTTAAAAGCCTAGAGGTCTTTGGATGCCTACAATTTTGTTCTGTGTGGTCATGTGCAAGAAATAATGTTCCATGATTATCAGATTCAAAACTTTGTAGTTCTAAAAACCAAGGTTCTAACTAGCCAAAGACAAGGAAAAAAGACGGAGCTATACGAGGCCTGGGTAATCATCAACAAGCAAAACAACTGCATTCTGACAGCGAACTGCACCTGTATGGCAGTGTATGTGAACTTACATTTTGACATTTCATTCTAAGCATTCATTGTCCGCAAATTAATTCACCATATTTAGCTGTTTTTGCTGAAATCATTGCTGCAGTCAAAAACGAGTAATGTGTCTGATTCAGCATAGCATGAACTAACCTCATATGAAATGAAAACTGCAGAGTTGAGGATTTTTAATTTGGTCTTCGCTCCATTCAGCTCTTCTGACATCAAAAACAGTGTGGTGTACGGTAAAATTCTATTTTTAAACTTTCGATTCAAGCATTCTACTGCACAACACGACATGTTTGTTATTTGTCTTTTGTAGCCAGTATTAGCAGTTAAACCCGTGTGATTTAAGTTGGTAATTCCCCTATACTAGCCTACATAGAGAGGAAGGAGAGTTCAGCTCCTTATCAAAGATTTGCGCTGGATTATCCTGAAATGCAAAGTTTATTTTAGGAAATCAGTGAATTTTTGATACATTGCTTGTGATACTTCACATATTCACGTATGTAAACAAATCTTGAACAGAGACTAGTAACTAGACAGATGGTGGCCATGTTGATGTTTCGAAGCAATGGACCTAAGGCGGGCCATGCTTTTCTATTTTAATGTCTATGAGTAGCAACGTCAAATGTGTGGACACACACACACTAAAAAGCAGCAAGAGCAGATGTGCGCCTGTTACTGAATCCAGTCACTGGTTCTCAGCTGTCCGTCACATTCTGTCTTTATTTTATGCACTGTTTGTCATAAAGGTATCTGTGGCTCAAATGTATTTAGCTTTTCGCTTTTATAGTGGCTCTGAACTGTCAAAACACCTCTCAAAGCACTGTTTGGATGCGAAAAGTGGAAAAAATCAAGCCCAGTTCAATTTTTTTTAATGATGGACAAAATTTTTGGAGGCAGTGTGTCAATGTGATCCACACAACGTGAGATTGAATAATTTTTTTAATGTGCGAAAAATTCTTTTTACAGTTTTATTTCTAGGTGCTGTTGTTTGTAATTGGCTTATTTGTTTAGTACTGATTTTTCAACTTGTCTTCAGTTATGTCTTTTAAAAGACTGACAAATGGTTTAATTTTTAGCTTTATAATTGGGATTAGGAATGGTAAAATTTACTACAATGCTGCATGGCATGATCTATTTACAATGTTACATGGTTTAAAACAACAAAAACCAGAAAAACTTTTAAAAATTAAAAATTAAGCTTTGCCTGAGGTTTTAATTCTGGCAATTGAAGAAACAAAGGCATGCACAAATAGTTATGGCAGTGTTATTGATTTTTTTTTGGGGGGGGTATCGTATTAAAGTTATAAATTCTAGTAACTTGAAGTAACACTACTTCCTTGTGATCTATGTTAATCTATCTAACTATCTCTCTTTCTTTCTCACGCTCTCGCTTTGTCTCAGATGTTATAATGAGTGCCGTCAGGGCCGGTGCAGTGGGAGTCCTCTGTTTGAGTGCGAGTGTTCTTTGGGTTGGACTTCAGACCCAGCCACTCTGGTTCTGAGTGGAGTGGAGTGTGACGTGGATTGCGGCTGTAACTTTCACAGCACATGTATTACAGCACCAGGGATCTGTGACCAGTGCCAAGGTAAAAATTCCTGTCAAAGGCCCTCATCTCCTTATATTCTTTTTTATTCTTCACTTAGGGGTAAAAGAAAGTAGCTCCTGCTGCAGTGCCATCTCATTCTGTGTCTGGTATGGGTGATATTAAATAAAATCATACATCTTTATTAAATAACTCAAACATTTTCTTGAACCTCCCTCCAACATTTTCTGGACCAGTGTTGCATTTCATTAGAAATATATAAACTAGTTTTTGTGACTTGGGAGACTTGTTTAAGTCAGAATTAACTTTCTAAAAAAAACATACAACAAGCAGTTTTATGTTTGTGATTTAAAATGTTTACCGTTTACCAAAAATGCATGTCAGCAGCAGCATATGTGATTGGTGTTAATATTGGCCAAAATTGCTTCCAGAAATCAGTGATTGGTCCCAAAAGTCTGGTCTTTTATTTTTAAACAGTGTATTTTATCCCTTTCAGGCTAGGATAGCAACTTCAGTTTTTACTTGAAATCAACTCCAGTTTGTTCATGTTCTTACTTAATTCTAAATTAGCCAAACATTTTTTACATTAATTTACATTAATTATATCAGATCCTTGATTTTAAACCTCCAATTCATCAGCTAGATTTACTATATTTTCTTTCATGTTTAGACTGGACAACAGGGCCTCACTGTGAGCACTGCAAGCCTGGTAGTTTTGGCTCTGCTTTGGCTCGGGGTGATGGCTGTGTTCCCTGTCAGTGCAATGGCCACGGTGACCCTCTACAAGGATTCTGCCATAACCAGACTGGCCAGTGCTACTGTACCCACCACACCCAAGGCCCACACTGTGAGTCCTGCCTGCCTGGATACTACGGAGACCCCAGGTGAGTCTGACAATTGTGTTGAGTTAGTGTTAAGGAGACTGTCTTCAAGTTTGAGGGAATCATTTTCATTTGTTCACGTCTGTGTTGTGGTGCATTGAAGAAACAATTAATTTTGACACCCCTATTATGTACTGTATCATGGGAAAGAAAAAAGAAATTAGATTTTTACAAATGAGTTATTACAGCTATTGTTTAAAAAATGTGTTATTGTAGCTATTGTTTAAAAATCTCTCCATATAACATCACTTGGGAAATATGTAAAAAAAGAATTAACAGTTCACAGGAACGATAATATTTTTGTCTTCAACTGTATTATATTTGTCATGTAAACACTATAAAAATTTGTTAATAAGGTATCATATGCCTGCTACCTAAGGGCTAATTGTAAAAAGCAGTACTTTGACTTATACAGTAGGTAACTCTGAATTCACATTATTTCCTCACAGGGACAACGGCACCTGTTTCAGTCAGTGTCAAGGCCGCTCTGTTCTGCTGTCCTCCTCTGTACCCCTGTCTCTCTCTTCCTCTCTGGGATGGCATGGTGCAGTGGGTGGCCATGGTGGAGTGGGTGGCCATGGTGGACTCTCTCATTGCCTGTGGGTCCTCTCTGTCTCTCAGGATTTGGCACCATGCATGCCAGGGCAGTCATGCCCACCCGTGGCCCTGACCTGGCACCCAGATTCACACACACATTGCACAGTGAGTAGATCATTCCACATCAGTAATCTGCCGAAAACATAATTTGTGGCTTTGTTAAATAAACATAATAGCAACATTGTAATCGTTTTTATTTTTCCTTACAGAACTCCTATGTTTATGTATTTGACGGCTTGCCACGATTCCTCAGCAATGGTGTTGTTCACTCCCATCACAACCTTATTGGAGCATTCTGCGGCACAACAAGAATGGAGCCAATCACTGTTGAGGCGACATCAGGTGCTTAACAAAACTACAAATCAAATATTTTTCTCTACAAATCACACATATTAAAGCAATACTAGAAACATCTGAATTATTAGATTTACTGTATATTTGAGATGATAAAATTTACTTTATCTTGATACCAAAACCCATTTTTCTGCAGTCATTACTCCTCATAACCCCTCAGAAATCAAAATCATGCTGATTTGATATAATCGGGAAACATTATTTCTAATTCTTATTTTTATTAAAGAGGCTCTGTTATGCATTAAAAATATCATATTTTGCTTTTGGGGGTGCATGCAAGGTCAAAAAACTATTTCAACGACTCCCATATGTTTTGTTCAGCGATTCATTTGTTCACAAATTCCTCCTTAGCATGATGCTAATCTGCGCCGATTGGTCCGATGACTCAGTCTATTGCAGTTGGTCGACTGCATTAAGCGTGAGACAGAGAGAAACGCCCACCACAGCTTATCAACATTGTTGTAGTCAGAGTGCAGAGTGTATGTGTGAGCCCAATACAGGAGTGCATTAAAGCAAAAACCCATAATAGGGGCTCTTTAATGTTGAAAACAGTAATGCAGTTTGATATTTTTGGTGAAAACTAACATATTTTTCTGTATTCTTTAAAGAATGTGAAGGTCTTTACTCTCATTTTGATATCTTTAATTAAAAAATCTAATTATTTTAGTCATTATTTTAATAGTTTTCAATTACTTTAAAATAATTGGTATTGACCCCAAAAAACTTGGAAAAATAGTAAAGTTTTGTGTTGCAATTACGATTGACGTCATTTCCTCTTCTCTAGGGGTGGTGTCTGTGTATTTTGAGGCAAACGTCACCTCGGGACGTGCTCAGGGTTTTAACGCCTCATTCTGGGTGAAGCGATGTGGAAATGGTAGCACTGATGAGGGAACAGTCATCTCAGCCGAGTGCCAGGCAGGAGCTCAGTGTATAAACGGCCTCTGTGAGTGTCCCCATGGTTTAGGTGGTCCACAGTGTGACCGTCCAGTCTGCCCTGGGAGTTGTGGGGCAGAGGAAGGACGAGGCACCTGCAACATGGTGAGTAACATTGCTCAAGAGCATAAGAAGCCAACAGAAATGCATTCTAGACATATCCCACTGTTCTTATCTTTGATGTTTGCATATACTTTTACAGAACCTTGGCCTGTGCGTGTGCACTGAAGGCTGGGCTGGATCAGACTGTTCTTCCATTTCAGACACGGACAGCCTCGTTTGGGAAACGCTGCTTGACACTCAACTCTCTGTGGTGAGATTTAACCCTTTCATTCAAGATGAAAAATAGACTGTTCTCACAAACAAGTCTCGAGTTTTGATCTGTTTATTTTTTCCGACAGAATAAGGCACACAGGTTCCTCCGGAGGATGGGTCACTCCCTTATGTCCAGCCCACAGGGCACACTTTGGATGTATGGAGGGCTCTCACTCTCAGAGGGCATTTTGGGAAATGTTTACAGGTACAGTCTTGTGGACTTTTATTCATTTGAACAGCAATAATTTTAAACAAATCCCCCCTACACCTCCCCCCCCCTTTTTATATTTTATTTATTTATTTATTTATTTATTTTTGGAAATAGGCTCAATTTACATGTGCCATTGGAGTAAAACAGTTCGGTTAACCTTTTTGAATTCATTCAGCCGATCTCTGGGTCTCGCCGGCATACTATTTGCCTAGCTTAGCATAAATCATTAAATCCGATTAGACTATTAGCATCTTGCTCAAAAATGACCAAAGAGGTTTAATAATTTTGCTATTTCTTTTTGGTTTAATTTGTTTTAGTTACATTGTGTACTAAAACCAAGAGAAATCGAAAAGTTGCTATTTTCTAGGCCAATATTGCTAGGAACTATACTCTCATTCTGCTGTAATAATAAAGGAAAATTGCGTCCGTACCATGGCTGCAGCAGGATCAATGATATTACGCAGCTCAATCAGCACATGCTTCATGCACAAGAAGATGGTCATGATGGAAATGATCAAGCCAGGGATTATTTTCAGGCACTGTGTTATATCATGGTCTAATCAGATTCAATGATGTACCTTTCTAAATTGTTCATCATTTGCACTAGTCCCATATGCGATCGATGTAAGCAGGCTCCTGCTTCTCTGCTGCACATGTTCTGGATAAGTATTTTTGAGACCTTCTTTGAAGCATTTGGGGTGGTCGTAGAGCCATCACCATTTCTCGCGTTGTTTGGGCTGGCCTCTGAGAGAATTAAAATCTCTTCTGGCTAGAAGACTGATATTGTTTAAATGCAAAACCCTATTCCACCGACACATAATCACTGTATAAGAGAAGTGATGTCTCATCTTAAGTTGGAGAAAATAAGGCATACTATCTAAGTGACCGTTGAAAGATTTTATAAGGTCTGGCCACCTTTTTTAACTCTTGTGATGGAAATGGACACACACGATTTGACACTATGAAGGGAAAAAAGGAGCTCGTGTCATGTTTTCATCTTTTTATTTTCTCTTTGGACATTTGATTATATATTTTTCCTAGATCTGTTTTTTTTTCTGGGAAAGGGGTGTTTTGTGTTAGTTTTTTTGTTTGCTCTGTATAACGTGAAAAACAAATAAAAAAAACCTTGAACACATTCAGTGGTCTATGCTAAACTAAGCTGAAAGTGCTCCCACTGGATCCAGAGATTGGCTGAATAGTTAAACTCCACTCCCCAAGAGTTAAGCAGTTGAGTGTTCCATTAAACACATTTTAATATATTGGTACAGGTATTCTGTGGCTGATCGTCGCTGGACTGAAGTGTTGACCAGTTCAGTGGAGGAAAGTTCAATGCCTCTGCCCCGATACCACCATGCATCTGCTTTGGTTTATTATCAATTCCCGATTTCTGGCTCTCACTCAGCCACTCGCAATTTGATGTTTGTGGTTGGTGGGGTCACAAAGGAGGGTGTTGCGAATGACACTTGGTGTTTGAACCTCGACAGTCAGGAGTGGAAGCAGTATAAGGTATTGGATATATAATATTCCCAGAGTGCTCCTGTGCTGCTCTTAACAGTGTTTAGAGTTTAAACTTCCTTGTGTGTTTAGAGCTCAGTGCTGCCCCCTGTAGCCGGACACACTCTGACTGTTCGAAAAGGATCATCTGTGCTGCTGATTGGAGGTTATTCTCCAGAGAATGGCTTTAACCATCATTTGCTGGAGTTCAGCCCACAATCTGGAAATTGGACTATAGCCTTGCACACTGGCACACCCCCTACAGGTAGAGATAGAACACTGCACTTTTCTGAACCTGGGACTAGCACTATTTATTGACATACAAATAATCGAACTTGAATTAATTAACCTGTTTTGCTTTGTAAGTGTTGTACTTTATGTACTTTTGTGATAAATTCATGTATTTATCCACGAGATTTACAGTAAAATGAGTTTATATAGGAGTATACACTAGGGATGCTCTGATTGATCGGCCAGAGAGTGGTATCGGCCGATAATCACATTTCACGACTCGATCTGTACTCGCTGATCTGGCTGATCTTATGAACTGCATGATTGCAGGTGTTTGTTTATAAATAGAGGAAGAGGCATGTGCACACCTGTATTTTAGACATCAGTAGTGCTACAACATGTAAGGAGGGGGTATAAGTGAATGTATAGATGCAGATGTGGTTTGACATCAGTTTAGAGTGTTTATTGGCATGACTCGTGCGATGGTCTTTTTGTTGCAACCGTTTATATCCAGTTTTTGAGCTTTTGTAGCATGAATGTTTGAATATTTAATAATATAATTTTTGTAATATACTTATAACAATAAACATTAGTTTATAGGGATTCCCATTTCCTCTTAGTAAAGAAGCAATATATTTAAGGTGTGCATTTTAAGTTATGCATCAAATATGCACTCCAAACTTTCCTTCTGTGAGACGTGTTGAATTCTTCTTCCATCATTTGCAATGTTTCTAAATTGCATTGTTAATAATTTTTCTTACCAATTTTTTTTTTGTCAGTTTTATCTATTTTTTTTTCTGTAAAGCTCCAGACCATGACATTTCCTTACTATATGGTTATAAGAGACACGTTTAAGAAATTATATGCAACACCCGTTGTTTATTCTGTTGGTTAAGGCAAGATCTTATCAGACGTGGAGGGAAAATGTGCTTTATGCGTTACAAAGCTTGAAGCATTAGGATCGGTACTCAGTATCGGTCATTTACAATGACAAGGAATGGGTCCTCGTTATTGGAGCATCCCTAGTATACACACTACAGTTCAATGATTTAAAAAAAAAAAAAAAGATTTGATATAGAAATGAGTCAAAGACATGTTAAATTGATTAAAATTGGCATTAAATTTATCAAAATTGGCAATCCAGAAACTTTTCATTTGACAACACCTATAAAACAATTTTATTATATAACTCAAGATTAGTGTTTGACAGTTTTAAATCTAATATAATCATTTGATCATAGTAGTGTAGCTTATAAAAGATTTCATAACTGGTTCAAATGTTTCAGATTTCTCTAGTGAGTCAATTTAAACTAAAACTCATTTCTTTTTAAAAATTCTGTCAATCTGAATATAATAATATGTAAAAAACTAACAATTTCTACCTTTAAAGGCATAGCCCATCTCAAAATGAAAACTCTGTCATGATGTCATCATTTGGTTACCCTCAGGTTGATCCAATTCAGTATGATTTTTTAGTTTGGAAGAATGTCAGAAACCAATTTACTGAGTAATTACCAGTAAGCTAATTAACCAACTATTTACTCCTATAGAATTTATTTTTACAGCTATGGCAGGAAATGGGTGGTGAGTTTTGTTTGGTTACTGATATTCTTCAAAATATCTTCCAATCTTGCATAACTTTCATGTTTCTGCTGAAAGGGACAACCTGAGGGTGAGTTAACGATGAGCGAATTTAAATTAAGGGGAAAAACTATCCCTGTAATTCTTCAATTTGTTCATCTTTATCAAGCAAAATGTGTTTTCATTAAGTAATTATTAAATTGACTCAAAAGTGCTTTACACTTCTGGTTTAATTTATCTTCTTACCTTCACCATTTCAGGTCTTTATGGCCACTCAGCTGTGTATCATGAACAAACTGATGCTGTGTACGTTTTTGGTGGTTACCGTTTCCATGTTGAAGCTGTAGAACCTTCTGGAGAACTTTACAGTCTTTATTACCCCAATCTTACTTGGTCCTTACTGGTGCCTTCACAAGGAAACAAGGTAACAAAAATCAAATCAAATGGGGGTCAGAGTGTTTGACGGGTAGATGACACTAATCTTCTCTTTCTCTACAGCCTCTCTCTCGTTTCTTTCATGCAGCAGCTTTAGTGAAGGACACAATGGTAATTGTAGGAGGCAGGACAGGAGAAGAGGATTACAGCAATACAGTTTCTCTCTATCAGATCAACTGTAACACATGGATACAGCCAGGTAACTGCACAAAGTATATTTTTTTAATATACAGTCTATTGTAAAACCTTTACTTTATACTTATAGCATGTGTGAGTAAAACGTAAACAGGTCTTTGACACCAGAGCATTATAATATTTATTGATGTCCCTCTCTTACTCAGTCTCTCTCCAAAAGTCATAAGCACTAAAAATAATTCTGACTTCAACTGTATATATAATAACTTAATAGAAGTGAAATAATTTCCTAATATTTTGTAAAATATTTTTACAACATAAGTACTATAGATTCTTTATACAAAAAAAAAAACTATATAAAACATTTTAGGATGGGAGTACCTCGCTTGAGAATGATGATAGTTAGGTTTGAAAACTTCTGCCTTTGCTTTGGCTTAAAAACAAATATTTTAAATCTTAAAGTTATACTTCAGGCTTGCCCTGTATCTGCATGTAGAATATTAGTTATGCACTTGCTAACACACACAGCAGCATAGTTAAGGTTTTGCTCCTTTCAAGGATCATTTGTTTTTCACTTCTCTAGTGTCCTCGGTGGGAGAACCTGTAAACAGCTCTGTTTCTTTGGCCATGACTGTTTGGGGTGATCGTCTGTTCCTGTCTGGAGGTTTCAATGGCGTGACACTTGGGCGGTTTTTGACCCTTTCTTTGCCCAGTGACCCCTGCATACTGCTGCCCACCCCTGAGGCCTGTAACAGCAGCACCGGCAGCTGTGTTTGGTGCAGAGGCACCTGTGCTTCATCAGACGCCGCAGAAAGGTATTAGAGGAACTACATTTACATTTAGTCTTTTAGCAAATGCTTTTGTCCAAAGCAAAATACAAATGAGGAAAGCATCAAGTGACTTTTCATAAAAAGGCAGTAGTCATAAAAAGTTCCACTTTTACAAAAGTTTTTAAAAAGTTTATTGTTTAGAAAAATTAAAGCTCAAGGAAAAAGGAAAAGGGTGAGACTTTTTTTAAAGATGTAGTCAAGTACTCACATAAAAGATGAGTTTTTAGTTGGAAGATTGATCCACCAAGAAGGAAAGGAAAGGATTCTGCAAAATGATTTAGAGCCTCCCTTTGATGGTACCACAAGGTGGTACTCACCGACCAAAAGCTTCTAGAGTGGGTGTAGACTTGAAGAAGCAAATAGAGGTACAAAGGTGCAGAGCCCTTGGCTTTTCTGTGAGCCAGCATCAATTTAGGATGTAGGTGATGATTAAGCAGTAGGTGATGATCTTTCATACATGCCGAGATGCCTTGCAGGCAGTGTGAGATCCGTACTTACAGCTACAGTTGCATCATCTGGTTGAAATACCAGAATAGAGTGGTGCATTATCGGCATAAGAGTGATAAGAAAAACTCTTTGATTGGATGGTGAGTCTCAGCATTGGGGTGTAAAATGAGAAGAGAAAGGGTCCAGAAACTGATCCCAGAGGAACTCCCATTCCCAGCTGGTGTGCTCTGGACTCCTCTCCCCTTTTGATTATGCATATAGATAATGGAGTGAACTAGTAACATCTTACTAGAAACAGTTAGAAGGAGGCCCCTCTAGGCACAACAAATTTTCTCCTAATTTTGTTTGTTTATTATTATTATTCAGATTGGGTTGTACTCTTGGTCTGTCTACCTGTTCTCCTACTCCTCGTTCACCTGATCAGTGCCGCAGACTCAAAACCTGCAGCGAGTGTTTGGCCCGTCATCCTAAAACATTTTCCAGCCCTGTGCAGGTAAGCTTAGCACTCTAAAAAAAATTCAAGCCTGAGCTATCTAGTAAATTTACTGCATCTCTGCAAGAGGTAGACATTAAATTAGCTCAATACATTTGTACACCATTTAAATATTTATTTGTTTTCATTAACATTTGATACAATTGACAAAAAATTTATCGAAATACCTGGTGTACATGTCACCAAACATCTGAACGTGCCACGCTTTCAAACATCTTTTTCTTTTTTCTGCAATTTTCTCTTTCAGTCTGCTCTGCAATGTAAGTGGTGCACAAACTGTCCTGAGGGAGCATGTATCAGCAGTTCCGTAAGCTGTACATCAGAGCATGACTGCAGGATAAACCAGAGAGAGATCTTCCTGTCCAGCAACTGCACAGAGACCAGCTGTGAGGCGTCCGACTGCCCCAAATGCACAGCTTCCGGGAAATGCATGTGGACACGCCAGTTCAAACGCACAGGTGAGAGTGGACGAAGCATTCAAGGGATATGTGTATAATTATTCAGTGAGCAGTAAGTGGTTTTTCTGTTTGTTTTTACTGTTTGATTAACATTATAGACAGAGATCCATCAGGTTTATTAGACTGCTGCTTTTTAAGACCTAAAGAATATAGTGATGCACGTGCAATTTCTTTCTCAATTGTTAACAATCACTTAAGACAACTGAATGTGCTTATCTTTACCAAGATGGGCATTTTCAACATTATAAATCAGGGTATATATTGACAGATTTAAAATATATATATATATATATATATATATATATATATATTTACCCTGAATTTTTCAAATCTGAATGAAAATAAATGGGCTGGGATGTTTTAAATGTTCTTTAAAAAAAAAAAAAGCTGCAAAACAGCTTGTAGACCACATTTTGACTCTAGATTTTACTACCAGGTGAGACCAGACGCATCCTGAGTGTGAACCCAACATACGACTGGACGTGTTTCAGCTACGCGTTGCTTAATGTGTCTCCTATGCAAGTGGAGTCCTCTCCACCAATGCCTTGCCCAGAACCCTGTCATGAAATCAAAACCTGCAGTCAGTGTTTAAGCTCCCGTGGCTCTGATGGAGGCTGGCAGCGTTGTGTATGGAGCATGGCATTGCAGCAGGTAACGTTTGACTAAACTTTGTTCCAACTTGCTGACTTTAAACCAGATTAGCCAATAACCCGAATACATGTTCTCTGTGTTCTCCAGTGCATGAGTCCCTCATTTGTTCCATTGCGCTGTGAGGCGGGTCAGTGTGGCCGTTTGCTCTCGGATGAAGATTCCTGCTCTCCTCAGTGCTTTCAGCTCACTCAGTGCTCACAGTGCATTTCCAGGCCACAGTGTGGCTGGTGTGCTGGCCGTGGTGGTAATGGTTCAGGCCGCTGTCTGCAGGGAGGACTCAATGGTACGTGTTTTACATTACAGTAATGGAAGGTATATTGGAAGGTATATCAGAAATACATTTGAATTTGCAGAAATAGCCACTGTCTCAGCAGGGTGTTTTCACACCTCTAGTTTGAAAAAAAGATTGAAAAGTCCAGCTTTGTTTAGGTGAGAGTGTCGAGTAGCGAAAGAGGGAAGGGTTTGCTTGAAAAGAGGAGTTTCATTAAGTGCACTACATCTGATTTTTACAGCGGCAACGCAGACACAGGGGAGATGAACAGTGATTCAGAGAGCAGCATTTACAGCCCATAATATTGTAGTGATATTACTGTAAACTTAATAAATCATTAATTTTAAACTAATGTATGTCTTTAAAAACTGAGAGTTTTGCTGATGATACGAACTAACTTTGCCATCTGATTGAACATAAACAAAGAACATTGAACACACACTTACCAAATTCGTAGAGACAGGATAATCAGCATGACCTGGAACCCCATCTTTTTAAAAAGAAGACTAGTGGCAAATCCAGATTTAACTGTTCTCATGTAAAAATAATGTTTCGTACAAACATATTTTTGTCATGAGCTGTGCTCTCATTGCGAGGATATGAAAACAAAACCTTCGTTGCAGCACATTTATAAACAACACTGATGACCCATGTCTCCAAACAATTCTTCCACTTCTACTTGTTTGAATTGCGGTTGGCAACACAACGTAGCATCTCTCTAAACCCTGTAACAGGTAAAAGAAGTCTTTGAAGCTATATCATGCATAATAATAAAGTTGTAACTCATTCACAATAGAGTGCGCTGATTGGTTCGAAGCAAGTCTTTCTCATCAATTAATGTACAGATGTGCTGAAAACTCAATGACGTCACTTTGTACCGGCCGGTACAGACAGCCAATCTCCACGCTGGAATTTACACAATGATCTCATTGCCGTGACGTTGCTTCAAAAATTTTTTTTTTAATCAGAAGAACGAATTTACTCGAAACAATGCAAAAATAACCAATTTTCACTTTTTAGTGAAAAATATGTGTCCTAATGGTGTTTTTAATAACGTGGGACACATATATGACTGTCAACATCTTAAAAACTGGGTTTCGGTGTTTCTTGACCCTTTAACAACCTTCTTACACAAAGCAGGTCTGAGCAATTAAACCAGTTGGGTGGAAATTGATTTAAGAACAAATATCATTTATAAACTAAATTAATTAGTTTTTACTTGTATGCTTGTTCTCACTGCAGCAACTGTGAAAGATTTCAGTTCTAGGAATGCCATTTGGGGGAAATAAATTAGCTCCTTCATTAGAACAGGGTTGAATCCAGCACAATAGGAGCTACAGTGGTGTAAGTGTAGCTTAATTGGGTGAATGCATGCCACATGAAACGCTGCCACAGTATTAATAAATGTTACAAAATGATGTGATATGTAATGCTACAAGTTGTCATTTTGTCTTTCTTTTTGTTGTTTCACTCGCATGGCTTGTGCGTTTATGTTCCATCTTCATCTGAGACGTTGAAAGATTTTTTAAATGTGAATACTTTTCAAATTTTAAAATTAAAAATAGAGCTTAGAATTTTTTTTTGATTTTCATTTGATGTATTATTGCTTGTTGTTGCTGTATTTAATTGTCATAAACCTAAATGTTATAGAAAAGTCTTATTTCTAAACCGTTTGTAAATGTTATTGAAATAGCCACTTGATGCAGATATGGCAATAAACACTAAACTCTCTCTCCCCCCTTTTCATTTCAACATGCTGCAAATAATGAAAACCTCTCCCTCCTGTTGTTATTTTTAGTATTTGAGCATGTTGTCATCTTGTTTACGCCATTTCAGAATTTCAAGTTCAGTATAATGGGGAGGAAATGTAGTTCTTGGGCAAGAGGTCCTGATGGCTAGTTCATTTTAACTACCTTGTGTGAAATCCCCTTACTATTTACACCCAATATATCTAACCAGGCTAAATAAAAACTGTTAAAGCGCATCCATTTCACACTAATCTGACTTCTTCTATCTATTAAAGTGAATTGTCTTCTTACTCCGCAGGTGTGAGTGAGGCTTTGTGCCCCCAGTGGAACAGCAGCTGGTCTTTCCTGCACTGCCCAGAAGAGGACGAGTGTTCCAATGGACACCACCACTGCAATGTCACTCAAGACTGTCATGATCTGCCTGAAGGTTACCACTGCACTTGCAGACAGGGCTACGTGCTCAGCAGGTACTGATTATACTGCTTAAAATTTCAAACCAAACCTTTCTTTAGATGAATAGTTCATATATATATTTTCCTGTTTCTTCTTGTTTGTCAGTGTTTCGGGTCAGTGTGAGCCAGTCTGCGCTCAGGGCTGTGTTAATGGGACCTGTATATCTCCAGGAATCTGTCAGTGCCACTTTGGGTTTGTTGGGGAGAACTGCTCCTCTCAGTGTCGATGTAACAAACACAGTAACTGTAAAAGCATCTCTCAGCTGGACACCTGTCTAGAGTGCAAGAATAACACTAAGGTACTAAGAACTAGCATTGTATGTGGTTTTATTTTTTCGTATTAATATGTAGTAATAAAATATGCAAATTACCCTTTACTATTAAAATGCTTGAGGATTGGTAGGTTTTTAATGCATATAGCCATGTCTTAATGTGATAAAAACATGTGTTTTTACTGTAATTTTGATTCATTTAATGTGCTCTTGCTAAATATAAGTAGTTATGGTGGCTTGAGAAAGACAACATACTGTTATACTACATAAACTTATGTATTGTTCCATCTTCTAATCCTCTAATTTCTATATGCAACTCCTCCTAGACCATTCGTACTACAACCACCAAATTAACATCAAACCTCCAAACTGGTCTCGAGTTGCTATATCATTTCCAACTGATCCGACTTATCATTTTCTAAAAACTGACCCGAAAAATTTGGAAAAGTCTAATTGACTTAACATTGGATCATTTAACATATAACTTTCCACCAGACTGTCATGGAGACATAAGGTTACACTCATTTAACTCAGACTACCAATCTGCCAATCACTGATGACCTTTCAACTTACTAGCCAGACCCTAGCAACCACATACGGCACCTTAGCAACTGTCCTATAGACTTACATTGCAAAAAAAACTGCCCCATTGACTTACATGGGACTTACTAAAAACATACAAATTCAAATTAACAATATATCAACAAGCATACTAACAACATACTAGCAGCATGCAAATTCATACTAAGTTTATGCTAACAACATGCTAGTTTATACTAGGAACATGCTAGCAACATGCTAATTCATACTAGAACCATGTTAACTTCATTCTAATTTATGCTAGAAACATGCTAATTCATACTAGAACAATTGTAATTTATGTTAGCAATTGCCTAGCAACCACTCAGACACCTTAGCAACCGCCTAGCAACACCTTAGTAACCACCTAGAACACCCTAGCAAACACCTTTCAACTCTTTAATAACCATTTAGAACACCCTAGCAATGCCTTAGCATCTGCCTAGTTACTACTCAGAACACCTTAGCAACCTCCTAGCAATGCTTTAGCAACCACTCAGAACACCATAGCAACCACCTAGCAGCACCTTTGCAACCACTCAGAAGACCCTAGCAACCACCTTGCAACATCTTGGCAACCGTCTAGCAACCACTCAGAACACCCTAGCAACCACTTAGCTATGACCTAGAACACCTTAGCAATCACCTAGCAACACCCTAGCAACCAACTAGCAACACCTTAGCAACCACTCAGAACAACCTAGAAACCACTAAGCAACACCTTAGAACCACTCAGAACCCCCTATCAACTGCCTAGCAAGAAACATGCCAGTCCATACTAGAAACATGCTAACAGACATGTAGTTATCTATCTATGATAGCTCTTTCAAACTTCTTAAACTACTTCAATTATTTAAACTTTGAAACTACTTCAAACTTTCAGACTAGGCTTTCTCAAGCCACCATAAAGTTGGTCTACAAACTTTACTTCTAGTATATTTGATTGTGTTAAATTAAAATGCATTATTGTTAAGTAACATGCACATCTTATGTCTGTTTCTTCATTAGGGTCAACACTGTGATAAGTGTAAGCCATTGTTTGTGGGCTCAGCAATGGGAGGTGGGATGTGTCGCCCCTGTCGTGAGTTTTGCAGAGGAAACAGTGACATATGTCTATCCAAGGATGAGCATAACAAGGCAATGGAGAATCCTAAAGATTACCCATTAGACCGTGAGAGTGTAAGCAGTGTTTACTGGATATCTTCTAGCTGTTGAATAGTTCTAGTTGTAGGGAAAGGGTCTTAAGTATTTGTATGTTTTTGCTTTTCAGATTGAACAATGGGCAACAGAGGGCCCTACTGAAGACCATGCTGTGTGTGTGAGCTGTCAGAACAACAGCGTGGGAGATAAGTGTGAGAGCTGCCTCAGCGGCTACTTCCTGCTGCAAGGGAAGTGTGAGAAGTAAGTCCTTAAGAAAATTACCTTTGAGTCCAATCTCTTACACTAATTATAATTATAATTTTGCAAGATAATGTTTACAGAGAATCAATGAATTTGCAGTTTACTGTTTTTTATAAAACTGTAGGAAGCTTTTTTCACAAGTAACTTAGAGCTAAGTCACAGAAAAGTTGAAATATCGGTTATATCATGCCACTTTTGTCATTTAAAAAAAAATATCCAAAATGATAAGCACTCCACTTAATTGCAATTTAGTGTGCATTCTTTTAACTCAGCAAGGTCACAGCCTGATGTTTCAGACTTCTATTAGCAACACAGTTTGCCATAAAAATGTAAATGCAGGGCGGAGTTGACAAAACTTGAACATGGCAAAATGCAAAACAACTTTGCACAAAGTTTATACAGTCTCTTACATTTGCTAGCACAAGATTGGAAGTCAGTGGAATATAACTGCAGTACAGTACGGTTTGCATATATTTCTGTTTCTGCTATCAAAAGTACCAAAATAAGAAACCATACAAAACACTTTTGTATGGGTAGCTAGCACAACAGCACAGTAACAAAAGCGTGGTACTGAAAGCTATTGGTTTCTGAAGAATCATCGCTTGAACGTGCCACAGGAACAGCAACACAGAATGTGCCATATTTAAATGCACAGTAAGTACACAAAGACAGCAGTAGGAATGAACTATGATCAAACAAAGCTTGTCTTCTTGTGACAAACTGCCACATGCCAAGAAGCAAGAACAGGATTGGATCTATGTGCTCCATTGTTGTTTAATGGGCTGTTCACATGAATGTCTAAACTAAGCATGAGCCAGTATAAGATTGTGATAAAAATATTACGGTTTCATGGAATTACTGTATTGTGATTACTGCTCTAAAATAATATTTTTTTTAAATGTCTGGGTAAAAAACAACTTTTTCCCCACATTGAACATGGTATATTTCATTTTAAGAAACATATTTTGGAACGGAATCTTTTGATGTGGATGGTCCTTTTCTGCTGGAGATACTGTTGCCCTAAAAAACTAAATAAAATAGTTGCAAAAAACACATTAAAAAAACGGTTCATATACCGTAGGAACGGTATAACAGAAAATTCTTGCAGTTTTAAAACCTTGACTTTTCCAAACTGCAGTAAACCTTGAAACCGGTTATCATCCCATGCCTAACCTAAACATGTGAAAACAATGAGGGGCACATGTCCCTTTTTTTCTTTATTTGCTTGTGATTGCCACTCATCTATATTTGAAATAATGAACCTTAGTGCACAAAAGAGGCAATTAGCTCGTATGGCTCTCTCCTTTGAGACAGAAAGACATTGATCGCAACTTTCACTGTGCACCATGCCATCCAAGTAAGGATATTGTTGGCTGTAGAGAAACAAGCCTGATTAGGCTGCCCCATACTGACTTGTACTGTTCCGTTTTGCGACTGTACCGCTCAGTGGAAACGAAAGCGTAGATGACCACCATCTCAGAGTTTAATGGCACTTGCACAAAATATACACTTCTGATCTAGGTCATTAGTTTCTGAAGTGGGGTCGGGATCCTTCGGGGGTCCGCGGGACAATGAGCGGGCATCGCTTTGCGAGTTCCAAAACTCTTGATTCATTTTATTAAACTATTAGAATTACCATATTTGATCCATAACCTATTGGAGAACAAAAAAGTACTTAATATTAACATTGTCAACATGTTGATTATTATTATGTTTTTTTGCGACCCCTGGGGTTGATTACATTATATTAAAGACACAGCGATAGCGTCAGATGCAGCAGATTGGTTTGGGGGTCGCGGGTCACTGGCATTGCTATTTAGGGAGTTGCGGACTGAAAAGTTTGGGAACCCCTGATCTAGATCTTTTCTCAGTCTTTTCTCGTACTTTCTTGTAGATGTCAGTGCAACGGGCATGCAGACACCTGTAATGAACATGATGGCACTGGCTGTCCCTGCCAAAACAACACTGAAACCTCATCCTGTCTGAGCAGCCCACAGAATGACCGAAAGGAGTGTTACAGACAACAGGTAATTGGCAACCAATTACATTGCACTACGTATTTCACACATAAGGCCTTGTATTTAGCATTCCTATTTGTGCTTATTACAGTGCGCCAAGTGCAAAGAGTCATTCAATGGAAATCCAGTGAATGGGAGACAGTGCTACCGGCAGTTCAACGTGGACAGCGAGTGCTGCTTCGACCCCACATCACAGGTCAACTGCTTCCATGAGCCCAACATCCGCAATCTGCTGAGGGGCCGCACAGTGTTCTTTTCAGCTCAGCCCAAGTTTACTAACGTGGATATTCGCGTCACCATTGATGTTACATTTGGGGAAGTTGAGGTCTACGTCTCCAACTCGCATGATACCTTCATTGTGCAGGTAGACCGCCAAAGCGGTGTGCATACCATCAAGATTGAGGATGAAGCCACCTCCGCCACAGCTTCCCGAGGTGAAAAGGAGGTACCTCTCGCCCCGCCGTCGCCCATGAAGGTGTTTGCTAACTCCTCTTCTGCCTTACTTGGCACACTGTCCGCAAAGTTGCAAGGTTCAGAGCGTGAGGTGCGGGAAGAACGAGCCGAAGGTCTCATAACCTACATCACTGTGTGGAAGCCGCAAACAGTGCTGATCGTACGCGGAGTGCGGGACAGAGTGGTCATCACCTTCCCTCACGAAGTGCACTCGCTCAAGTCCAGCCGTTTCTTTATTGCCCTGCGCGGAGTAGGCACAGAAACTCATAATGGAGAATCTCAAGGCCTCCTCTTTCTACGACAGGACCAAGCCCACATTGACCTCTTCGTCTTTTTCTCTGTCTTCTTCTCCTGCTTTTTCCTCTTCCTGTCGGTCTGCGTGTTACTCTGGAAAGTAAAGCAGTTCTTGGATTTCCGTCGCGAGCAGCGGCGCCACATTCAAGAAATGACCAAGATGGCCTCTCGTCCATTTGCAAAACTTACTGTCTACCTGGAGCCAGAGGAGCCACAGTTAGTTTACTTGCCCTCAGCTGGAGGGGGCAGCGCAGTGTCTCTGGCCCACGTCCGAACAGGCAAGCTTGGTGGGATGGTAATGGGCCAGAGGGGGCGACCTGGGGCTCTGTCCTACAAACACGACCCTGGCACAGGCACTGCCACTCATCATCACCACCATCTGGCTCTGAGTGGAGGCAACAACGGGCAGCACCTGCCTCTGCACTACCTAAACGCTCACCACTACGCACCCAGCTCCACCGCCAACCCAACCTCACATCACCAACACCATTATCCGTCCTCGCATGGCAGCTACCAGCATTTCTGCCGCTCCGACCCTTTCCTATCTCAACTCATGGGTTTCTCATACTCATCCTTCAAAGTTGGGCCAATCACTCTGGAACCCACAGACGACGGGATGGCAGGGGTAGCCACAGTGCTCATACAGCTACCAGGAGGCATCCTTGCACCAAATCGGGCCTGTTTAGGTTCTGCACTTGTTACTTTGCGGCAGAATTTGCAGGAGTACTGTGGACACGGTGGAGCAGGAACGCATCCTGGTGCCGGCGGTGGCCGAAAAGGCTTGCTGGGCCACCAACATCTTACAACCATGGCCATGTAATAAGATGGGAATTGAGTGGGAGAAATAGACTGAAAAGGAAAAAACTATCAAGGGAGATTTTCAGAGTTAAGAACAGAAAGGGCAAAGGAAGTTGTGAAGCTTTTAAAGGGATAGACCACCCAAAAAGTTAAAAATGTTTTCATCATTTACACATTTACAATTTTTTTTCAATGCAGATAAGTTCAATGAGGTCCAAAATCAAACACCAATGGATCCCACTGACATCAGCTGTTTAAGCAAAAAAGCACTGAGACATTTTAAGAAGTATCTTAAACTACAAGAGGGTGCGTAAACGATGACACCATTTTAAAGGTATAGTTTACCCACAAAATATGAAAATTCTGTAATTATTTATTTATCTTTTACTAGCATTCACTATTTGTCAACACAACAAAAGAAATGATGAGAAAGGTCGAAAACCAGTGGCCATTGACTTCCACAGTTTTTTTTCTTACTATGGATGTCAATGGGAATTGAATAAGCTAAATTGTCCATAGTGTATGTGTGTGAATGCAAGAGTGTATGGGTGTTTCCCAGTACTGGGTTGCTGCATAAAAAAAGTCCTGGATAAGTTAGCGGTTCATTCTGCTGTGGCGATCCCTGATTAATAAAGGCACTAAGCCAAAAAGAAAATGAATAAATGGATGTCAATGGCTACTGGTTTGCAGTACTCTTAAAAGAAATCTTCTTACAAGTTCAACAACAACAAAAAAAGAAATTATTAAATGTTTTCCACCATATGAGGGGTTGTAAATGCTGAGTAAAATTGGATGTTTGGGTGAGCTACTCCTTTAAGGGTGAAAATCCTTTTATTTTTGTTTGTTACTAAAGGGATGTATTTATTTTACAGAAGAGGAAAAAGAAGAATCATAGGAATTGTGATATGTACATATACTGTAATTAAGTATTAGATGTTGTTTACTTGTTTATCACTCCTAAAAAGCTCCATATTGACTTAAGGCAGCAACCTTTATGCAATGCACTACTTGTATATCCATGCTTTGTTGCTGCGTTCTTTGTCTTACATACACTACTGAAACCAGCTGGACAAGACGACGATAACTACAGCATGACATATCACCTGAAACGTCAAAACGTCGACTTTGCAGCTGAACCAATGTGCTTTATATCCTCATGTGACAATCTGAACTGCCATCCAAACCAAGAGACGGTGCAACGTGTCCGCTTGAATGTGCAAAACTTTGATTGTCTGCAAAAAAGAAATGGGGACAGATGATGTTAAAAAAAATAGTTGTAATGCTTTTGTTACTGGTATTTTGTCATGGCTGTGATTAGTTGAAGCTTCCTGTAATATAACAGATTGAATCTAGTCAATAGGTCTTGTTCATGTTGAGCCATTGGCTTATTTTTATACATATTCATTCAGACTGAAGATGCATTTCAGACTATCGATTTGATGGTTTACGGTTACACGTCCTTTGTTTGCATTGATGACATGCCTTTACTCACTTTGCCTTGAACCGGACGTTGTTACAACCTTGTGACTGAATCCTCACTCTTTTTGTATTCGATTTAGGATTGGAGTTCTATGAGTTCAGGCTGTTATCTTAAGTAATGCAGGTGTGTGTGTGTGTGTGTGTTAATGTGAAGGAATAAGCTGATTAACAAGGGCCCAGAAAACATCCATGTTATTCACATTGTGTAGGGAATGAAGGATAACTTTTTTTCTTTGCTTTATTTCTGTTCCCTCCTTACACTGATTTAGTTTAACCAAAAGGTAAAAAGGATTTATAAATAATGTGTTCAATATTTAACTAGTGATCGATGAAATTCAGTTTCCTATTTTATTTCACCGAAGGGTCATGTTCAGCCAGATTCATAGAAGATCTGTTGAACAAAGTGCAATGCAAATTTTAAACGTATAGAAACGCTATAGTATGCTCCTGGTGAGACACTATAAGGTGATGAAATGAAGAGAGGAAATCACTGAAAACACTACAGTTAGCCTTCTATCTGTATGATGTTTTATGGAGTTTGTTACAGTATTGCCATTAATATGGAGTTTCCGTTTTACTTGTTTTTTCTGAAGATGGACTGTTATTTTCTGAGCATAATTTGACGTATTTATGTAGGCTGATGTAGAAATCTACATTTCTCTTATTTTTTGACAATTAAAGTTCTCATGAATTATAAAATATTACGAAAAATGTTCATTTGACATTGATTATTTAATGTAAATAACATAACAGGAGAAGCCATATGTTTATCTCGGGTGACACTCCAGAGGGAAAAAAAGCTATTGCAAACTGATGGTTGGTTACTTTGTTGCATTAAATCAAGAACAAGGGATTGTGATGTAAATTAAGCGAAAGACCAAAATGGATTTGAGTTTGACTATGGTGAAAAAGCTTTGTTCTGTTCAGACATTTTCAAATGCTTTTACAGTCTTTTTTTCTGTGATTGACGCACATGCCTTTGATGCTTAACAGAAGTTTGTCCATAATAAAATATCATCCATTAATGGTTACCAGAGTTGGTTGCGTTTTTGGCCATTTAGCTTCTTGTACCTGACATAATGCTTCTCAAAGAATTGGACTGCTAGGGATGTCAAACTCAAATCCTGGAGGCCCACAGCCCTGCGGAGTTTAGTTCCAGCTCTGCTTCAAAACAGCTGTCTGTAGGTATCCAACAAGTCTAAAGCACTCAATTAGTCTGATCAGGTGTGTTTAATTAGGGTTGGAATTAAACTGCAGAGCTGAGGCTATCCAGGAATTAAGTTTGACACCTGTGCATTAACAGTAAAAACATTGCAACTGTGTCTCTTTCATGGTGTTTAGATGTCTCTAATGATTAGATACACCTGAGTTGATGCTGTGGTGGTCATAGGGAAGTGGAGAGCATGATTCCTGAAACACCCCAGTGACAGATGGGTCTTTGCGTTGATCCCGGGTGCAAGTCTGATCACCTACTCACACCTGCAGTTCTCCATGACGGATGTCCAGTGTTCTCACAAGAATTTGGGCCAGTGGAGAAATGGTTGTGCCCAACTGAGTCTGCTTACTCTCAAGGTTTTTTTCCCCTTCACTTTCATCAATTGGTTAAATTTTTGTTCTTCGCCCCTGTCTTGCTTGGTTTGGGACTTGTGGAGCTGCACATTGATGGATTTGCCCTTTAGTGTTTAAACTTTCAGCAATAAAATTTAAACAATACTTAAGTGATCTAAACTGAACCTTAACTCTGAAAATGGACTGACACAGTGTCAATCTACTAGAACTTCTGTTAAGCTGCTTTGACACAATGTTGTAAAAGCGCTATAGAAATAAAATAATAATTGAATTGAATACAGAATAATACAATTTTTAAATAAGCTATATTAAAATGTATACTATTTAATAGTGAAAATCTTTTAATATAAATATAACTAAATACAGTAAAAAGCAATGCAGGAAAGGGTCGCGAGCTTTTATTTTGAAAAACGCCTAGGTTCATGGTCTTATTTTGAAATGCGTTATCGTTGCTGCCTTTACGTGTTGTTATTTACAACCAGCATCGTTTTAACGTCTTTTAGATTTGTGAAACGGCCTCAGTCGCCGCGTTAGGTCGTTTATAACTAGTATTTAACCTAATACAATGAACGGCGTTGGTGTCATTTTAGGGGTGGAAGTTCAAGGCGTTTGTTTGAAGATGGTGTTCACTGAGGGCTGTCACAGTCCACTGGATAATAACCAGAGGTTCTAGACCGGTGGGGTTTGAACCTAACGTTACATCCAAATGCAGCAAATGAACTGACGTTTGTCCCCCGGTAAGAACATCGTGTTTAATTATTTAAGCCAACACGAATCTTCTATTTATGTTTGCTAGCCGCTGTCACACATGCTGTATGAACCTTCAAGATTATCTAGACCAGTCTGTCAAACCAACCAACGTATTTTAAACCACAGACCAGATTTCTGAAGGTCCTGAAAAACTAATAATTTGCCTTTGCACAAATTAACTCCTTAAATGTTCTAAATGTTATACCAGTATTGTGTTTAACCTGTAATTAAACTGTAACCTATAATAAATTAACACCTTAAAATCATTAAATGCTCTAACGTTAAATATTATACCAGTAATGTTATTGTTTTTAACCTGTAGATGAAACTATAACCTATAATACTGTTATTTCCAATTTTTTTATTTAGGTTGTTCAAAAGATGAAACCCAACTTGTTAAAGAAAACAAAACTATCCAGTCAAAAGAGCAAAGACAAACAGTTGCAAAATGGTGATAAGGAGCCCCTTCCATCAGATGTTGATGCCATCTGTGTTGGCACAGATGCAACTGAAACATCTAATGATATGCTGAACTGTGTAATGGACTGTTGTCCCAAAGTCACACAGATGAGTCCAGAGCAAGGAGAGTTGGAAGCTTTGGGAGTCCTAATGCTATCAGAGCAACACCAGCAGCACAATGTGAACCTGCAGCCTTGTCCTCCTGCGCTCAGAACATTTGTTCCAAAGACAGAGCCAGATCACTTTCCCTTAAACCAAACTAGTTTTCAGGTCAAAACTGAGCCTGGAATTTATGAAGTACTTCAGAGAGAGTCTACGTTGACTGTGGAAGAGAAAAAGGAGAGATATAAGGAAGTGAAGCTTGAGATGCCAGAGGAAAACCTGCTGTGTAATTCTGACCTGGAGGAAACCATGGGTAATGTATTTATTTATTAGGCCTTAAACCTATAAATGACACAATTTGCTCATTTTAAAGATGTGACAGATTTGGAGGTGTGCACGGAAATATTTTAGCTCTGGATTAGGACATTTGTTTAATCTCAGCTTTATTTTTTGTTTGACTGTCATTTTGGTCTAGTTTACCATTTTAACTTTATTTTATTATTTAAAAATGTTGTTTTTAGATCAGTCAGAGTTACGAAAACCCATTCTGTTCCATTTTTAAAGTTGTTTGCACATTTTTCAGTTTAGAATTTACATTAAAATACTTTTTGTTTTTGTAAATGTTATAAAAATATTAAATATTTTAATTTCAACAATATTTGTATTATTATAAAGTTGATCTTTTATTTGAAATTATTTTTGATGTAAATGTATTGGTTTATTTGGTGTATTTTATAGGTATAAGTTTAATTCATTTATTGAAAAAAAAAACTATACCATAATTATCTCAGTGTAAAGGAAAAAACAAAACAAAACACAATTTTGTGGAAATGTGCAAGTTCAGTCTATAGGCATTCACAAGTACTTAACAACCAAAATGACAATGACTAATTAAAGAGGCCTCTTGCACAAAGCTGGTTTGGGGTTTTACCTAGGTAAGTTTAATCAAATTCTGTGTTTTTGATCTAAAAACAGGGGTGCCCAAACCTTTTCTTATAAAGGACCAAAAACCAAACTTAACTGAGGGCTGTGGGTCGAAGGTACATTAAAGTTCTCATGAGTAATTGCCTAATTTATTTATTCATTAATTTTCTTTTCGGCTTAGTTCCTTTATTAATCTGGGTTTACCACAGCGGAATGAACCGCCAACTTATTCAGCATATGTTTTACGCAGCGGATGCCCTTCCAGTTGCAACCTATCACTGGGAAACATCCACACACACTCATACACTACGGTCAATTTTAGCCTACCCAATTCACCTGTACCGCATGTGTTTGGATTGTGGGGGAAACCGGAGCACCCTGAGGAAACCCACGTGAACAAAGGGAGAACATGCAAACTCCACACAGAAATGCCAACTGACCCAGTCGAGGCTCAAACCAGCGACCTTCTTGCTGTGAAGCGACAGCACTACCTGGTGCGCCACTGCATCGCCCCTAATTTATTTAATGAAACTTAAAACTAACTAGAAAACATGGCTTCAGATTATATAAACAAATGCAGTCTATATATATATATATATAATATAATATATATATATATATATATATATATATATATATATATATATATATATATAAAGTTTAATGAAGTTATTACAGCAAAAACATTAACAATCACATTAATACAACTCTGAATTAAGTTCAATTCTGAATACACTAAGTTGCACCTGCTTTTGGCACTATTGAAACCAAGGTTTTACATTGGCACAGATGACCAAAGGTGTTGGCTATAGCAGCCCAGCCATGTATTTTTACCCTTTGGAGCTCCCGAAAAATAATTTTGGTGGACACCAAGATTTGCTGTCTTGGTCACAAATGCGCCAGCGAAATGCCCACCAACAATTTTTTTCTCTTTTAAAGTCTGATATGTCACCCATAATGTTGTTCATTGCAACATTTGAAGTAAAATTGTGTTGTTACTCTGGTAATCAAAACTTCACACTCTCTTCTTACTCATGGAATGTGCAATCAATGAAGGTGCCACCAGGCTCAAATTTAGCCATGAAACTCTACATTATGCGTGTTCAGTTTCATTTTCCAACCCATGTAGCTTTTACAGGCACTTTTAGGGAATTGTTTTGACAGTGTTGTCATCTGTATACAAAATAATTTAAGAACAAAAAATGGTGAGCAGGAAAATACATTGACTTTTATGTATCATTTATTCTACTCTGTCTCAGTTGGCCATTTTTATTTCAATATACAGATAGTTGTTTTAAAAGAGTTGAAGTTTACATTAAGGATGCTCTGATTGATCGGCCGGAGATCAGTATTGGTACTGTGTTTTTGACAATATTGCAAGTTCACTAAAACCTGGCTGGAAATATTAGATACATTTAAAAAAAATATATTTTTTTAACATGAATATTTAATAATATAACTTCTTGTAATTTACTTATTGCAATAAACAGTAGTTTATATACCCATTTCCTAATAGTAAAGAAGTAATGGATTTATAGGTTTGCATTTGAATCTTTTCTGAATCAAATATTAACTTTTCATCAAATATGAATTTTTTCTTGACTGAGAGATGTTGTTTCCAAATTGATTTGTTAGTCATTTTCTACACCAAGTTTTTTTTGACATGTTCACACCTTAATGGTTATACAAGTATTTATAGTATTATATGCAGCATCCTTAATTTATTCTTTCAAGTAAGGAGAAATCTCCACTTAATTATAAAGCTTAAAGCATCAGAATCAGTACTTTGTATCGGCCGATCACCATGAAAAGGAATCGGTACTCTGCATCGGCTGCAAAGATCCTGATCGGAGCATCCCTAGTTTACAATATAGCAGCATATATTCAGCAATATTTTATTTTTGATTACCGTTTTGAGTCTTTGGCACTTTTACCCAATACTGGATCATTTTACAAAATACTACAGCCAGATGGAAAAATACAATCAAATAAAACTGGCAAGTAAGTATTTAGATTGGACCTGTTGGAACTTTAGTTGATTATAACTAAACTAAACCAAACCTAAATTCGCTTGACTTGAAATTTTACTGCACAAGACTTCACTTTATATATTTTGTGTTATGTCTTTATTCCCTTTTACAGCTTCTTCCTCCCTGATTTTTCCTTGCCCCCATTGCTCTGTGACTTTTACTGACTTTACATACTTGGACAAGCACTTCAAATGGTGCCATCGAAGTGAATACCTGTCATGGGTGAAAAACCACAAAGTCTACAACTGCTCCAAAATAACCTCCGGGATGCTCAGCTGCACTTCATGCCACTATCGTTTCTTCTCTCAAAGCCAGCTGGAGACCCACGTGCGCAAGGCTCACCTTCCGACACCCAAACCCACCCGAAAACGCTTCACCTGTCCGCAGTGTGATCGTAGCTTTGATTACATTGGAAACTTACAAAACCATTGCCGCCGATGCCACAGCTTATCTACGGTGTGCAAAGATGGATATATTAGCTGTGCTGCATGCGGTAAAAGCTTTGCAGGAGTCTGGGGCCTTGGACCACATCGCTGTCATGATGATGAGAAGATACTTGATACAAGTGAACCCCTTTGCACAGACCGTGGGTATTTGTGCCAAGATTGCGGCAAGAACTTTTCTACACTCCAAAGTCTAAAGACACACAAACGCATACACACCGGCGAGAAACCATGCATCTGTGGAGATTGCGGCCATAGCTTTTATGATATGGGGAGTCTGCGCCAACACAGAGTCATCCATACAGGAATCCGGCCTTTCAAGTGTCCTGAATGTAATAAAGAGTTTGCTAGAATGGGCCACCTCAGATGCCATCTGAGAACCCACACGGGAGAAAGACCATACCCATGTCCTCAATGCGGCATGAGATTCAGCCACCGCTCAACACTTCGCATCCACCAACAAGTTCACTCCAAGGAAAAAGCATTTCCATGCGCTATCTGTGGCAAAGCGTTTTCTGCTTTGAGGTATGTGAAGGTCCACCAAAGAGCGCACAACTCTGAGAGAATTCTGGAATGCCGAGAGTGTACAAAGACTTTTACACGAGCGGATGTGCTTAAGAAACACCTGCGCATTCACTCTGGCGAACGGCCGTATTTTTGCAACATCTGCAGCAAGCGTTTTGTACGCATCCAGCACCTGAAAAACCACATGCGCACTCATACTGGTGAGAAACCGTATCGCTGTGAGCAGTGCGGCTCCAGCTATGCCCAGTCTGGAGATTTGACTAAACACATGAGGAAGCACACAGGAGAAAAACCCTACGCCTGTTCAGACTGTGAGCGTCGCTTCAGCAGCTCAGGTGACCTGAGCAAGCACAGGCGCAGTCACACGGGCCACAGACCCTATAAGTGTTTGGAGTGCGGGAAGAGTTTTATATTGTCCCAGCACCTGAAGTTACACAAACGAACACACACAGGCGAGAGGCCGTACAGCTGCACACAGTGTCTTCGCACATTTACACGCTCACACCATCTCTCTCAACACATGGAGAAGCACACATGAGGACAGATGACTGCACGCCTGTCTAATATTTCATGTAGGAAAATGAATCGGGAGATTAATGATGAATTGGGAAATCGGTTTTCTTTAAGGAATGCAATCCAGACAGATTTCTTTCTTCCGTGGGATATATTTAAGGGTTAAGCATATAGTAACGTACCCATTGTTAGGCCTGTCATGATATCCATTTTTTGTTATAATATATTACACTAAAATATATTGCGATAAACAATATATTGTCATTTTATGACACTTCTTGTATAATATCAGAATGACAATATAATAAGAAACATTTAAGAACATTTTAATTTAATTAAGAATTAAGAACATTTAATTCAATTATAGTAATTTCAATCATAATAAATAATAAATGTTAAGAAAAAATTGCAAGGTAAAATGTAACAGACCGCAATATTGGCTACCAGAACTATTTTCATTTGTCAGACACCCACATGAAAATATAATACAGTAATTTACAGTAAATACTATGGTGTTTTTTAACCATACTTACACCTCTAAAAGAGATAAAGATGTTGCAAAATCAGATAAATTGTTGCCAGAATTGGTTTTAATTTATAAGTGATATATATTGCATTATCAAAAATTATTGAGGTCATGTCCAAGTGTTTTGCGGTAAATTGATACATTGATTATTGTGTCAGGCCTACCCATTCTTTCACTGATCAAATAAAATTAATGCCGTTTACGTTTTTTTGTTCAACAAGGAACAAGCAACTGACAAAAGCAGTGCTTTAAACTTGATCTGTCTTTTTAAAAGGAATCGCTAGCATAATAAATTGTAAATAAAATAAAGTTTTATTTAGCCATTTAAAGACACTGTTCATAAGAATTGACAGCGTGCCCTTTACTTTTTCGATAATAGACTTATAATAGATTGCTGTAGCATAGTAACAATAATCTACAAATTAAAATTAATCTATAGGCGCAATAATGGAAGTATTCTAGAACTACATTTATAAACTGATGTTAAAATTTAAACTTGCTCATCACTCGGTGCTCTCGGAAAAATTACGTTTCAGCAAATTTTTCAAACTGCTGTAACTGTGTTAGGGTTCCTTTTGTGTTGATATGTAAGTGACGTCATTTTGCTCTGTTCATATTTTAACATTTTCAGAAGTCTGGCTCACAGCTAAAAATAAATTCTGCATTTAGAACTTTAATGCTTTATGGAGAACACTGAAAACTACATTTGTGTGTTTTCAGTTCTGCACTAGGCGTGGGCGGGTATAAGATTCTAACGATTTGATAACCATGGATAAAAATATTACAGTTTCACGATTACTGCTGTAAAACAGGTTCTTTTTAAATGTCTGGGTCAAAAACAAATCTTTTTTCTGCTTTGATCACAATGGCTGTGCCTGAAATCACAGACTTCCATACTATAGTATGTTAAAAACAGTATGCTAGCCAAGTAGGATGTGTAAATACAGTATGCAAGAAGTACCCAGATGACCTAATACTTCTGGTGAGATTCTGAAGTGCGCATCTGATGGATGCTACGCTATCCCATGATGCACTGCGAGAGAAATCATGAATGGAAGTGAAGCGGGTATGTCACATGATGATGACAAAATGGCATCTGTTGTACGTCCGACTCCGAGGTACATTCACTCGCATTCATACTGTATAGAACATACTTTTCTATCAGTCAAGTAGTAAATACAAATGGAGTACCTACTGAGTAGTAGGGGATTTCGGACACAAACCGCCAGTATATTTTATTTTGAGAAACATTTGAAATATTTTGAAGCAGAAAATATGTCAAGCTAAATATTTAAAAAAATTCAAATGAATCATTGACTTCTGCAGTCTTCATCAGTTTCAAAAACAATAATATATATATATATTTTAAATGGCATCTTTGGGTATCTTTTCTGATGGAGATACTGCTGTCCTAAAAAACAAACCAAAAAATAAATAAATATTAAAAATCTTACACATACCGTAGAAACAGTATAACAGAAAAAGTTGTCTGTTTTTAAAAACCTTGAGTTTTCCAAACTGAGGTATACCTTAAAAATGGTTATCATCCCATGCCTATACTGCACTGTAATGGATTGGTTATTTTATAGTTATTTGTGTGGTTGTTGATTTTACCAGGTTATTTTGCAGTTGTTTTTATGGTTGTTCATTTGTCTACCAATGCCAAAGTATTCTGAGGGTGATATAACTGAAAAAAAATGAAACATTACTGTAACTAGTTTAGAGGAAAATCTTTTTCGAAAGACTGATATTCATGACATAAAACGTATATAAACAATATGTTGTGTTAAGGTTTATGAGTTTACTGTTAACTTTAAAATGGATGAAATCAAATGACTTTTGCTCTGTTTTGAACTACAGTGTTTTGTCATTGTTTTGGCTTGAATTGTGCGTTTAAGACTGTATTCTTATGTTAAATGAAACAGTAAATACAGTATGCTAACCAGAGAGATTTTGTCTAAACCCTTGTCTTTTTGTGTCTTTTCTTCTCAGCTTGTGCACAGACAACCAAAGCATCATTGCAGTTTGTGCAAACCCAATAGATGGATCACTTGTTCAAAGGGCCCAAACAGGTCTGCTTCAGTCAATGTTGGGGGAATAGCCCTATTATTTTTATGTCTGCGATTACGAGGACAGCAGCGTGACTGGTGCACCGACACAGATAACAAAGATGTATTTAGAGCTAAATAATATTGAGTCTACCTTTGTTTAAAGCTGGAATCAATACTTCTTAAAGCATGTCCATTTTTCATTTAGCAAGCCTCTTGTCTGAGAGGAGGGCCAGGGAGATGTATGGAAGCGAGCGTGTTTTAATTCTCTCTGTTGCTGTAGTAATAATAATTGTCAGAACAAGCATGGCTCCTAAAGATTGGGTGATAGGGAGGTGAGCCACACATACAATATTAATAGACTTTGCAAATTGAGACAGATTACGTGACAGGTTTTTATTTTTTCTTCACTTGATTTTCTTGTCTTGCCGAGTACGGACAGAAATGACCATTGAAGTCAGAGAAAGAGGAGTAAACCTTTTACATATTCACATTTAAAAAAAACATACATCATTATTATTTGTCCAGCAATGTCAGTCATTCTATAGAGAATGTAATTGTTTATAAATTGGCAGTTTTAATTTGGTAGCAGTTCCTCCTTTGGGGCACCAGGGGGAAACAGATATCTGTCAATATGCGCTTTTGGGAATTAGGATGCGCTGTGTTGCCATCTGTTTCTCTCGTGTTTCTCACTCTTCCCACAGAGACAGCCTGCAGGGTAACTTCACACAAACAAGTGAAATAGCTGAACGGATTTTAATGCAATGATCTGTTTGCGCTACTTGTTCTTCTCGATATCAAATTATTATATTAGTATCAAACTTTTTATTACCATGTGCGTCCTGCATCGTTGCGTTATCTTTGTAAACAAGAGACGCCATTAAGTAATAAATTATTGTGGTATCTTCATGTTGTTCCGAAAAAAATACCCGTTAATGTAGTAAATAACTTTAAAATACTAACAATTTAATCGACTTTAACTCATACAGTACGATGAACACAAACTCACGTAGAATGGGCCTTATCCCTTAAAACATAGTTCACCCAAAAACGAAAATTGAGGCCTATTTACTCACCCTCAAGTGGTTCCAAACCTTTAAGTTTCTTTTAAACTCCAAAAGATATTTTGAAAAAGGCTGGAAGCCCTGTGAGCATCGACTTCCATAATAGGAAGAGCTAATACTAGGAAGCCATTCATTCATTTTCTTTTCGGCTTAGTCCCTTTATTCATCAGGGTTCGCCACAGAGACACGAACCGCCAACTTATCGAGCATATGTTTTACACAGCGTATACCCTTCCAGCCACAACCCAACACTGGGAAACTCCTATACCCTCCTGCATTCACACACATACACTACAGCCAATTTAGCTTATTCAATTTACCTATAGTGCATGTCTGGACTGTGGGAGAAAGCGAAACGCCGGAGGAAAGCCACACGAACACAGGAAGAACATGCAAACTCCGCACAGAAATGCCAGCTAATCCAGCAAGGGCTCGAACCAGTGACCTTCATGCTGTCAGGCAATCGTGCTACCCACTGCACCGCAATGACACTCACTATGGAAGTCAGTGGTAATAAAGGTATCCAGCTGCCTTCAAAATATTTTCTTTTGTGTTAAAGCGAAGAAAGAAAGTCAAACATGTTCAAAACAAGTAAAATGTGAGTAAATTACATAATTTTCAGTTTTGGGTTAACTATAAAGATGTGACTAATTTATTTATTTATTTAATTTTTTTTAATTAAATTTTATATTTGAACCTCTACAATCAGGTCAAAATATCTAATGTGCTTGATATCCTGCAACTGAATGGAATCATGTTCCAAAGCTATAAAATCAGCACCCAAAACCACTTGCCTTCTGTATAGTATTCAAAGTAATTTCTCCAAATTCAGAATATTTAAAAAAGAGTAGGCATGAAGTACCCATAAGATCTACTGCTAATGCCAAGATGCTGAGACTAATATTTCATGAGGCGACCTAATTGCAATTGTCAGTGAAAGTGGAGTGACACAACAGAAGCTGGTAAGTAATGTGATGAAGTCAGATGTGAACTTGGCAGATGTATTATGCACAAATTTCGTTTATACTATAGTCATACTACATGGAACATACTTTTCATAAAGTCAAATCCAAATGTAGCCTAGAAATGAATAAATGACAGCACACAACTGCCATCTATTTTGATGACAAATTAAGGGGAAAAATCTATGCAAGAGTCTTGTATTCCCGCCTTCGCTTTACTGCATCCTATACTAACAAATGTGTTGACTTCTTTTCCTTGATCATAGTTTGATCTTGGCCCTGTGATGTGACCTGTGTTCTTTTGTAAAATGCTCCATCAGCGGTCAGTGCTGAAACTCTAATACTCTTATTTACAGGCTGACTTCTGACTGACCATCTCTAGAAAACTCTAAAATTGAATTACATCTATGTTGAATTAAATAATAGCCCTCTTGCACATTTCCTCCTCCCTCCACCCATCTCCAATTTTTTTATATGTAATTCCAGCAATCCAATTTTCTCCATATTTTCTCTCAATACTCTTGTCAATTTGCTGAAGGAACACATTGTTGGCTTTGGTGTGCCGGTGTCACAGTGTCGTCTCGCTGCAGTGGTTTTGGCGCTTGTTGGCCTCAGAGGTCAGTGTGTGGGAAGAGCCGCCGGCTTTCGGGGTCTTCAGGGGGCTTTAGGGCGGCTGCGTCTGTCCCTTTGGGCTCAGCCAAGCCCAAATCCACTTCTCTCATTCATGAAAGGGTTACAACAAAGGTCAAATCACCACTTTCCACTCCCCACGAATAACACAAGCCGTGCGTGAGGGATGGTTTATGTAGGCGTAGATGAAACTGTGTATTTTAGGTGTCTTTTTTTTTTTTTTTGGTCATGGTACTTTCTTGGCACATAGTATTGTGCCTGAAAGCGCAGATGCGCAAAAGATGCTGTGAGTTTTGCTAAGGGGAGTCTGGTTAGTGTAGCAAGTGAGGAAGGTCGATGCTGTCAAACTCAAAATGAGCAGCTTCTCATTCTCGATTAGCGTCACTTCGTAAACAGTTGCTGTGTTTTATGTCTAATGCTTCTTCTAGCGCTAACATTCCCCAAATCTACAGTCCACTACTGTTTCTGTCTTCTCCTCCCCAGTCCGCCCTCTTGTCCTAACCTTTGGCTCTGGGTGTCCGTTTAGCACCGGGATAGAGATGTGGAGGGTGAGGGAGACTGACAGTGTGCGCTCCCCTACTCAGTAAATATGAACTGCACCCAACAGACAGCCTCATTTATCACAAGGGAAAGAGCGCGGGAGGGAAGGAGAGAGAGAGGGAAAAGGGATAACCGGCTTGGACGATGTGGCTTCAGCGAGCAGAAAGACAGTGCTGGGATGAGAGACATGAGAGTAAGGAGGGGATTACAAGAATAACACAACAACCAAAAAGAGTGCGGGAGAAGAAAGAAGACAAGCAGACGTGATGTTTAGAGGAGTCTAGTTGTAAGATCAAAAGAACATAGTAAGAAACGGGGAGCTGTGGAGAAGAAATTCAGGCCTATTGAAATGCTGACACATTGGACCAAATGTAGTGGTTAAGTCAAAAAGCGTTTGCGCAAAATTCTGTAGCAGATCATAAGATGAAGTAAATGTAAGTGCGTGATGGTATAGCATGGGTCAAGTCGGTGTAATGATTAAATCTCATTTTGATCTGCAGTGAATGAACTTATTAACGGATCACAACCTGTAATCTGGCTGTGAGTGTGGATCCTGACAACTCTGCTCCAGTTGATAAGGCTTTAATCCTCAGTGCTGAACACAGGTACTGACCACAGAGAGCAAAGGTGACTTGAGCTTAAGATGCTGACTTCAGAGTCATTATCGTCTCTGCTCAGACGGACACTGACGCTTGCTATCACAGTTAATGCACTAAAGGTACTGTAAAAGTACAAACATTCCTCCATGTGTTGTGTCGTAATGTATAGTGATTAAATGTAATGTTAGGCAATTCTTTGTCGTTTATACAGTTTGCAGATGTTTAAGCATATTGTGTAGTTGTATATATATATTCATTCATTTTCTTGTGGGCTTAGTCCCTTTATTTATTAATCCGGTGTCGCCACAGCGGAATGAACCACCAACTTATCCAGCAAGTTTTTACGCAGCGGATGCCCTTCCAGCCGCAACCCATCTCTGGGAAACATCCACACACACATTCACACACACACTCATACACTACGGACAATTTAGCCTACCCTATTCACCTGTACTGCATGTCTTTGGACTGTGGGGGAAACCGGAGCACCCGGAGGAAACCCACGCGGGCAGGGAGAACAGGCAAACTCCTCACAGAAACGCCAATTGAGCCGAGATTCGAACCAGTGACCTTCTTGCTGTGAGGCGACAGCACTACCTACTGCGCCACTGCCTCGTCTATATCTTGAGTTCAAAATATGTTCAAAAGTCTAAGTATATTGTTAAAATGAACAAATAAATATTGAGTAGTAAGTGGAATTTGTGTAGTTAATCATATGCTATTTCACTGATTTCAGTATTGACAGCATAAATATTTTATGAAGCAAAAACCATATTTTTAGATTTTTGATTTATTATTGAATCAGATCCTTAACCATACAAATATCATTTGTGATTCATTCATTCATTTTCTTTTCGGTCTAATCCCTTTATTAACCCAAAATCGCACCAGCGGAATGAACCACCAACTTATCCCTTATCCTAACTTATGCCCTTTCAACTGCAACCCATCAATGGGAAACACCCATATACATCCAATCACACACATACACTACGGGCAATTTTGCTTACCCAATACACCTACAGCGCAAGTCTTTGGACTTGTGGGGAAAACCAGAGCACCCAGAGGACACCAACATGAACATGGGGTGAATATGCAAACTCCACAC